TGCATTATATGTATAAAAGTTAAGTAATTAATTAACTAAAAACTAAATCATTAACAAATCATCACTAAATATATATATATATATAAATGTGACCATAAATTAAATATATACAGTATTGCATGTATGGGTATATATCATGGTATTATAGAGTATGAAAAATAAGAGCAATCAAACTATATTATATTTAGAGTATAAAAAATTTTATATAAAATATTTAGAATAAATATAAATTTATCAATTATATAATATAAATTAAAATAATCATTAATATTAAAAAACCAAAAATTATTAAAAATAATATTAAAAAAAACTAATTTCCTAATTTTTTTTATATTTGTTGGGAACTATAGTTTTTTCACGAACTCCTGAAAGGAGTCCGTATATGAATTCTGTCGGTCTGTCTGTCCCACATAGGTCAGTGGTTCGAATCCAGGCTCTGCTACAAATTTTTTTTAAATTTTTTTCTTTTTTAAGTTAAGGAGTTCGTATGGAAATGCTTTTGAAGCATTCTCAACTGGTTTTCAATCTTAAACTGGTTTATTGAGCAAACAGTGATAGACCCGTATGTGTATTAAATGACTCTCACTGTACCTACAATTTTATCACTTACACTATTGGTGAAGACCAGTATCTATACCCAAACTATACAATACTGAATATAAATTTTAAAAAAAACAATAATGTGTTGCCAATGGAAACCTAATGTTAACAACAACATGTTAGTGTTTAAATAGACTGATCATCACTACAGATGCCGCCTGTATAATACATTTACAGTTAATATAATTAACTAAAATAATAATACAAATCATAAATTAATATTATATTTAATAAAAAAAAATTAAAACTTGGAAAAAATATTTAATGTAAAATATTTAAAAATAGTTACACTTTTTATTATATTTTTTAGAATATACATTATATGAAATAATTTATAATAAAAAATAAACCGTTTAATCGTTTTATGTAAATAAAAAAATTCGTATGCAACTTTTCGATTGAAATAATTTCAGCTAAAATTATATATATATTTTTGAAATATTAGTTAATTAAATTAAAAATTTTAATTACGTAAATTGTTTAAAATAGTGTAATTTTTATAAGTTTTACCTATATTAGATTTCACACCCGTACATACACACACGCACATACATACCCATACCCATACATACCCATACATACCCATACCCATACATACCCATACATACACATACAAACACATACATACATATAATTACATACATTTTGAATTTTCAAACAACTATTTAATGTAATGTAACATAAAATAAATGTCTATATTTTATTGTAGAGTTTAAAAAAAAATTGTAATTATAATATATTATAAAAGTTTATAAGTTTATTATAAAAACTAAAAGGTATTATAAGATAATTTTTATTATATTATTATAATTATTATTATTAAACATTATAATTAAGCTAATAATAATAATAATAATTACTGATTAATTGTTTTATTTATCATCATCAACAACAACAAAAATTAGGTTACAACAACATAATGATGATGAAGTTGATGGTGGCTATACTAGTGATGTTAACATCACTAATGTTGTTGTTGTTGTTGTCGTTATCATCTATATCACTGGCAAATGCTTATATAAGAGACGGTAATCATAATGGTTTTATAATGAGAGAGATAAATAATTGAAAGATCATGATGACTAACGAGTTTTTGTACCTAGTTCAAATTATTTTTAGTTATATATATATATATATATATATACAGTATATCGACCACTAAAATTGATTTATTTGTTGTAAAACTTATTATTATTAAACTTTTTTCTGTTTTAAAACTAATTATATTCAGATTATTAAGAAAAAAAATTTATATAAAATATCTTCTGATAACTATTTTGTAATAATAACTTAAAAATAATAAAGTTAAATTTATTTAAACTGTATTTAATTATTACAATTAATTAGTTTAATAAGTGTGCTATTATTATTATTATTATTATTATTTAAATTTAATGAAAATAATTAAAAAAAATAATATTATTAAAAAGTTTTAAGCACAATTTAATTGTTTTTAAATGGCGATTATATAATAGATTAAATTTAAATTAATTTGCTTTTTAAACGACATTATAAGTTCACAATATCAATATATATATATAATATTATAACCAGGGTTGCTAAAGGGGGGGTAGGGTAGGGTAAGAGCTCTTACCCCCCCTGAGATGGAGAAATTTTGGCTTTTACCCCCCTGGCCTGAAGCCAAAAAGTTAGGGGGCCCCCTACCAATTTTCGGCGCCGAAAATTTTTTTCAACTATGTAAAATTTTATATTAAACAAAAAAACAAATATTAAATTAGTTTTAATATAAATTTATAGCTTATGTATAGATAATAAATAGATAACAATACTTAATTACATCAATTTAACATTATTTACATTAGTAGGGGCACTCCACAAGCTAAAAAATAAATTCCCAACCAATTTTCAAAAAAATTAATGATAATATTTTATTTATTTTTTTAGCTGTTTATAAAGGATAATATATATTTTATTTCTTATTAATAGTCGAAAACTAAAATTTTTAGCATAAATTTTAAAATAATTATATTTTAATATTTTAAAACTTTATATTAAAATGTGTTAGTTATATGCTTTAAAAATAATAATTATGATATTAACTAAATATTACACAAATAGAGTTGGAGCATTCCACAAGGGAAAAAAGCTTCCTAATAAATTCCCATCATTTTTAGCATAAATTTTAAAATTATTATATTTTAATATTTTTAAACTTTATATTAAAATGTGTTAGTTATGGTTCAATATGATATACTATATGCAGATATATTTAGTGGGAATTTAGTGGGAATTTAGTGGGAATTTAGTGGGAATTTAGTGGGAATTTAATGGGAATTTAGTGGGAATTTAATGGGAATTTATTGGGAATTTACTCAAATTTGGCAAAAATTGTCGTTTAAAAATGCAATAAAAAATGTTCACCCCACCCTATACCCCCCTAGCTTTTTCGAGATTTTTGCCATTTTACCCTACCCTATACCCCCCCCTGAAATCGAAAACCTTTAGCAACCCTGATTATAACTATAGTATAACTTACACTAATTTTTATTTTTTTATTATAAATTATTAATAGACAAATTAATTTTATACATTATAATCCTATATAACTATATAAGTAAAATAAAATATTAAAAAACCATATTTTTCTAATTATTAAATTAAACAGAAATTTTTATACAATTAAAAAAAATGCTTACAAAACATATTTACAAATATTTATAATATCCGTTGAATAGTTATGTAATAATAACTATATTTTAATATATATTTTTTTTAAAAAAAACTACGTCAATAATAACTAATTGATTCAATTAAATACTACAATAATTATACTGAAAATATATAATTAATTATTTTATAAGAAATTTATATAAAAAAATTTATTTATTTCTAAATATTATATTTTAATTAAAAATCATTAATAATATAAATATTTTACTTCATTCAATACAATTTTGTTATTCATATAACAATTAAAAATTAATCATAATTAAATTATTATTAATTAATTATTAATAATTAAATTTATAATAAATACAATAATAAACATATAATAAATAATTTAATTTCTAAATAATCTATTCTCTCTCTCTCTCTTTCTTTATATTAAAAAAAATTAAAAAAAAACAATTGTTTATTTATTTTGATTAATAGATTTTTATAATTTTTTAAAATTTAATTAATTTTTTTTATTAAATAAATAATTAATTAAAATTAATTGATTGTTCCGTTTGTCGTCAATTGTTGGCCAATAATCGGTCGGACAATCGTTATGTTAAATGTCTGCTCTTTACTAATAAATAAATTAATAAAAATAAACTATAATTTTGATAAACAGCTCTCTCTCTCTCTCTCTCACACACACACACACACACACACACACACACACATCACTCAGTCATTAACTATGAATCCCATTTTTGTTGACCTCTTGACCTCCGGAGCGGCGACGACAGTCCGTAAATGGCGTGTCGGCAGTGGACAGAGCGCCTACTGATTCACACCTCGGATACCGATTCCTTCTCGACTTCCGCTACTGACGGCGGGGGCGGAACTGCTGACAGCAGTAGTAGTAGTTGTGACCACAGTTTCGGCACCCGATTCCAGTTCTAACGGTGTGTCCAAAAATCGCGCGATTGGTATGAGTACTGCTGTTGCCGTCAAAATTATCCAATTTGGTGACCAATCGACTGGTTATCCCTATTAGTACAGCGCTTTTTTTTGGCGGCCACTGCACTGATACGCCCATATCGGTCAACATATCGGGACATTAGGTCCGGGTTTGGCCCAACACACGGAGTAGTAGCCGCTGTAGTAGTAGTAGTAGTACTTGTAGTCATGTTATTGGGTGTGTGTGTGTGTGTGTGTCCACCGTAAGTCCAACAATGGTGGTAGTGGGTGGGGGGAAGGGGGGTTAGAGTTAGACTATATGTGCTTTTATTAAATGGTGTTCCCACATACACACGTGTAGGGGGTAGGGGTGGCTTTAGATAATGTTTTTTAGATTGCACCTGCTCTAAAAAAATATAACATATATTTTTTAAAAAATAAATCAAGTTTTTTATTAAAAGTTTTTATTTATTTTTTTAATAAAATAAGAAAACCTGTTTAATACATGATAACAGCTATAAGTATTTAAATATATATATATATAATTATTTTTATTTAGAGAGAGAGAGAGAGAGAGAGAGAGAGAGAGAGAGAGAGAYAGATAGAGAGAGAGAGAGAGAGAGAGAGAGAGAGAGAGAGAGAGAGAGAGAGAGAGAGAGAGAGAGAGAGAGAGAGAGAGAGAGAGAGAGAGAGATCAATAAGAATTTTAATCTAAATTATAATTATTTATTATTATTAACTATACAGACGACTAATCAACCAATTGTTGATCAAATCTATAACTTATGTATTGATATAAGAGATACATTAGAGAGAGAGAGAGAGAGAGAGAGAGAGAGAGAGAGAGAGAGAGAGAGAGAGAGAGAGAGATCATGTATTCTGTTGGACGCGCGGAACACGTGTTTGTTGTCTTCTCTGACAATAATCGTATAGTTGACTGCACTCTCTTCTAATAGCATTATACAAGTGATTAATCCTAAATATATTGACAAAAAATTTTTATTAAATTAAAATAAAAAATATAAAAAAATTTATACATATATTTTTTATATATATAATAAAAAACAAACCAATTTAACTCTTGTTCGGTAAAATCATTGGCCATTTTGGCAATATTTTCGGGTAATTTAATCAGCCATTCGTTTCGGAACTTATTGGCCGATGATCTCATCAATCGTTGGTCATTAGGATTATGTTTGGCTGAAAATATTGTCCAAAAATATTCGAGTGTTTTGCAAGCAATTATCATCAATTGTCCGATACTTGATTGGCGTCTAAACATAATATAATAGTTTATAACAAATATATATTTATATCAATAATTTATAAAATGTATAGAACTCTCTCTCTCTCTCTCTCTCTCTCTCTCTCTCTCTCTCTCTCTCTCTCTCTCTCTCTCTCTCTCTCTCTCTCTCTCTCTCTCTCTCTCTCTCTCTCTCTCTCTCTCTCTCTCTCTCTCTCTCTCTCTCTCTCTCTCTCTCTCTCTCTCTCTCTCTCTCTCTCTCTCTCTCTCTCTCTCTCTCTCTCTCTCTCTTTCTCTCTAATATCACATTTATAATACACTTACTTAGCATATAAATCATCGCCAACTGGTATTTTGACATTTATTGGATGCATCAAACTTGTGATGTAACCAATCAATTGGTTTATACCATGAATAATGATTTTGCCATTGATTTCCATTGATATATCATCGCTATTATAACAACAACAACAACAACAACAACAACATAATTAATTAATTAAATTAAAAATTAAATTATTATATTATTTATATATATATATATTATAATTACTTACTTAATAATATCAGTTGTATTGTCAATCAACTGATTACCAGTCAATGCAATACAACTACTATTTGATTGACTATTGATATCTAAATCACAAATTTCTTGTTTTATTTCACACAATGACTGTGAATATGAAGCCATAATATTTAGATTCAATGAAAAACAAACAAAAAAACTTATTTTATTTTAAATTGTATTATATATATAAAAGTTTAGTTAATTAATTAATTTACAAAAATTAAATCATTAAATATATATATATATATATATATATATAATAATAACAATAATGTATTGCCAAATGAAAACCTAATACCATTAAAAAAAAACATTAATAACAATAACAATGTTTTATATAAATAGACTGATCATCATTACAGGTGCCGCCTGTATAATACATATACAGTTATAATTTTTTTTACAAAAAAAAATACAATTAATAAATTTTTAAAACTTTTGAATAATTTATTAATACCGGTATATAATAATAATTAAAATAATTGCACTTTTTATTATATATATATATATATATATAAATTTAGTTTTTTTAATAAATTATTTGGTTTTTTTTTTTGATGGTCACTCTACTCTGTTTAATCAGTTAGAGTCTACTATCTTTACACATAATATACTGCACACTAGAGGTCGGAATCGGGCAATATTTAAGGAACCGAACCGAAACCGTAGTTACGTTACATAGTTTTTTTTTAAAAAATATCTAAATTTTATATTTTCACCGAAATAAAAAATATTCAGTCAATTAATTAGAATAACTATAAATTAATTTAGTAATAGTTTAAAAAAATTATTTTATTATAATATGTTTATATTATGTTTTTTTTTTAATAATTATAACCGAAATTTAAGAACCGAACCGAAACCGTTTAATAGGAACCGAAATATATATATATATAATATGTATAATAAAAGTAATAATAGAAATGATTTTTAAACTAATTTTATTTTAATTTTAATAATTTATAATCAATAATCAATAATAATAATAATTTTTAATAATTAATTTTAATATTAATTATTTTTTCATTATTTAATACAAAAATATATTTATATAATAATAATAATAATACTGTAATAATATAGTAATAAATAATTAATAATTTTAATTAATAATGTATAAAAAAAAGTAATTGAAATATTAGAAAATATATGAATATGTATATAATATATAAATATATAAATAGAAAAAATTTGGCAACAATTTAAATTTATGACTGTCCACTCACCCACACCCACACACACACACATGTAGTTTAATATTTTAATAAAAATTTAAATAATTTATATAGATTGAGATTTTTAAATAAATAATATCAATTAATAGGTAAATATATATATATATATATATATACAGTATAATAGTTAAGAGAAAAAAAAATTTGTAAATTTGTCGGTCATTTCGATACCCCTGTGTTTGCACTTATCGGGGATCCAAAAGCATACCGAAAGCACTGGTACCCATTTTGGCCAACTGTACCCCACAATAATACATTCGGATACACCTTTCAAATGGTCAACTTCGGCGGCTCGGATCAGTAGATCCGACATCCGTTGGAATAGTTAGGAGAAGTGGGTAAATATGATGGACTCGTCGGCGAATACGATGGACTTGTCGGACTGTATGTGGGACTGGACGGACCCACTCCGGGACACATCGGTGCATAGGCCGGTGACGACGGCGAATAGGATGGCGATAGCGGGCCGTGCGGTGACGGTATGTATGGCGATGATGGAGAGCCAGGCGAACCGGGCTGAGGTGACCAACCGGGCGAATAGCCGGGCGAAAAACCGCTTGCATCGGATGCGGCAGACGGCGAAAAACCGGCCGCATTGGGCGTCATTCCTAAACCGAGTCCCGGCGACCATGCCTGGCCGTAAGCTGGAGTGGCTCCCTGTCCCCATGGAATCATCTGGGGTGTCATACCGGCCATAGATGGCGAATCGGCACTACCGAAAAATATGCCGGCACCTGTTAAAATAGTTAAAATATAATAATTAATCGGTAAATATATAGTTACGGTAAAACAACATTAGACTACTACTAACCCATAGTTCCCATTCCGGGCAAATTTGTAGGTATTTCGATACCCTGTTTGCACTTATCGGGGATCCAAAAGCATACCGAACGGCACCGGTACCCATTTTGGCCAACTGACCAACAATAATACATTCGGATACACCTTTTAAATGGTCATCTTCGGCGTGTTTTGTGGCATCGATCAGTACAGTCGACTGTCTCCTCGAACGAACAGCGCATCAAACAGCCGACATCCTGTCTGTTGATACCGTGTCGACCGTAATGGCCATCTGAATGACCTTTAGCCGCGTCATTACGTCGCACAGTAAGGCCAAGTGTCGATAGTTGACATACGAACCATCGAAACTGATTACGTGATTCATCTCTTTTTCGACCGCTTTCAGGGACGGCTTCGATACTCAAAGTGGCAAATATTTCGCAAATATCATTAGAATAGGTGTTCGGCGCCAGAATCTCGACATCCCGTTCCGAAATCACCCGCATTATTGATCAGGCATTTCGTAGTAAACGTTAACAAACTCTTGGTCTTCGATAATGACACTGTTCAGTGGATCGGTATCGTAATAGATGGCCGTATTGGCGGTCACCTTACGTAGGGTTGTATGCTCGAGACGGCACAATCTTTGGCTTTTTCGGCATCCCTGGCGGCCGCACCCTTCAAGAAAACCGTCAGCGACGGTGTTTTCGGTTTCTTCGATATGTTAATAATTTCCTTAAGTCTGGGAACACCTAAGGTTACGTTTTTTTGCGGACACACCGGCGTAATGGAAAGTATTCAGTGTCATCTGAGTGGCCGGTTCGCCGAGCGATTGGGCGGCCAGCGCTTCGATCATTTCGCAAATATCAATTGAATAGGTGTCATACCGGCCATAGATGGCGAATCGGCACTACCGAAAAATATGCCGGCACCTGTTAAAATAGTTTAATATAAGATAATTAATCGGTAAATATATAGTTAAGACAACAATAGACTACTACTACTACTAACCCATAGTTCCCATTCCGGGCAAAGTTGTAGATATTTCGATACCTGTTTGCACTTATCAGGATCCAAAAGCATACCGAAAGCACTGGTACCCATTTTGGCCAACTGTCCAACAATAATACATTCGGATACACCTTTCAAACGGTCAACTTCGGCGTGTTTTGTGGCATCAATCAGTACATCGACAGTCTCCTCGAACGAACAGCGCATAAAACAGCCGACATCCTGTCTGTTGATACCGTGTCGAGTATTGGCCATCAGATCTATATCCCGTTCCGACAGTACACGCATCAGTGATGTACCATCAGTTTCCAGTAGCCATTCGGCAATGGCCTTATAGTCGCCGGTTTCGGTAACCATAATCTTCTTTTTATTATCAGTTGTCGGTAAATGCATATAAACTTTGGCAATGCTTGCGATTCCCTTTTTTTGAAAAAAATTAAAACAAATTATTAGTTTTAAAAAAAACTTACCGTAAGATAATTGTTGACCCAATTCGGTGATCACACACTAACATACCTGTAGTGTAATATCCGACAACATTGACGACTCAATACACCGGAGGAATACGTCGTCTTCCATTTTGTCCACTTATTCTTCTTCTTCTTCCATTATTTCGTCGCTATTCATAATACGTATACGAAGTATAAGTTTATCGTTGAATATACAGTTGAGATCGTCGCCAAAACCGGCACTAATTTTTTCGGCAATCGCTTCCATCGTTCAGCTTCTTGTCGGTCATAGGTTTGCGATCTAATTCTATACGCAAAAACCACAGACTGATGAGTGGAGACATCGAAATCAGGCATTTCGTAGTAAACATTAACAAACTCTTGATCTTCGGTGATAACACTGTTGAGTGGATCGGTATCGTAATAGATGGCCGTATTGGCGGTCACCTTACGTAGGGTTGTATGCTCGAGACGGCACAATACATCTTTGGCTTTTTCGGCATCTCTGGCGGCCGCACCCTTCAAGAAGACGGTCAGTGACGGTGTTTTCGGTTTTTTCGATATATTAATAATTTCTTTCAGTCGCGGAACACCTAGGGTTACGTTTTTGGCCGAAACACCGGCGTAATGGAAAGTATTCAGTGTCATCTGAGTGGCCGGTTCGCCGAGCGATTGGGCGGCCAACGCACCGACCATTTCGCCCGGCTGTACCTGCGATTGTTGAAATCGGGTTTAGATTTCGCCGATCAACCAGTCGAACGCTTCGGACGACAACCGATCGGATTCGGTAATCTTTTTCGAACAAAGTGTCGATCGGAGCAGTGCCCGAAACAGTAGGGTTGCATTTTTATTGGCCTGTACCGATAGGCGATCTTCGCCGGGTACTATTGTCAATCGGCTGACCAGTGCTTCGACACCGTCGATGACTTTCAGCGGCGACAGATCAGTTTGGCCGCGAAGATTTACGTGAAATATTTTCTGCGCATTCCATATCATACGATTCAGATTGCATGGCATCACTACCTTGGAGTCGCCGGTCGGAAATATGTCGCGCAATGTGTCCCGATCGGTACGTATGCGATCCCATTCCTGTTCGAGTTCCGACAGTGAGGACGAATTGCCGAGCAGTTCGCGGACAACGTCTTCGGTAAATATTCTGCCGATAAACAAAACAAACACAATAAATAAAAACCAAAACTAATAATTTGAATGAAAAAAAAAATCGCTTACTTTCGTAGATAGCGTTCGTTAGAGGCGTCAAACTTGAACTTATCTTTCAGTGCCTTATTGTTTGGCTTAAGTGTCGGTAAATTTTGAAACTCAACGGCACCGCCATCGAGGCCGTCCTCACCGTAACGCAACTGAATTACTTGGCCATTGGAATTACGTACGGTTCCGTCGTAGGTAACCATTACCGATTCCATAGCTTTGATCAGCCGTCGTTGAATATAACCGGTTTCGGCCGTTTTGACGGCGGTATCGATTTTTCGCCGCTATTCATAATACGTATACGAAGTATTAGTTTCTCGTCGTTGTTGTCGTTGAATATACAGTTCAGATCGTCGCCAAAATCGGCGCTAATTTTTTCGGCAATCGCTTCCATCGTTCAGCTTCTTGTCGGTCATAGGTTTGCGATCTAATTCTATACAACAAAAGCCACGGACTGATGAGTGGAGACATCGAAATCAGGCATTTCGTAGTAAACATTAACAAAATCTTGATCTCCGATCATAACACTGATCAGTGTATCGGTATCGTAATAGATGGCCGTATTAGCGGTCACCTTAAGTAGGGTTTCGGTTTAAATATGGTCGGCATCGGCATCTTTCCGTTCAAAATCGGCAAAAACATCAACAAAGTTATCATCTGTTCCTTATCGAGGAATACGTCACGTTTGGTCATTTTGCGTACGGCCGTCAGTGTGTCCTGGACGATACCCATTACGGGTTTATTACTTTGCGGGGTAATGATGTTACGCGGGACCATGGCCAGCTGTTCGATTTCGGCTTTAGTTTCCAGCGACTGGGGTACATGCATATTCATTTCGTCGCCATCGAAATCGGCATTGTAGGGCGTGGTTACCGATAGGTTCATCCGGAATGTTGACCACGGCAACACCCGTATCCTGTGGCCCATCATAGACATCTTATGTAGGGTTGGCTGCCGTTTGAAAACGATAACATCTCCGTTCCGAATGTGTCGTTCAACTTTGTAGCCGTACTGTAGATGCAAATCACTTGGTTTCGGATGAAATCGCAGATCAATACGTTCGCCATTGTCCCGAATGATGTATTTGGCTCCGGGATACTGGTTATGACCTATGCGTACCAGTTCGTACATCTGTTCGATGTTAAACGGTGTAACAATTTCCGGGAATGTCAGATTCTGGGCTATACTACGGGGTACACCGATTTCGTCGATACGCAAATTAGGATCGGGCGTAATGACCGTACGGGCGCTAAAGTCGACACGTTTGCCCATAAGATTACCGCGAATTCGACCTTCTTTCGACTTTAGTCGCTGTTTGATTGATTTCAGTGGTCGACCAGATTATTGTTGAGCTTTCGGTATACCGAGTATATCGTTGTCGACCAGTGTGTGTCCGCATAATACTGAAGCATTTTGACATTTTCGGCAATAATATGTGTGGCCGCACCCTACTAGTACTTCCTCGTCGGTAATGTGTTTGAATATTTCGTGCACTCGTTCGGCGGTCAAAAAGATTTTCTTCTCCTGAGAATCTTTGTTAAGGTGTTTCCATTCGGCGGTCAATTCGAGTCCTACTCGCCTAATACTAGACTGATATCGACCGCAACCTCCGTGACTGTTCAACTTTTTCATCTGATCGCCATTATTGTCATCGTTGCCGTCGTTTTTGTTGATATCCATGTCTTCGCCACCTAAATAACAACACAATAACAACAAAAATCAATTAGTTTTCGATACAGTGGTCATCGATGGTAACCCTCTATCTCTCTCATCTCTACATACCTTCGCAAATGTTTTTTCCTTTACAAAGATCGTAGACGTGAGCCAACCGTTTCCTGGGATTGCCTTTTGTTTCGTTGATAATCTCTTTGATCTTCGGATTGGTGGGCGATATCAACATTTTTGAACAATAAAAACAAACACAACGAAGTGTTTTGATAATCTTTGTCAAAAAGCCGATATGAAACACGGGTTTGGCCAGTTCGAGGTGACCAATGTGTGTGTGTGTGTGTGTGTGAGTGAGTGAATGGATGAATGTGAGTGAGAGAGAGAGAGAGAGAGAGAGAGAGAGAGAGAGAGAGAGAGAGAGAGAGAGAGAGAGAGAGAGAGAGAGAGAGAGAGAGAGAGAGAGAGAGAGAGAGAGAGAGAGAGAGAGAGAGAGAGAGAGAGAGAGAGAGAGAGAGAGAGAGAGAGAGAGAGAGAGTGATATTAAGCGATGTGATGTCGATAAAGATCAATGTATATTTGACGAATCCAATAGTCATATTGATTTATAAGATAAGTCAACCTATAATATAAATATATATTTTATAATTATAGTTATATATATAGTTATCTAGCATTCTCAACTGGTTATCAATTAATAAAAAAAAATAATTATAAAATACATACTCTTGAATTTCCTGTTGACTGAAATTTTGGACCAACTCATCAAAAGTTACATACATTTCTGCCATCAAAATGGTCACTAATTTTGTGGCACCTAATCTCTGGCGCCGATAGTTATTACCGTTTGTGTAAATAACCCAATATTGTTCATAGGATTTCCAAGCAGTTAACGTAAGCTTTCCAATAGCCAATTGTCTGCTAAATATATTAATAATAATAATAATAATAATAATAATAATAATAATAATAATTATATCAATTGTCTATTAAAAAAATAAAATAAAATTATTTATCAACTATTTTAGAGGCCATTAATTATTTAATTAGCCCGAACCCGAAGTACCCGTAAATACCACTTTTGAATCTTTGTGAAAATTTTTGCCAATAATAAACAAATCGTTACCGCCTTTGATGTCCGACTCGCTTCAGTATACACATACAGTCGAGAACCGTTAGGTATTGATGTTTACCCATCAGTTTCAACTCAATAACATTGAAACCGTCAACTTTGGTCATCTTATACGGTGTTTTACCGCTGACTTCGCAGGCCTGATAAAACAGGTGCGGCTGACCATAGATTGGTGTCGTGTCCGATAAAACATTGCATCTTACTTGGCCCGTCCTTGGCCGAGTAGCCAAACAACTGGACGGCCGGATACGATAGACCCGTACGGTCTTTGATAGTACCGCGCGATCCCTCCGTCATATACCGGGCCCTGTGATGACAATCGGGTTGCTTAACAATACGTAGTTCACGGAAACCGTCCGCTGATTTTGACGGATAATCCGAAAACAATTTGATTTCTTTGGCAGCAAACGACAGGCCATCACCAGTCGGTAGTATAGCATCCAGACTCCAGTTGGCCGAAGTGGCCACTCCTTGAAAACTCAATGGCGTATAATATCGTCAAATGGCGAACCGTTGGCCGTACTGTCCATTCGGGTATAGCTAGAGTGTTGCTTATCGGCGACAACTGTGGCGACGATTGCGTCGAATAGCATGTATTAAAACCGCTGTCCTTCGCCAGTCGTTAGACTACCAATCGGTTTGTTTGTGTTTGGACTGGCAGTGTCCACGGTATCGGCCAATTGGTAACCCCAGAAATTAAAAATATATATATATTAATTAACTTACCTTTTGTACTCCTGGCAATTCATATCACCATAGTGATTGATCAATCCAGAAAGATACTGGATCAATTTAATGATGCCATAGTATCCCTGATCAGCTACCGTTGGGTCCATTTCTCGCCAAATAGTACTACTACTACATCAACAAAAAAAAACAATTTAAATCAATATAAACTTTTTGTTTGTCAAACATTTTCGCAATTTTTTTTTCCATTCAATGAACTGATGGTCGGTTTAATTGCAAACACTATTAATGTTAGAAAACACTGAATTGATTTCAATTGCATTGCAATTCAAATTTTAAATGTTTTTATAAAATATTTATATATTTTTTTTTGTTTGTTTGATAACCGATTTTCGGGGACTTTTTTTTCGGTAAACTTTTTGTTGTTTGTCTATTATTATTACAAATTGTTTTTTTTAAACACAACAATTTATATGATATAATAATATTTAAGTTATATATATATATATATATATATACTGAGTGTATGGTATGTTATATCACAGTAAATACAGTTTTTTAAAAACAATTTTTGTGTTTTTTTTTACAAATGTATTGTAAATTGTATTAAAACTTTTAAAGTATTATAAATTTATGTAATAATAAATAATGTGTTTTTTATATAAATTATAATCAATATGTACTGTACCTGTATATAAAAGACACTACAAATTCTCACTAAATACAAGTAAACTGTTTTTGAAATTATATTTAAATATATATAAAAAAAAATATATTATTATTATTAATATATATTTAATAGACAACACACACCATAAACTAAATGATTGTACAGAAAAAAAATGTAATTATATTTTATAATAAGTATATATCATATATACTACTAATAATTATTATAATAATAATATGTATACAAATATATATATATATATATATTAAAAATTTTATTTAATAATATACTTACTTATGAATCAATTTTAAATCGATAAAATTATTATTATTATTATTATTATTATTATTATTATTATTATTATTTGATTCACTATTGATATTTAATTCAATAATTTCTTGTTTAACAACACTTAATGTGTGTGAATATGAACTGATATATTGTTTATCAGTCATATTGTGTGTTTGAATCAAAAAATTTTCAAAAAAAATTGTATTAAAGTTTAATATATATATATAAATAATAATAATTTAAAACTAATTAATTTTAAAAAATATTATTATTACTAAATGTTTATAAAAATTTTTAAAAATATATGACTAAAACATCTACAAAAAGTAAATACTAGTTGTCAATGGAAACCACTGTCAACAACAACAACAACAATATGTTATAACAACTAGTATTTATAATAGACTGATCAACAGTACAGGTGTTACCCTATAAATTTAATACATTTTAAAAAAATAATACAAATAATTAATTAATTAATATATTTTCAACAACAAAAAAATTAAATTTATAAATTATATAATAAATAAAAAACAAATTGTTAAATTTATTTATTTGTTTAGTAAATTATTCTATCAATATGTACTGTATATGTATATAAAAAAAATTAGTTTTTTTATTTTGTTTTTTGGTCACTCTATATATATATATATATACAGTCGATGACAAAATAGATGAACGAGGTTTTTTGTGTATATCTTTAGAATGGAAAAGAACTAGAATAAAAAAAAATTTTTGCTACTATTATTTATTGGGACGGTCAGTTTGGTATTGTCACTTTTTTTGTAATTGGGCACAGGTATGCAAGGACAGGGATGGTCAATATCTCGAAAACTATAATAGATATTAAAGTTTTATAAATTGATAATTATACTAAATTATAAAATATTAGACACGTGTTTTGACATTTTTAATTTTATTGCAAAGTATTCGAACAAAATTAATTTGTTTGTTGCAAAAATCAAAATTTAGGAGGTTATATCTTTTAAACGCATCGATTTATCATGATTTAGTAAATTGATTTAAATTCTATATTTTAGTACTTACAATTCATCTATACATTAAATTTAGTTAGCTTGTTTAGTTTTTAAAATATTTGTAAATTAATTTTTTTCTATTATAATTTTTTATAGATTTTGTTATCAATGTTATGTAATAGAAGACAATAATTAGTACTTAATTACAATAGAAAAAAGTTAATTTACAAATATTTTAAAAACTAAACAAGCTAACTAAATTTAATGTATAGATGAATTGTAAGTACTAAAATATAGAATTTAAATCAATTTACTAAATCATGATAAATCGATGCTTTTAAAAGATATGACCTCCTAAATTTTGATTTTTGCAACAAACAAATTAATTTTGTTCGAATACTTTGCAATAAAATTAAAAATGCCAAAACACGTGTCCAATATTTTTTGATTTAGTATAATTAGCAATTTATAAAACTTTAATATCTATTATAGTTTTCGAGATATTGACCATCCCTGTCCTTGCATACCTGTGCTCAATTACAAAAAAGTGACAATACCAAACTGACCGTCCCAGTAAATAATAGTAGCAAAAATTTTTTTTTGCTCTAGTTCCTTTCCATTCTCAAGATATATATATATATATATATATATACCAGTGATTAACATTAAGTGTTATAATGATAACTTTGTGATACATATATAACATAACTAATTTAACAGATATTTAATAGTAATTTTCATAATTTATAACAAACAATGAGTAAGTTAAACAAACACTTACTCATTTAATATGTACTAGCTTATTTGTACAATTTTGTTTTATAAAGTTTAATGTTAATCACTGATATATATACTGTACATATAATGTACATCCCATTCCTGTATATATTATTGTGTATAGTATTACTACAACTACTGTACTATTAATATACAGTACAGTATATTAATAGTTATGGCGCACACAATACCATTCAATAATAGCCATTAGTGTTGTGTTAGTGTTAGTGTATAGTAAGCGCATTGACTGCTATTATATATATATACGACACTATAACCACATTATTAACTGAATTTAATTGAATTTTTTGATTATTTATTATTTAGTTAATTGTAATTCAAAAACAACAACAATAACAACAATCAATCAATCAATCAGTCAATTGATTGATTGATTGGATTCAAACATCAAGTGTTTAAAGTATATATACCTATCAATAGTGTCCTAACAAACAGTCCTATTATAACCACAACAACATCGGGAGATAATAATAATAACACCAATTGGCCAGTAATCGGATCAAACACACATACACAACAACAACAACAATCGGGAGATAACAACACACCAATTGGCCAGTAATCGGATCAAACACACACACACACAACAACAACAACAATCGGGAGATAACAACACACCAATTGGCCAGTAATCGGATCAAACACACACACAACAACAACAATCGGGAGATAATAACACCAATTGGCCAGTAATCGGATCAAACACACACACACAACAACAACAATCGGGAGATAATAACACCAATTGGCCAGTAATCGGATCAAACACACACACAACAACAACAATCGGGAGATAACAACACACCAATTGGCCAGTAATCGGATCAAACACACACACACACACAACAACAATCGGGTGGTAAGCGGGTGTCCACCACTTTGGTTTGTCAAATATCAATCGGGTCAGCAGTACTACTACTACTACTACTAGTGGCCTACGATGTCCGGCATAATAACCAACGACTCTAAAGCGCCGGTACGCGACCCGCGACGTGTCCAGTTCGGTATACTTGGTCCGGACGAGATTCGCCGAATGTCCGTAACCGACGGCGGTGTCCAGTTTCCCGAGATATACGAAAATGGACGGCCAAAGTTGGGCGGCCTAATGGATCCGCGTCAGGGCGTAATCGATCGGATATCCCGATGTCAGACTTGCGCCGGCAATATGACCGAATGTTCCGGTCATTTTGGTCACCTCGAACTGGCCAAACCCGTGTTTCATATCGGCTTTTTGACAAAGATTATCAAAACACTTCGTTGCGTTTGTTTTTATTGTTCAAAAATGTTGATATCACCCACCAATCCGAAGATCAAAGAGATTATCAACGAAACGAAAGGCAATCCCAGGAAACGGTTGGCTCACGTCTACGATCTTTGTAAAGGAAAAAACATTTGCGAAGGTATGTAGGGATGAGAGAGATAGAGGGTTACCATCGATGACCACTGTATCGAAAACTAATTGATTTTTTTTGTTATTTAGGCGGCGAAGACATGGATATCAACAAAAACGACGGCAACGATGACAATAATGGCGATCAGATGAAAAAGTTGAACAGTCACGGAGGTTGCGGTCGATATCAGCCTAGTATTAGGCGAGTAGGACTCGAATTGACCGCCGAATGGAAACATCTCAATGAAGATTCTCAGGAGAAGAAAATCTTTTTGACCGCCGAACGAGTGCACGAAATATTCAAACACATTACCGACGAGGAAGTACTGGTGCTCGGTATGGATCCGAAGTATGCCCGACCCGACTGGATGTGCATTACAGTACTGCCGGTACCGCCGCTGTGCGTACGACCGGCAGTCGTAATGTTTGGTTCGGCTCGCAATCAGGACGATCTGACCCATAAGATATCCGATATTGTCAAATGCAATAACGAACTCATACGTAACGAACAGTCGGGTGCGGCCACACATATTATTGCCGAAAATGTCAAAATGCTTCAGTATCATGCGGCCACACTGGTCGACAACGATATACCCGGTATACCGAAAGCTCAACAAAAATCTGGTCGACCACTGAAATCAATCAAACAGCGACTAAAGTCGAAAGAGGGTCGTATTCGCGGTAATCTTATGGGCAAACGTGTCGACTTTAGCGCCCGTACGGTCATTACGCCCGATCCTAATTTACGTATCGACGAAATCGGTGTACCCCGTAGTATAGCCCAGAATCTTACATTTCCCGAAATTGTTACACCATTTAACATCGAACAGATGCACGAACTGGTACGCAAAGGTCATAACCAGTATCCCGGAGCCAAATACATCATTCGGGACAATGGCGAACGTATTGATCTGCGATTTCATCCGAAACCATCCGATCTGCATCTACAGTACGGCTACAAAGTTGAACGACACATACGTAATGGCGATGTTATCGTATTCAATCGGCAGCCAACCCTACACAAAATGTCTATGATGGGCCACAGGATACGGGTGTTGCCGTGGTCAACATTCCGGATGAACCTATCGGTAACCACGCCCTACAATGCCGATTTCGATGGCGACGAAATGAATATGCATGTACCCCAGTCGCTGGAAACTAAAGCCGAAATCGAACAGCTGGCCATGGTCCCGCGTAACATCATTACCCCGCAAAGTAATAAACCCGTAATGGGTATCGTCCAGGACACCTTGACGGCCGTACGCAAAATGACCAAACGTGACGTATTCCTCGATAAGGAACAGATGATGACTTTGTTGATGTTTTTGCCGATTTGGAACGGAAAGATGCCGATGCCGGCCATATTGAAACCGAAACCATTGTGGACAGGCAAGCAGCTGTTTTCGTTGATCATACCGGGACCCGTATCGCTGATTCGTACACATTCGACACATCCAGACGATGAAGATGACGGTCCCTATAAGTGGATATCGCCCGGCGATACCCGTATACTCATAGAACACGGCGAACTAATATCGGGTATTGTTTGTTCGAAAACTGTCGGTAAAGCGGCCGGCAGTCTATTGCATGTCGTATTCAACGAAATGGGACACGAAATTTGTGGTCTATTCTACGGTCACATTCAAACAGTTGTCAACAATTGGCTACTACTCGAAGGCCACAGTATCGGTATTGGCGATACGTTTGCCGATCCGCAGACCTATACGGAAATTCAGGAAACAATCAAAAAAGCCAAACAGGATGTGATCGAAGTGATCGAAAAGGCGCACAACGATGAACTGGATCCGACACCGGGTAATACACTGAGACAAACGTTTGAAAATCAAGTCAATCGTATACTGAACGACGCTCGCGACAAAACTGGTGCTTCGGCTCAGAAATCTCTGTCCGAAAACAACAATTTCAAATCGATGGTCGTTTCGGGTGCCAAAGGCTCGAAGATTAACATATCGCAGGTTATCGCTTGTGTCGGCCAACAGAACGTCGAAGGCAAACGAATACCGTTCGGGTTTCGTAAGCGAACTCTACCGCACTTTATTAAGGACGACTACGGACCCGAATCGCGCGGTTTTGTCGAAAACTCTTATCTGGCCGGTCTGACACCGTCCGAGTTTTTCTTTCATTCGATGGGCGGTCGCGAAGGTCTCATCGATACCGCCGTCAAAACGGCTGAAACCGGTTATATTCAACGACGGCTGATCAAAGCTATGGAATCGGTAATGGTTACCTACGACGGAACCGTACGAAATTCCAATGGCCAAGTAATTCAGTTGCGTTACGGTGAGGACGGACTCGATGGCGGTGCCGTTGAGTTTCAAAATTTACCGACACTTAAGCCAAACAATAAGGCACTGAAAGATAAGTTCAAGTTTGACGCCTCTAACGAACGATATCTACGAAAGTAAGCGATTTTTTTTTTCATTCAAATTATTAGTTTTGGTTTTTATTTATTGTGTTTTGTTTTACCGGCAGAATATTTACCGAAGACGTTGTCCGCGAACTGCTCGGCAATTCGTCCTCACTGTCGGAACTCGAACAGGAATGGGATCGCATACGTACCGATCGGGACACTTTGCGCGACATATTTCCGACCGGCGACTCCAAGGTAGTGATGCCATGCAATCTGAATCGTATGATATGGAATGCGCAGAAAATATTTCACGTAAATCTTCGCGGCCAAACTGATCTGTCGCCGCTGAAAGTCATCGACGGTGTCGAAGCACTGGTCAGCCGATTGACAATAGTACCCGGCGAAGATCGCCTATCGGTACAGGCCAATAAAAATGCAACCCTACTGTTTCGGGCACTGCTCCGATCGACACTTTGTTCGAAAAAGATTACCGAATCCGATCGGTTGTCGTCCGAAGCGTTCGACTGGTTGATCGGCGAAATCGAAACCCGATTTCAACAATCGCAGGTACAGCCGGGCGAAATGGTCGGTGCGTTGGCCGCCCAATCGCTCGGCGAACCGGCCACTCAGATGACACTGAATACTTTCCATTACGCCGGCGTATCGGCCAAAAACGTAACCCTAGGTGTTCCGCGGCTGAAAGAAATTATTAATATATCGAAAAAACCGAAAACACCGTCACTGACGGTCTTCTTGAAGGGTGCGGCCGCCAGGGATGCCGAAAAAGCCAAAGACGTATTGTGCCGTCTCGAGCATACAACCCTACGTAAGGTGACCGCCAATACGGCCATCTATTACGATCCCGATCCGCTAAACAGTGTCATCATCGAAGACCAAGAGTTTGTTAACGTTTACTACGAAATGCCTGATTTCGACGTTTCCCGTATCAGTCCGTGGCTTTTGCGTATCGAATTGGATCGCAAACGTATGACCGACAAGAAGCTAACGATGGAAGCGATTGCCGAAAAAATTAGTGCCGGTTTTGGCGACGATCTTAACTGTATATTCAACGACGACAACGCCGAGAAACTAATACTTCGTATTCGGATTATGAATAGCGACGAAAAAATGGAAGAAGAAGAACAAGTGGACAAAATGGAAGACGACGTATTCCTCCGGTGTATCGAGTCGTCAATGTTGTCTGATATTACACTACAGGTATGTTAGTGTGTGATCACCGAATCTGGTCAACAATTATCTTAAGTTTTTTTTAAAAAAAAAAACTAATAATTTGTTTTTTAAAAGGGAATCGAAAGCATTGCCAAAGTCTATATGCATTTACCGACAACTGATAATAAAAAGAAAATAATGGTTACCGAAACCGGCGACTATAAGGCCATTGCCGAATGGCTACTGGAAACTGATGGTACATCACTGATGCGTGTACTGTCGGAACGTGATGTAGATCCTGCTCGAACCTATTCCAATGATATTTGCGAAATATTTGCCACATTGGGTATCGAAGCCGTCCGGAAAGCGGTCGAAAAAGAGATGAATCACGTAATCAGTTTCGACGGTTCGTATGTCAACTATCGACACTTGGCCTTACTGTGCGACGTAATGACGGCCAAAGGTCATCTGATGGCCATTACTCGACACGGTATCAACAGACAGGATGTCGGCTGTTTGATGCGCTGTTCTTTCGAGGAGACTGTCGATGTGCTGATCGATGCCGCACAACACGCCGAAGTTGACCATTTGAAAGGTGTATCCGAATGTATTATTGTCGGACAGTTGGCCAAAATGGGTACCGGTGCGTTCGGTATGCTCTTGGATCCCGATAAGTGTAAACAGGGTATCGAAATACCTACAAATTTGCCCGGAATGGGAACTATGGGTTAGTAGTAGTAGTAGTAGTCTAATGTTGTTTTACCGTAACTATATATTTACCGATTAATTATTTTATATTAAACTATTTTAACAGGTGCCGGCATATTTTTCGGTAGTGCCGATTCGCCATCAATGGCGGGTATGACACCCCAGATGACTCCATGGGGACAGGGAGCCACTCCAGCTTACGGCCAGGCATGGTCGCCGGGACTCGGTTTAGGAATGACGCCCAATGCGGCCGGTTTTTCGCCGTCTGCCGCATCCGATGCCAGCGGCTTCTCGCCCGGCTATTCACCCGGTTGGTCACCGCAACCCGGTTCGCCTGGCTCTCCATCATCGCCATACATACCGTCACCGCACGGCCCGCTATCGCCATCCTATTCGCCGTCGTCACCGGCCTATGCACCGATGTCTCCCGGAGTGGGTCCGTCCAGTCCCACATACAGTCCGACAAGTCCATCGTATTCGCCGACGAGCCCATCATATTCACCCACTTCTCCAAACTATTCGCCAACCAGTCCCAACTACTCACCTACCAGTCCGTCATATTCGCCAACCAGTCCCTCATACTCGCCGACCTCACCATCCTATTCGCCAACATCGCCGTCATATTCACCTACTAGTCCTTCGTAAGTATATTTTTTTTATTATAAATATAATACAAAATTAATTATTTATTTTTATTTTATCAGTTACTCACCAACCAGTCCGTCATACTCTCCAACATCGCCCTCATATTCACCTACCAGTCCCTCCTATTCGCCAACCAGTCCGTCATATTCGCCAACAAGTCCATCATATTCTCCAACCAGTCCGTCATATTCGCCAACAAGTCCTTCATATTCTCCAACCAGTCCGTCATACTCTCCCAGCAGCCCCTCCTACGCACCCACCAGTCCATCCTATTCTCCAACATCGCCATCATATTCCCCTACATCGCCGTCCTATTCGCCGACTTCGCCATCATATAGCCCGTCGTCGCCGTCTTATTCACCCACCAGTCCATCCTATTCTCCCGGCTCACCCACCTATAGCCCGTCGTCGCCGAAATACTCGCCGGCCAGCCCGTCATATTCGCCGACGAGCCCATCGTATAGTCCGTCATCACCGCGCTATACGCCGGCGTCACCGAAATATTCGCCGACATCGCCGCGCTATTCCCCGACCAGTCCCTCGTATTCGCCTACCAGTCCCAACTATAGCGGTGCCAGTCCCGGCTATTCCCCTACATCGCCCAACTATTCGCCGTCGTCACCGAAATACACGCCGACCAGTCCATCGTATAGTCCGTCGTCGCCGAAATATTCGCCAACATCGCCCACATATTCGCCTACATCGCCGAACTATACGCCAACCAGTCCGACATATTCGCCGACCAGTCCGCGGGGCGGCTCTCAGTACTCGCCAACGAGTCCTACATACTCGCCGACCAGTCCGACCTATTCGCCTACCAGTCCTAACGATGACGACGATCAGCAATAATAACAACATTGCTATTGTTTTTAAAAAAATTAATTATTATTATTATTATTATTGTCATTAAATATAATGGGGTTTTTTATATATATATTTGAAAATATTAGTTAAATTTTAGTTATTATTATTATAATTATTATATATTTTTTAATTAATCATTATAATTACTATTAAATAATTAAAAAAAATAATTAATAATTATCGTAACGTTTTATAAAAAAACGTGTTTTTTTTAATTTGTTTGTTTGTTTTTTTTCTTAAAATTTATTATTATATATTTTTAAGCTAATAATCATATATATATATATACTGTATATTTAATTAATAATAATTGATATTATAGTTATTAGTTAAATGTTATATTATAATAATTATTTTAAAAAAATAATAATGGTTTATATTTATAAAAAAAAATCAATATATAATTACTGAAATAATAATAAATAAATATAAATACTATAATTAAAATATAAATGTAAAATCATAAATATGAAAAAAATATGCAAAAAAATTTGTGTTTAAATGCTTTATATGTAGAAACAATTGATTGTTATTTTTATTAAAAAATCAAACAAACATTTTTATAGCAATTTAGTTAAATTCAATTAAAATTAGCATTAATTATATATTTTAAAAAAAATCATTTTTTACTTATCTTGCTTTTCAATGTTATATCAATATATACTGTATATGCTTACAAAAAAATATATAATTGTAAAAATTAAATATTTTTTTATGTATAATCATCAATAAATATCATTAATAAATTTTTTGAAAAAATCAATAAAAAAAAATTTTAAAAATCATTTTAAAATTAACGACTAAAATTAATTTATACTAAATTTTTATTATAGAAAATAATTTTATAATCAATTCAATTATTTTGTTATAATAAATAATTTGTTATAAATTTGATTATAAATAAATTGATGACTATTAATGATTTAAAACATTTAATTAAGCTATATATTAATTTACCTGGCTTAAATTAAAAAAAAAAAATTTTAAAATAGATATAACGTTAATTGAATTTATTTTTTTGTTACTTAATATTCAATATATAGTTAATTATGAATTTATCAATTGTTTGCTTTATTAAAAAAATATATTAAATAAATATCTATCAATAAAATGATTATTTTTTTTATATTTATATATTAAAATCAAAAAATGTCATTTAAAAAAACGTGTGATCAGACATACCGGTGCCCATACATGTGTGTATGCGATGAGGAATGACAGTCCAAAAGTCATATTTTTTATATCTCTGGTAATGAGACTACTGGCCAATGATATCTAATTATTAGCTAAACATATCTAATAAAAAAAAATATTTTATATTAAATATTTTGTTTTATTAATTTCCAATTAGTTTTTTTTTAATTATATATATATATATATATATATCAATATATAACAATCTATTTCATTGAGAGAGTAATAAAAAAAACAAATATCATAAAAAAAATAAAACTGTTGAATATATTGTTGAATATATTGATTAATCAAATATTTAATCAATTTGTTTAAATGATAACATTTTGTTGTTTATCACTAATTTTATTTTATATATACTGTATATGTATAACCAATAATCAAAAAATATAAAAAAATAAAATTTGTTTTTCAATATCTATAGATGACATATACATACAGTTTAAATATATCAAATACATAACTTTCCGATTGAAACCCAATCGAAGGCCACTAATTAATTAATTAATAAGGGGGGGACAGTTAGCTCACACACACATACATACCAGTGCTAGCTAATCGACAAAATTTTTATTTTTTTATTAAATGATCATTAAATCATCAGATGATTATTAGTATTTTTTTTCATAGACTACTTTATCAATTTATACTTAATATATATTATTAGTTTAGTTTGTTTTACATACACATTAAACATAAAATTTAGTTAAATATTTTTTGTTTGTTTGTTTTTTTTGAATTGATTTAGTAATTGAATTGCACTCAAAAAAGTTTGAGGAAAATTAATTTTGTTGTTAGTTTTCAATTTTTTTTWWAAATTGTTGGTTTAGTTTTATATATATATATATMATTTAAATAATTAATTAACTAAAATATGTCACAAAATAACTATCGGCCGGTTAGTCATGTCATCTTTGATTTGGACGGTTTGCTAATCAACAGTGAGATTGTTTTTGCCAAATCAATAGCCATACTATTGAAACGATACGGTAATTATGGATTTAAATTGTAATTGTATTAATAAATGAACCGGTATTTACCAACAAAAAACTATAATACCCCTCAAAAAACAAAAAAAATAATTAATTACCTAAAATAACGGTTCAATTATTTTAATATAAGTTTTTTTACTAAAAAAACAAAACTAGTGTTTATGCAAAACAACTAAATATATAATTAATTTTTTTTAAAAATWTATTTTMTAAAAAAAATTTATTAGCAATTAAACTTTAAAAAAAATTATTATAATCTCTCTCTCTCTCTCTCTCTCTCTCTCTCTCTCTCTCTCTCTCTCTCTCTCTATTGTGTGTGTGTTTGTTTGTTGGGGTTTAAAGGTGTCAATGACTATAGCCGTGAACTACAGGAACGGGTGTTGGGTATGGAAGTTGAAAAAGGCATACAAGTAATCATCGATGAAACAGGTATACCGATAACCGTACAGGAGTTTAGACTATTGGAGAAAGACATCTACGAAGATGAGATGCGTCGGGTAGAGCTGATGCCGGGCGCCGAACGACTGGTCAAACATTTGCATCGACATCGGATACCGATGGCCATCGCTACGGGCAGTACGGTTATGTCGTTCGAGATAAAAACGGCCAGATATCGGGATTTTTTTCGTGTCGGCCATAACTTTCATCATATAGTCATGAGTCGGGACGATCCGGAAGTCGAACGGCCGAAACCGCACCCGGATATCTATTTGGCTGCGGCCCGACGTTTCCGACCGACTCCGGCCCAACCCGACGGTTGTCTGGTGTTCGAAGATTCGGGACTGGGTGTGGACGGCGCCCGTGCGGCCGGCATGCAGTGTGTTATGGTACCCGACTCGCGCTGGCCATGTCGCCAGCAAAACGCTACCCAAATATTGGCCACTTTGTTGGACTTTAGGCCCGAACTGTATGGTTTGCCGCCGTTTGACGATTAATATCACTAATTAATTAATTAAAATTAATTTTTAATAAATAAATTTATTATAAAATAATAAATAATTTTTTTACCACTATTTTTAATGAAACTTATAGTACAGTATATATAGTAATAAAATTATATAATATATTATTTTTTAATTGAATTAATTTTTTTTAATATACAATTTAATTATAAAACAAATAAATAAAATTAATTATTTTTTTTTGATTAATATAATAAATAATTAATATTATATTCTAATTAATTATTTTATTAAAAATAATAAATAATTTACAAACAACTTGTTATTGTTATTAATTATCAATTAAAATAACAAACTTAATAATAATCTATTTGTTTGTTTTATTAAATCTTAATTGATAATTGAATTATTTGACATTAAATTATTAATCAATTAAACAAAAAATTTATTAATATTTTATAAATTATCAATAATACTGTAGTTATGATAATAATTATGATAAAATACTGTACTTGTTTATATTAAAAAAAATTTTAAAAACTAAAGTTTAAATCAGTTAATATAATTTTTTAAAAAAAAAATAATATTTATTTAATAATCTAATAATATTTTTATATATTTACATTTATTTTTTGTATGTTTAATATGCGGTATAAATTTATTTTTATTTTTTTTAATTTCTAATATTTATAGTTATGCTAAAATATAATTTTTAAAAAACAACTAATTTGAATATTTTTTTGTTATTTAAAAAAACATGAATTATTTTTTACTAGTTATTTATTTTAATAAAATGCATATTTTATATACAGTATAAGTTTGCTATTGACTAATAAGTTATAAATAGTGTATCAAATATATATAAATATAAGCTAGGTAAAATTGATAAAAGTTTAAAACTTTAAGACACACACACACACGCATACATACATACATACATACATACATACATACATGCATAATCATATACATACACACACACACACACACACACACACACACACACACACACACACACACACACACACACACACACACACACATACATATACAGACACACACATACACACACACACACATACACACACACCACACACACATACACACACACACACATACATACACACACATACATACACACACATACATACACACACATACATACACACACATACATACATACATACATACATACACACACATACATACATACATACACACACACACACATACATACACACACACACACATACATACACACACACACACTAAGTTAGTGTTACTAACCACTATAAAATACAGTCACAAAATAACATATAATTTTTTTCAGTCAATATTAAACTTATTTAAAATTTTTATTTTTTTCAGTTTCAAAAAAACATGATTAGGTTTTGACTAAACCATTGATCCGATCCAATAGAGTGCTCCTCATATACAGTACTGTATATATATCGTAATATTTATAAAGTATAGTTAAAAATCCCATTGTATTGATGCGCCTAAAATACAAAGTGTTTGTATTGTGAACACCGACACCACCGCCACTGTGTATCTGCCACCGCCTGTCCTCTCTCTCTCTCTCACATACCATACCATACAAACATAAAGTGTATATCTAAAGGAAAACTGTTGGGCATTAAACTTTCCGATGCACTCCCAAAATCAATGAATTAAAACCTATTACTACTTTGAGTGTGTATGTGTGTGTGTGTGTATGTATGTAAGTGTGTGTATGTATGTATGTAAGTGTGTGTATGTATGTATGTAAGTGTGTGTATGTGTGTGTATGTATGTAAGTGTGTGTATGTGTATGTGTATGTGTATGTGTATGTGTATGTATGTATGTAATTGTATGTATGTAAGTGTGTGTATGTATGTGTCTATGTGTGTGTGTGTGTGTGTTTGATGAGGAGGGGAACTGGAGTTCACAGCGCTCAGTTATGTCGAGTGAGTGAGTGAGTGAGTGAGTGAGTGAGAGAGAGAGAGAAAGAAAGAGAGAGAGAGAGAGCTTTTAGATACGGCTCTGCACTGAATCCAGAGGTGTGGTGTTAGTAGTAGTAGTTGTTGTAGTAGTAGTGGTAGTGTCACTCACGCGAGTCAATAGCACTCTGGTGTTTGTTGGTTGGTGTTTGTGTTGTTGTGTCCGAATAGCATAGCACTGGTAGTACAGTATATAACCCCGGTGTCTATGTCTATGGTGTATATTATATATACAGTGTTACAGTGTCTCTCAAAGTGTCTGTGCTATGAAACAGATGTTGAATTGGATTTTTCTCTGTATGTGAGAGACATATACTATATATCATATATATATAAAACCTCTCTCTCTCTCTCTCTCTCTCTCTCTCTCTCTCTCTCTCTCTCTCTCTCTCTCTCTCTCTCTCTCTCATATATATATATATATATCTGATATATAAATACCGACAACTCCTGAGTGACTGTATCTCAAAGTCCAAGTGCTGTGTGTGTGTGAGGTTCGGTACTGTAAATACAAAATATATATATATATTTTTGTTGGTGTTATTGTTGTTGGATTCACACCATCATACCTGAGCTGCTGCTACTGCTCTCATATACTGTATATTTGTGGGGCCACTGACACACAACTATATAATATCCAAACCAACAAAAATAAAATTAAAAATAAAGTTTACTATTTTCTCACATAAATGTAAGTTTAGTTTTTTTGTGTTGAATTTTATGTTATTATTATTATTATTATTATTGTTATTATATGATAGATATTAATATCTATATATAATTTTCAATCTATTTATTATATAAGTATTAGTTGTTATATATATATATATATATATATATATATTTAAAACTTTTTTTCCTTGTATTTATTTATATATTTATTTTTTGTCAATTTTTTATTTTATTAGTTATAATATTGTTTTTTTTGTCAATTGTGTTTGAATTTCAATGTCAATTATTTATCATATTTTTATAGTTGTTAAAAATATGATAAAATTAGTTTTTTTATCACTTAATTATATTTATATATATAAAAAAGTTAACTTTAATGCTGTATATAATTTAATTTTTTAAATAATTTTATCTTAATTTTTTTATTTTAGTTAATTTACTATTTTGATTATCAATTTTTTATTTAATTTTAAATTATATTTTTTCTCAAATAGTTTTCAAAATAAAAACTTTAATTAATATTATTTATTATTAGTGTTTTATTATTATTATTATTATTGTTTATTTTTAATGTAAAATCATTTCATATTTTTCTTCCATATCATGCAATAAACAAATTAAATGTCAAAAAAAACAATTAAATATTTATTTATTTATATATTTTTAATACCATTTTTTTTAATGTCAAGTATACTGTAGTCAAGTTAGTAAATTGTAATTATTATTTTTAGTTTAAAATAATATAAAATTTAAAGTTTTTTTTAACAATTGATATGTTAGATACCCATTAAATATATATATATATATGACTATCCATTTTGAAGGGTCTATCCTATTGTTGTTGTTGTCTATTAAGAAGTTGGACAACATTTTTGTTGGTTAATATATATATATTTTTTTATTGTTATATTATTATATATATATATATTTTTTTATATACCGTATATAACTCCCCCTTTTTTTTGTATGAAATAAAACACTGGTTTTTTTTCTCATGTATTTTTATATTTTGGTGGTTAGGTTATAGCAAATTGTTATTTTGTATATACAGTATATGCCTATCAAATGTTGTTGTTGTTGAGATACCAGTGCCTGAAAAAAATGTATATTTTGAAACAAATAAAATAAAATTTTTAGTTCAAAATAATTTTGACATTTCTATATATATATATATATATATAGTATATATATTTATTTGTTAAACAATTTATATATAGTATTGTGTATATATATAAATAATATAAAAATCTTTAATTTTATTTTTCAAGGCTAACTAAATTGAGGCACTGGTAGGTCAAACAACTTGAGGGCTGTCATCCGCTAATTATATTATACTCACTGTATATATATATATACAGTACTATTCATATCTGACTTTATGCCAGATCTCTCTCTCTCTCTCTCTCTCTCTCTCTCTCTCTCTCTCTCTCTCTCTCTCTCTCTCTCTCTCTCTCTCTTTATTTTTATTCATTTTCATTGACATAACTTTCAAGTGAATGTCGGTTAAGATATATATATATATTTATAATAATTATTATATATTTGTTTTTTTAGCTAAAAATAATTGACACATAATAATCATAATCATAATAATAATGAAAGACTTAAGTCAATCATCGACATCAAGATATCATCAATTATCGGCTGACGGCTCATCATCAGCATCGGGCCAGACGGCCGCCGAATTGTGGCCAATCGGCGTCAAACTTGGTATCGTACGATTAGGACGGGTAGCCGGAAAGGTTGGTTATAATATGTTTTATTAATATTTTTTTATATATATATATATAAATAAAATCATATATTGTTTTGTTACTGTTGTATATAAGTTATATACCGTATATATATATATACTGTATATAAGTTATATACCGTATATATACTGTATATAAGTTATATACCTTATATATATATATACTGTATATAAGTTATATACCGTATATATACTGTCAAAAAAATACAGGTTCTATGTATTGGTAATGTAAAAATTAAATTATTTATTTTTATTATTATTATTATAATAAATTAAATTTGTTTGTAAAATTTAATTTATATGTATTGTACTATGTACTATGTAGTAAATTTTCTAAAATGATCATGCTCAATTTCATTATAACCCATCGACTTTCTCTCTCTCTCTCTCTCTCTCTCTCTCTCTCTCTCTCTCTCTCTCTCTCTCTCTCTCTCTCTMTGTCTCTCTCTCTYTATCTCCCTTTCCCTTTGCCTACCGTATCCTTGATATCGACTTCTACTATATAGTCGTGTCTGATGATGAGGTCATTCCTCCTCAATGACTGTATATATATATATATATATATATATATATACAGTATATGCTCTTGAAGTGTACGCCGCTCTCTCTCTCTCTCTCTCTCGGCTGATGATAGTAGGACTGACTGACTGACTGTACATTTTGTTAATATACAGTACATTATATAAGTACTGTATTTAGTATATAATTTAATGTATTTTTTATTAACTTATTTAACAACAACAACAATATCTGGTACTCTTAGGTTATAATGTATATTATACGGTATATATATTTTTTTGTTGGTTATATCATAGTTACTGTACATATATAATGGTCACTGACTTAACAGAAAATCATTGTTGAAACAATTGTTGTTGTTTTTTTATTATAACTTCAAATATCCAAATGATTTATTATATGCATTATTATTAATTACACACACASAGAGAGAGAGAGAGAGAGAGAGAGAGAGAGAGAGAGAGAGAGAGAGAGAGAGAGAGAGAGAGATTTGTTACTATTATTTTAAGTTATATTAAAAATTAGTTTATATCAATATATACAGTATATATATATATATATATATATATATATATATATATATATATATATGTATATATATATATATATGTATATGTATCTATGTGTATGTATGTGTATGTATGTGTATGTATGTGTGTGTATGTGTGTGTATGTGTGTGTGTATATGTGTGTGCATGTGTTTATGACAATTAATTAGTTTCAATGACAATTAAAATATCTAATATATTTTCTACATATATATATATATATAATAATCTAATAATTTATATATACTATAAATAAAAATTTAATATCGTTTTATTAAACTTTTATATTAATATTATAATAGAATATATATATATATATATATATTAATATATATGATAGTACAGTATAGTACAGTGTTATACTATATATATATATATATTTATACAGTAATATAAAAATTTTATATAATAAAAATGGTTTACAAAAATCAATTGCAGACAAAAAGTTTTTTGCCCTTTCGTTGATAATATATATATATATATGTTTTGAGAGACCAGACATCCAAATTGATCCATACATTTGGTGTCTCACTGTTTTGTTTGATAACCCAATATATATACTGTATATATATATATATATATATATATATATATATATATATATATTTATTTATTTATATGTTTTTAATGGTATTTTATTTCTATTTTATCAATGATTTTTTGATTTGATATTTTTTTGTTTTGCCTTTAAAATTTTTTTAAAAAAAAAATTTTTAAAGTTGATACCAATAAAATAAAATTTTTTGTAAAAAAATTTTTAATTCAAATAATTCAATACTATAAATATTAAAAATTTATTATCTATCAATTTGATATTACCGTATTATATATGATATTATTATTATTATGTTAATATAAATACATGATTATTTTCAATATATATATATATATATATATAAAAGTATACATAAAAAATTCAATATCATATAGTATTTGAATTTACTAAATACAAAATTATTATAAATGATAATTTTTAACTTTTAATATTTTAGCTAGTATAGTTAATACTAACAATAATAATAATAAATAATAATAGTTAATAATAATAATAATATAATTTAATCAACTATTGGTTTTTTTGGCATATATATATTGTATACTAGAATATATTGCTAACAAATAATATCCACACACAAAAAAAAACTAATTTATATTAATTTATTATAATAATAAAAATGAATTATTATTATTATTACTATAAAATAATAATATTCTGTGTATGTGTATCTACTATTGTATATATATGATTATAATAAATACTATACTAATAATAATATATTGATTGTATTGTATGTCTAAATAATTACTATTACATATATTCGAGATTATATAAGATTATTATTATATAAGACTTATTGGTATTTATTGATATTTTTTTTATATCTGATATTATTATTATTATTATTATATGGAAAGCAAATTAATGTCAATATTACAGTTGTTTGAGAGCTCTAATATACAGTATATTTATTATATATATATATATAAATATAAATAAATTTATATACAGTTTTATATCTCTTATGAATATTTATCATAATCACGATATACTATAATATAATATCTTTTGATATATATATATATATATATATATATATATCTCAATTGCTAATCGACTTTAAGGCTTCATCATTATTATTATTATTATTATTATCATTAGATGCCTTAATGTATGACCAAAAAAAATAACAAACTTTGAGAGCATATATATACTGTATATATAGCCATCACTTCAATAGATTAATATATATTATACAAGGGTTTGGTTTTTATATATAGCAAATAGAGTACAGATTATTCAATGATGGGATTCATCCATACATTTATTTATTTATTACTGGGTTTTTGCACATCCATTGCATGTCATATATATTATAGATATTTATGTGTTATATATATATATATACTGTATGTATATATATATGTGGCAAAAATATATATAGTGTATCTCTAGATTTTTTTCTAAGTTTATTTCCCATTATTTTTTTTATTATTATTATTTCAATGTATAAACCGTTAGTTTTTTACTTACTTTCACTATAAATATATGTATGATTGTATAGTGTAGTTACGGTACAAAAAATAATAATAATATACAGTATATATCGCAAAATTTAACCTAACATTAGATGGATTTTTTTTATGAGGAGGGGTATGAAAAAAGGCACTGTAATATACGGTATGCTATCTACTATTACTACTACTATATTATGTATTTGTTGGCACTGGTAGGTAGTCTTGGTGTTTGGGAAGAAACCCTAAACACTGGCAAATAATAATGTCTTATTGATCCAAAAAAAAAAATAAACGGTCGGATCAATTGCCATACCATTACATAGACATACACTTCAAATGCTAACCCATTTGTCATATGTTTTGAAGGCATCTCTCTCTCTCTCTCTCTCTCTCTCTCTCTCTCATCAAACGAGTGAGTGAGTGATTGAGAGAGAGTGAGAGAGARAGAGAGAGAGAGAGARAGAGAGARAGAGAGAGAGAGAGAGAGAGAGAGAGAGAGAGAGAGAGAGAGAGAGAGAGAGAGAGAGAGAGAGAGAGAGAGAGAAGAGAGARAAGAGAGAAAGAGAGAAAGAGAGAAAGAGAGAAAGAGAGAAAGAGAGAAAGAGAGAAAGAGAGAAGAGAGAGAGAGAGAGAGAGAAGAGAGAAAGAGAGAGAAGAGAGAAAGAGAGAAAGAGAGAGAGCTATTGATTAACTTATAAACACTAAACAAACATTAATATATTAGTACTGTTTATGATAATAATAATAATAATAATATATACAATATTATACAACAACAACAACAACAAAAAATTTTTTATTATTGATTATTTGATAGAAATTAAAATCCCGTTTTCAGATTTATATTTGGTGTTTATATATATTATATATATATATTTAAAAAATAATAATTAAAGATAAATAAATTAAATTAATAATAGAATAATTTTTTTTAATTTATTTTTCTCATATTGTTTATGAATTTTATGTTAAAAAAATTATTTTTATTAAATACGATATATTATTATTATTATTATTACTGTACTTTACATTAAGATAATTAAGTTATTTATATTGAATATATATACATAATTGTATAATTGAATGTATATAATTTATTTAATTACATTTAATAATAGTAATATTTATTTTTTTAATAAAAAATAATTAACATAAATTGATTTATCATAAAAATATTAATTATTATTTTAACTATTTTTTAGCTCAAATATACGCTATTAGATGAACGAGACATTGTGTTGGCCCGAGAGTATAGTTTTGAAGTAAGTTTTTATTTATTTATTTATTTTTAAAAAACATATATTATATATATATACATAAAATAATATTTATCAAAAAAAATGATTATATTTGTAGAAATAAATAATAAATAAAAAAATTTTGTTTGCATTATAATAAATTGTAGATTTTTTGTTGTTTACTATCATTGATTTGTTTTAATTTATATACATTTTTTTCAAATAATAGTAGAAAATAATAATAGATTTCTATTATATGGTATTATAATTATTGTTGTTGTATTAAATCGATTAACAATTTATTTAATATATATATATATAAATAAATATAATTCTAGGAATATATTTTGATTCATGCAATTATTGCCAAAACAATTAACTATTATTATTATTATTTATAAAATAAAATGCAAAATATAGGAAATAAAAATTTAATTTTACTATTATTAATAATATATCTAAATGTCATATTTTTGACATTAAATTTATATAAAAAAAATATTATTATTATTATATATAAAATATATAATTATTCAATCATATAAATTGAAATAATATTTATTTTTTTTAAATAAATTTTTCTAATATTTTATATTAAGAAAAAAATCAATTAATTTATTATTTATTTCAACAAATTTTCTAAATATCATTTTTAAAAATAAAATTAATTATCTAATTATCTTAAATATCATAATAATTAAGGCTCGCTTGGAGATCGACCGCAATGGTAACGGTGCCGTCATATATGCCGTAGCCTTTACCACCACCGCCGCCAATGGCCAACAGCGTCGGGGAGGCCGCCAATCGACGACTGCACGCTATCTCCAGGACCTGATCTGGGAGTCACACTACGGACCGATACCCCATCGGACACGTGTCGTCCATCGTAACTGTATATCGATGGACAACCGTCTGGACAATCTGTGTGTCGTTCCCATCGGCGACGGCTCTCATCTCTGGTATAACTGTCTATTGAGACAACACAACCACCACCACCAACAACAACAGTTAAACCATCAGCAGGAGAACCAACACCATCAACAACAACAACCACAACAACAATCAAATCCGCAAAACAAGTCATCACCAAATAATCATCAAATGACACTATACTGGGCAGCCATTCAACAGTTGCCGCCCGAACACATCCATACAGAGGTACGGGTAGTAGTAGTAGTAGTAATAGTCATACCCGGGTAGTAGTAATAGTAGTAATAGTCATACCCGGGTAGTAGTAATAGTAGTAATAGTCATACCCGGGTAGTAGTAATAGTAGTAATAGTCATACCCGGGTAGTAGTAGTAGTAATAGTCATACCCGGGTAGTAGTAGTAGTAATAGTCATACCCGGGTAGTAGTAATAGTAGTAATAGTCATACCCGGGTAGTAGTAGTAGTAATAGTCATACCGTACCATAAGCCTACCCCTCCTCCCCCTCCCCACCAATACATTATCACTTCAAACAATTTTTGTTTGTTATCAATTAATTATTTTTATTTTTTATATTAATTAATTAATAGTTACAATTAGACAACAGTACTATCAAATCAATGGATGTTAATGGAGATGTCATCGTTGAGGACGGTATGTATGAATGACTTACCGTTTAAAATTGTGTTTTCTCTATATCCATATGGAAATATGGAAAAGTCATGGGAAATAATGCGAGTTTTTTTCCCATAAGAAAAATATAGTTTTTTGAATAATAATTTCCCCTCCCCTCGTTTTTTATATATATTTTTTAATTTAGATATTTAATAACCCCGGTAATTAGTTATAACAATGTTTATTGTTAGAACATTGTTATTATAACTAATTACCGGGGTTATCTAAATATCTAAATATACCAGTAATTAATAGATCATACTGTTAAATAGATTGGTCATTACAGTTCCCTATATTAACCCCCGCTCCCCCCACCAAATTTTGCTTTTCCCCACATACTAGTTTAATTTACCAGGGAGGGGGAGGGAGGTAAAAAATGCGAGTTTTTTTGTTAAATTCCATATGGGAAATAAAACACGATTTTACGGTACCGATAGTTTTTTGGTAGTATTTTACTTAATTTTTTTTCCTAATCAGACGATATGGCCTATTATGAGTGTCATTACGGTCCGTGTTGTCGGCTTGAGAGTGAACCGAAACAATTTTCGATATGTGGCCGCTGCCAACTGACCCGATATTGCGGTACACAGTGTCAGCAGCGGGACTGGCCATCGCATAAACGATACTGTCGTGAAAAACCCAATAATAATAATCGGCAACAAAGAGTTGGACAACAATTATCATCGCAACAAACACTACAACAACAGCAGCCGATAATTGACCAAAATTTGGCCACAAATTCATTTATCATCGATAGATAAAAATAAAAAACGGATAATAAGTTTTTTTTTTAAATTAATTTCATTTAATTATGTTGTTATATATCTGTCGATAAGTTTTTTTTAAATATATATATAATAAAAATTTTCATAATTTATTATAAATATTAGAAATCATTGATTATTATTATTATTATTATTAATTGTAAACAATTGTGTGAATTGTGTTTAAATTATTATTATTTGTTAATTTATATGATATAATTGTTGTATCAAAAAAATAATAGTAAAAATAAATATCTTACTATTAAAATAAAATAATAAAATATTAATAAACGTTTTTTTAAACAAAAAAAAATTAATTAATATTGGTTAATTAAAAAATTGATTTAGTAGATAAAAATAACTTGATTAAATTAGTTTAAATTAATACAATACTGTATATATATTAATATTAACCAACAATAAAAATGTTGACAAAAATATATATTAAAGCAAATAAATGCTAAAATAAGTTATAATTATTTAAGCCAGGTAAGTGCTCAAAAATATTTAGTTAATTTAAATAAAACAATAGAAAATTTTAAATAAAATCAAATCAAAATTTATTATAAATTATATATATATATATATATATATATTGCAATCATATTTAGGATTTTTAAAAAATATAATAATTTAGAATTGAGTTAATTATCATTACATAAATTAAAAAGTTTAGATTTTCTAATTAATTAATTAATTAACGAAAATAATAATTATAATAATAATAGTATGATTTATTTTCATTTATTATAAGACTTTTTTTTAAATATATTTATATAATAATAATAATAATTGTAATTGAAATTTGAATTGAATTAAAAATTATTTTGTTGTTGTTTTGTTGTATCATTAAATCCTAATTATAATTTTTGTGAAATGTTTTGTTTAATAATAATAATAATAAATGAAAGAAAACAAATAATAATATCAATAATATAATTGTAATTTTATGAATGAAAATTAATTAAATAGTTTATTAATTAATTTTTGTTTGTTTTAATTAATTAATTTTTGTTTGTTTTAATTAATTAATTAATTAATTTAGTCGTCAATATAGGTATAGTTGTTGTCAAATGATGTAATCAATTGATTGATTAATTAATTTCCCGATTAAGAGACCAACAAAAAAAATTATCGGTAATTATAACCCATTGGCCGGACGGGCGTATTGTGTATCAAATGTATTGAAGTTAATGGAGATGTCATCGATGAGGAACGGTATGTATGACTTGAATTACTTGTAATGACTTTTTTAATGTAATATTTTAATTAATTTAAACGTCTTGATAGACTCGGGGGGTCGGTTCCGATTTGAACCCCCCTAACGGGTGGGTCCCTGAGTCGACGAACCTGCCGGGGCCTGAAAAGGAAATGCTTGGGCCTGAATAGGCGCACCATCGAGGGCCACATTTGCCGCTTGTGCCCCGGCCTGGGGGTGTGGGGGCGGGACTTGCCGGAAGGGTGGTCTTGGGGTGTGGGGGCGGGACTTGCCGGAAGGGTGGTCTTGGGGTGTGGGGGCGGGACTTGCCGGAAGGGTGGTCTTTTATTAATAAGACAGTACATTCTGTTTACACATTGATTTATGTGATGGATATGATAGTTAATACTAAAAAAAAAAAATGTTTATTATTTATGATTTTAAAAAAATTTAAAATTATTATTATTCAGTCAGTCCTATCAATATCCCGGTGAGCCGTACACTACAAGAGCGTACAGTTATTTTGAGGAGGAATGACCTCATCATCAGACACGACGACTATATAGTAGAAGTCGATATCAAGGATACGGTAGGCAAAGGGAAAGGGAGATAAAGAGAGAGACATAGAGAGAGAGAGAGAGAGAGAGAGAGAGAGAGAGAGAGAGAGACATAGAGAGAGACATAGAGAGAGACATAGAGAGAGACAGAGAGAGAGAGAGAGAGAGAGAGAGAGAGAGACATAGAGAGAGAGAGAGAGAGAGAGACAGAGAGAGAGAGAGAGAGAGAGAGAGAGAGAGAGAGAGACATAGAGAGAGAGAGAGAGAGACATAGAGAGAGAGAGAGAGAGAGAGAGAGAGAGAGAGAGAGAGAGAGAGAGAGAGAGAGAGAGAGAGAGAGAGAGAGAGAGAGAGAGAGAGAGAGAGAGAGAGAGAGAGAGAGAGAGAGAGAGAGAGAGAGAGAGAGAGAGAGAGAGAGAGAGAGAGAGACATAGAGAGAGAGAGAGAGAGAGACATAGAGAGAGAGAGAGAGAGACATAGAGAGAGAGAGAGAGAGACATAGAGAGAGAGAGAGAGACATAGAGAGAGAGAGAGACATAGAGAGAGAGAGAGAGAGAGAGAGAGAGAGAGAGAGAGAGAGAGAGAGAGAGAGAGAGAGACAGAGAGAGAGAGAGAGAGAGAGAGAGAGAGAGAGAGAGAGAGAGAGAGAGAGAGAGAGATAGAGAGAGAGAGAGAGAGAGAGAGAGACAGAGAGAGAGAGAGAGAGAGACAGAGAGAGAGAGAGAGAGACATAGAGAGAGAGAGAGAGAGACATAGAGAGAGAGAGAGAGAGAGAGAGAGAGAGAGAGAGAGAGAGAGAGAGAGAGAGAGAGAGACATAGAGAGAGAGAGAGACATAGAGAGAGAGAGAGAGACATAGAGAGAGAGAGAGAGAGAGACATAGAGAGAGAGAGAGAGAGAGAGAGAGAGAGAGAGAGAGAGAGAGAGAGAGAGAGAGAGAGAGAGACATAGAGAGAGAGAGAGAGAGAGAGAGAGAGAGAGAGAGAGAGAGAGAGAGAGAGAGAGAGAGAGAGAGAGAGAGAGAGAGAGAGAGAGAGAGAGAGAGAGAGAGAGAGAGAGAGAGAGAGAGAGAGAGAGAGAGAGACATAGAGAGAGAGAGAGAGAGAGAGAGAGAGAGAGAGAGAGAGAGAGAGAGAGAGAGAGAGAGAGAGAGAGACAKAGAGAGAGAGAGAGAGAGAGAGAGAGACATAGAGAGAGAGAGAGAGAGCACATACCGTTCATAATCTGTGTCGTTGGTCATTATGTTTTGAAAGTTTCCCCAATAAGTTGCTGAAAACTTAGTAAACATTCGTTTCAATTCTCCGGAAACTTTCTTAAGCCGATTATCATCATCGGTGGCCATTAAGTGCAAATATTTTGACCACAATTTTGTCAAATCAGTAATAATCAGCGAAACCTGATATCTCTGTCTATTAAAAAAAATAATGGGAAATAAATTTAGAAAAAAATAAATCTATATATATATATATATAATATAAAAAACTCTTATATAACACACACATAAATATCTATAATATATATATAAGACATGCAATGGATGTGCAAAAACCTAGTAATAAATAAATGAATGAATGTATGAATGTATGGATGAATCCCATCATTGAATACTCTGTACTCTATTTGCTATTATAAAAACCAAACCCTTGTATACTATTAATCTATTGAAGTGATGGCTATATATAATAAATATACTATATATTAGGTCTCAAAAAACTGTATATTGATGTTAATTTGCTTTCCATATAATAATAATAATAATAATAATAATATCAGATAAAAATAATATCAAACATATATATCAATAAATACCAATAAGTCTTATATAATAATATCTTATATAATCTCGAATGTATGTAATAGTAATTATTTAGATATACAATATAATCACTATATTATTATAATGATATATACAATAGTAGATACACACAGAATATTATTATTATTATTATTATAATATAGTAATAGTTATAATAATAATAATAGTTAATTAAATGGTTTACATACTTATGGCTATTGTATGGCAATCCGTTAAATATGTGCCACAATTCACGAAACAAACCGTCAATGTTGGTCACCATAGTGTTGACCAAATCTTGTGACAATAGGCCACTTGTCGACTGCGGCGGCCGATTCAATATATTAGTTTGGCTTTTAATTAAATAATAATAAATATTTTTATTACTTAACTAATTTTAATTAGAAAATTATATATATATATATATATATATATATATATGACTTACTATTGTGTATTATAATCATTAGATAGTGACAAATCATTGAATTCACTTTTAATACAACTTAATGTTAGATTAATATCAATTGAATTATTATTATTTGTCATATTTATTAAATATTTTTTTTTTGAAATTTAGTAATATTTATTAAAAAAATTTCAAAAATATTTATCATGCACAAAATATTTGTTATCAATAAGCTATTGTGTTTACTATATTATATTATACAGTCGATGACAAAATTGATGAACGAGGTTTTTTGTGTATATCTTTAGAATGGAAATGAACTAGAACAAAAAAAATTTTTTGCTACTATTATTTATTGGGACGGTCAGTTTGGTATTGCCACTTTTTTTGTAATTGGGCACAGGTATGCAAGGACAGGGATGGTCAATATCTCGAAAACTATAATAGATATTAAAGTTTTATAAATTGCTAATTATACTAAATCTGATAATATTGGACACGTGTTTTGGCATTTTTAATTTTATTGCAAAGTATTCAAACAAAATTAATTTTTTTGTTGCAAAAATCAAAATTTAAGAGACCATATCTTTTAAACGCATCATTATATCATGATTTAGTTAATTGATTTAAATTCTATATTTTAGTACTAACAATTCATCTATACATTAAATTTAGTTAGCTTGTTTAGTTTTTTAAATATTTGTAAATTAATTTTTTTCTATTGTAATTAAGTACTAATTATTGTCTTCTATTACATAACATTGATAACAAAATCTATAAATAATTACAATAGAAAAAAATTAATTTACAAATATTTAAAAAACTAAACAAGCTAACTAAATTTAATGTATAGATGAATTGTTAGTACTAAAATATAGAATTTAAATCAATTAACTAAATCATGATATAATGATGCGTTTAAAAGATATGGTCTCTTAAATTTTGATTTTTGCAACAAAAAAATTAATTTTGTTTGAATACTTTGCAATAAAATTAAAAATGCCAAAACACGTGTCCAATATTATCAGATTTAGTATAATTAGCAATTTATAAAACTTTAATATCTATTATAGTTTTCGAGATATTGACCATCCCTGTCCTTGCATACCTGTGCCCAATTACAAAAAAAGTGGCAATACCAAACTGACCGTCCCAATAAATAATAGTAGCAAAAATTTTTTTTTGTTCTAGTTCATTTCCATTCTAAAGATATACACAAAAAACCTCGTTCATCAATTTTGTCATCGACTGTATATATATATATACCGTAATTTGTTTTTTGAATTTGTTTTGTATTATATAATATATTTTATCATTTTTATATTTTATTAAAATTATATTAATCCTAAATTGTAATTAAATTAATATATATATATTCTACTGTATATATATATATTTAAAAATATAAATATTTAAAAATAAATATAATTTCAAATATATATATATATGCACATGTAAGATATGTATGGCAATTGATGGTACAAAATAAATTTTCCCCAACAATACTGACTGAAATTATTAATTAACTTTTAGTATGTAAATTAAAACTTGACCTGGCTATCTAATATTAGTAAAAAAAATAACCTTGAATAATTTTACAACTATTTAAATATATAATAATAACTAATCAAATATAATATACTAATATATAACAAAATTTTTGACCCTGTATAATTTCATAATTGATTAATTAATTGAGTAATAAAATCTATTAATATATTATAAACTTATTTAATATTTTGAAATTTTTTATTTAAATTTATTTATTTATTTTTAAGAAAGTTTTATAATTTAGAATTAAGTTTATTATCATTACATAAATTAAAAGTTTAGATTTTCTAATTAATTAACGAAAATAATAATAATAATAATAATAATAGTAACAAATGAATGATTTTATTTTCTCATTTATTATAAGACCTTTTTTTTAATATATTTATATAATATATAGATTATATAATTGATAATATACTGTATATATATATATATATATAACTATAAATTATTATTTTTTATTAGTGATATTTATATAATAATAATAGTAATAATAATTGTAATGGAAATGTGAATTGAATTAAAAATTATTTTTTTTTGTTTTTGTTTTGTTGTATCACTAAATCCTAATTATAATTTGTTTTTGTTGTGAAATGTTTTTAGTTTTAATAATAATAATAAATCAAATCAAAAAAAATTAAATCAAATAATAATAATATCAATAATATAAGAGTAATTTTTTTTATAATTGAAATTAATTAATGGTTTATTTATTTATTTATTTTTTTTGTTTGTTTTAATTAATTAATTTAGTCGTCAATATAGGTATAGTCTGTATAGTTGTCGTCAAATGATATAATCAATTGATTGGTTGATTGATTGATTAATTTCCCGATAAGAGACCAACAAAACAACAACAAAATTATCGGTAAGTGTTGTTTTTTTTTGATGGTTTAGTTTCGTTTGCCATTATTATAGCCCAGTGGCCGGACGGGCGTCTTGAACGAGTTGGCCGCCTGTTGTTGCAGTTGATAGGCCAGCGGATGAACCTTAAAGCCGTAGAGACGCGGATAGAATTGATTGACCGGACGTTTCGGCCGATATTCCGGATGAACCATAAACAACATATGGGGAAAACCGCTACCAAAATAGGCGCCGTCGGTATGATGATGGCGCGAACTTTTCGGATTATATATGTCCATACATTTTGGACAATATAGTTTGACCATTGCTTCGCCGGGTAAATCGGATAGTCCTATCGGTAGCATCGGTTGATTTTCGCAATACACACGGGGACAGTAACCAAAATCGCCGTTCTGATACTTGTCAATCATGGCGGCAATACCGCGATTGGTCAGTATGAATCGGGCGTGTATTAGGCCGTACAACATTTCGGCCGCCTGTTCAATGAGTTCCGACTGTTTCGGGGGAGACAAACAATTAATAATTAGTATTACTATTACATAATTTTTTTTTTGATAGACTATTGGCCGCCAATTTGACCGATCAAACTGTGTGTTTAAAAAAAACAATACCGACCGCTAATTACAGATATACGGTAGTGATTGTTGGACAACAAATTTTGTCGGTAAACTAATTAGAATCGGTATTTGACCCGCTATTTGCTATTTAGCTAATCAATTGGGTGACAATCAATTGGGTGACAATCAATTGGGTGACAATCAATTGGGTGACAATCAATTGGGTGACAATCAATTGGGTGACAATCAATAGGTGACGGCACCGATCAAAACACACACAGACACACAGTTTGTTCGGCCATTTGATGGCCATTTTTAATCAATCAATCAATCAATCAATCAGACAATCAATAACCTGATTGGGATTTTCCTCGAGTTCTTCATCCGGTTCTAAATCCAAAATCATGTCCAACGCCTGACGATAGTGCGGTACAGACTCCGATAGACCGGTCAGATTGAACTTGTCGTGTATGTAGTCTTCGTCGACTTCGCAATAGTATTCATTGCCACGGAGTCCGCAAAACCAGGAAATCCATGAAACCTCTTCCGATGACGACATCTCTTCAGAGGCCACTACTAGTGCTGCTGTCGCTGTCGTCGCCGCCGCCGCCGAGCTTAACGCCAGTACTCTATCTATGTGTGGACACGAGAGATAAGTAAACAACATATTAGTGGTCAGTGAAAGAAATATCGGGTGAGAAGTGGTCAGTAAAACGGGTGTTGAGACTATACATACCCTTAATATTTAGCGACACTTACAGGTGCTCTCTCTCTCTCTCTCAACACTCCTAACACACACCTAATCTCTGGCCAACAATCGGGTGTCCAATCAATACATATACAAAACACACAGTTTTTTCGCGGTGGGAGAGAAACACGTGTTTTAATTGATTGATTGATATGTTATTATAATTGAATTTAAATACAATTTTTTTATATTATTATTGTTGACAACAAACACACAAACAATTTGTGACACAATTAACTGGTATTTAGTACTACTGTCTGTCTATGTGTTTGGTTGAGCTATATATGTATGTATGAGTGGTATATAATATATACTATATATATATATGTATTGAGTGCCGATTGAGAGTCTCTATCTCTATGTGTGTGTTGACTCAAATGTATGCCTAACTACTAGAGCTGTCATATTTGTTAGGTTGGATAGAGAGAGAGAGAGAGAGGGGGGACTGGTATGTAATAACATGTAAGCATATACAGTACACACACACACACATACATATACACACACACTATAACATACATACTCACACACTCACACACACACACACACACACACACAAACACACACATACATACATACATACATACACACACACATACACACACACATACATACATACATACATACATACACACACACATACATACATACACACATACATACATACATACATACATACACACACACATACATACATACACACACACATACATACATACATACATACATACATACACACACACACACATACATACATACACACACATACATAAATACATACATACACACATACATACATACACACACACATACATAAATACATACATACACACATACATACATACACACACACATACATAAATACATACACTTACACACACTATCCCTATCCTAAAATACTAGACTTACCAAAAAAATATATAATAAATTATTTATTTATTTTTATACTAGGAATATTTTTTTAATTTTTTAAAATTTTTTTGTATTAAACTTTTTTTTCTAGTAATTTTAATTTTATTTAATTAATTTTTTCTAGTTTATTGAATTGATCTATTTACTAATAATTTTTAATAATATTTCTAATATTTTTTTAAGTCATAAAATTAAAGCAAATTATTTTTAGACATTTAAGACAGTTAACAAAAAAAAAAAAAATACAGTTATTTTATTTATAAAATGTTTATACAATATTTGTACACGTATATAAATATTATATTATATAGACATTGTCAATAATTTAAATTTCCTAAAAGTATAGGTATTTATTAAAATTAAAAAAAAAAATATTGATATTTGTTTGATAAAATACAATGGACAAAACAAATAAATGTCCAGGTACAATAATATATATATAAATAAAAATTAATTTGTTTGGTCATCATCACTCTCACAGTCTACAATTAGAGTACAATCCCTTATGTTATTTAATTTTTAAATGTACATTGTATATAGTATATATTGGAAAAAATAGCGTATATTATAATTATTATACAGTGTACTACTACTACTATGTATGTATTATTAATTTTATATTTGTGTATCATGCTTATAATTTATATATAAATTTTTTTTATTAATTTATTAATTTTAATAATTGTTAAAAATTTAATTGAAATAATTATTAATTAATTAATAGTTTATATCAGTTATTACTGCCAATTGATTTTGTATAATAAACACGCGCTATACTCCCCCGCATATACGGTCAGCACCCGGCGCCGGGTTATTACACATACACACCACACACACACACACACTAAAAGTTACCGATTATAGTCTACGGGGTGTCCACCACTTGCCACACACACACACACACACACACACACAGGTGCTATTGGTTACTACCCGCACGTGTCCATCACCACCACTACTACTACTACTACTAATACTATCTACTAAATGGCAGCCGCTATGATAGCATTAGCACCGACGGCAGCAGCGGCCGCGGCATCGGCTGCTGCGGCGGACATGTCGTCATCGGAAGAGGAGGTTTCGTGGATTGCCTGGTTTTGCGGACTTCGTGGCAACGAATACTATTGCGAAGTCGACGAAGACTATATTAACGATAAGTTCAACCTAACCGGCCTATCGGATGCCGTTCCCCACTATCGACAGGCGCTCGACATTATCTTAGACCTGGAACCGGATGAAGAACACGAAGACGATGTCAATCAGGTTTGTGCCGCCAATTGATTGATTGATTGATTCCCATATATATATGAGATAACTGACCCCAAAACTACCTGTTTTGGCCTAAACTTTATTATGATCTAAAAAAAATTAGTATTTTTCAAAAAAATTATATTGATTTTTAGATTTAATTATAATTTTTATAATAAATATTTAATATAACATTTAATTAGATTTAAAAAAAATATTATTTCTATTATTGTTACTTATAAGTAATATGAAAGTTAAAATTATATAATAATAATAATAATACAAATAATATTATTTTTTTTAAACTAATTAAATATAGTTATATTAAATATTTAATAAAATATTTATTATTATAACATATAGTTTTAAAATAATTTATTTTTTAAGCAATTATTTAATTATAAATTTTCATTTATTGATTTATTTTTGTTGTTGTAATTAGTAAATCCATATATATTTTGTTAATTTTTAATTATTATTTATAATAAATTATTTTTAATTTTTTAAAAACACACACAGAATCTAATCGAGTCGTCCGCCGAAATGCTTTACGGCCTAATACACGCCCGATTCATACTAACCAATCGGGGCATCGATGCTATGGCCGCCAAATACCAGAACGGCGATTTCGGTTACTGTCCCCGTGTTTACTGCGAAAATCAACCGATGCTACCCATAGGACTATCCGATCTATCCGGCGAATCAATGGTCAAACTATTTTGTCCGAAATGTATGGACATCTATAACCCGCAAAGTTCACGACACTATCGTACCGACGGTGCCCACTTTGGTACCGGTTTTCCGCATATGTTGTTTATGGTTCATCCAGAATATCGGCCACCGCAGCCAAAATCGGAGTTTCATCCGCGACTCTATGGCTTCAAAATACATCCCAAGGCTTATTAGTTATGCACTTATTATTAGTTTAATTGATTTTTTGATTATTATTATTATTATTATTATTATTATGTATTAATATATATATATATATACACACAAATTATGTATTAATTTATATAAGTAATTAATAATTATTTTATTATTATTTATTATTATATAAATCATTGATATTATATACAGTATATATATATATATATCAATATATTTTATCATTTGTATTACACACACACGATATAATAATAATTATTATTATGATTATAAAAATTATTATTAATTTAGTTATTTTATTATTATTATTGATTATATTATTTTTTTAAAAATGTTACTAAAAAAATAATATTGAACTGAAAAAGTCCTATTTTATTGTTGCTGTTGTTGTTGTTATTTAGTTAACAATAATTACAATTTTATTTTATTATTATTATTATTATTAAAGTGCTATTTATTATAGTTATGTAATGATACAAATTGATACAAATATTTATATATATAAAAAATAATAATTTCATTCATTCATTCAAAAAAAAAAAATTTATTCGTGTAATTAAATTGTGTGAAAACATATTAGAGTTTAAAAAACTTTATTTTTAAAAAATAATATTATTATTTTCAATGCATTTACTAAATATTTTATTTTTTAAAAATAGCTATTTTCATGAATTAAATTTTAAATTAATAATAAGTTTGATTAACAAACAAACAAACAAAATTGAACATGATCATTTTGTTTGGTCAATCTAATTGTACGGTTTAAACATCAAATCAAACATTTTGTTTAAAGTTTTTTTTTTTAAATTATAAAATAATATACAATAATATTTAAATATTGTTTTTTTTTAAACATATCATCAAAAAAATTTTACTAATATTAAACGACTATTTTATTTTTTTTACTATAATATATACTGTATATAACTATTATGATTATAAAATTTTATTATATTTTCAGTATATTTTTCAAAATATAATTTAATTTGATTGCCACTCATTGAAAAAGTTTTGCCACAATTTTTTTTAATAGACTATTGAATAGTATATAATAAATACATTATAAAATTTTTTTATTTATATATATATATATACAGCATATATATAGTTATGTTGAAAATAAATTTCAATACTCTCTATAAGTTTTTATTTATTTAGTTTTTTTTTCAAACATAAAGTTTGCGGAATAACTTAATAGCCAAACAAATGGATAGATTATTATCTAAATTTTATTTGACTCTCTCTCTCTCTCTCTCTCTCTCTCTCTCTCTCTCTCTCTCTCTCTCTCTCTCTCTAGACTTTAAAATATTTTTACTCTACTTATAGTAAAAAAAAATCTCTACTTAATAATAATAATCGTAAAACTTTTTTTTACGCCAATTTCAATGTTGTTCATAAAGTATTTTTATTTGATTTTAATTGAAACTACAAAATAAAAAGTTTATATTAAAAAAAAATACTATTCAGACTATAGTAAAGTATTTTATTTTCATTAGTCAATGAAATTTTTATTTATGTTTTTATTTTTGGTTAGTGTCTACTTTGTATAGACAATATATACAGTATATTTGACAAATAAATAACTATTATATATATATATATACTGTATATATTTGAAAAAAACATAGTCAGCTCATTATACTGTATATAATATATACTATATATATAAACGGATCTGAATTTTTTGGTTTGTATTTTAAGATTTTTATATTACGGATATTTCTCATTCATTTAAATTGGTATTATTTTTATTTTGTTTGTTAAAAACTAATAATATTAAATAAAATTTAATTGCATTAAACTTATATACTGTGTATTATTAATACTACAATATATATATATATGTATATAGTATTGTCATTATTAGTATTATTGAAATTTTTTTTTCAAAAATTTATAATTCAAAAATCTTTATTATTATTTATTTATTTAGTTAGATATTCATTTCATAAAAATTTATATCTATTTTTTTTGCACAGTGTGTATATACAGTACAAAATAAATTAAAATAAAAATATAATTACATTTTATCTTAGCTATTAGATTAAAAAATATATAAAATGAAATCAAGAATAATTTTATTATTATTATTATTATTATTTATTTTAAATAAAGTTTATAATGTTTTTAATATTAGTGAAAATATTATTATATATTTTAATAATACAATAAAATTGAAGTGTTTGACACACCTTTCAAAAATATACAGTATATATATATATATTATTCAATAATAAAATTATATTAAATTTTTTTGTGTGGTTTTTATGATTTTCTCTCTCTCTCTCTCTCTCTCTCTCTCTCTCTCTCTCTCTCTCTCTCTCTCTCTCTCTCTCTCTGAACCAACAATTTGTTTGTATATATTATTATTTTTTTTGTTTTGTTTTGTTTGTCATAAAATAATTATATTATTATGACTTTAAGTATATATATATAATAAAAAACAAACCGTCCTTTTTTTCCTTTAAATAAATAAATAAAATTTATTATATTTTTTTCAAGAAAAAAAAAACTAAAAATAAATAGATATTAAAATCGATATAAAAATCGGTAATTATAATCACATACACAATAATATTAAGCACTGATTACAACAAACAAACAAATAAACAAATAGTTTTATTTTACACCAAATTCATTATAAATGTATCTATTAGTTGAATCATACAAAAAAAATATTTTTTTTATTATAATTAAATTATTACTTATTACTGGGTATTACTATATAGTATATTACCTGCACCCACCTATTAGATGCCAACCAACCTATTATTGGCTTTCATATACTGTATATTATTATTATATATAGTGTTGGTAATTTTTTGCAATTCAATTTTCGATTGCCGCAATTGCTGAAAATTGCTTGAAATTGCTTGAAATTGCGCGCATGAGGGAATGTATAAAAATTAACTTTGACAACGTTAAAAATTTGATTTACTATAGATTAAGATAATTTACTAATTTATTATTATTTTTAACATGGTTTTAGATGGCAACATTTTATGATAAAATGATTAAAATTTATATAATTAATTTATGTTTTTATTCATATTGCTTTACCATTTAAATTTTGTTAATTTTTAAAAAATTATAAATTGTTCTATGTTACAATTGCGATTTTCGCAATCGAGCTTTTTGCAATTGCGGCAATTTCACGCAATTTCCGACCAATGCAATTGCGCATTTTGCAATCGGTACATCACTAATTATATATGATATAAAATTTTTAAAACTTTTATTTTTAAGTACTATACCTGTACTATACATTGCTATAGACAATATATATATGACTAAATATTTTTGTTTGTCTATAAAATGCTTATATACCGGTACTGTATATAACTATATATATTGATATTATTATTTTTTTTTTAAGGTGACACCTTAATGTCAATGATGGACAGCCCTAACTATCATATACTGTAAGATCATAGGACCAAATAATTATTTAAAAAAAAAGTTTTTATCAATCAAAAAAACAATACCTATTTTTTAAAAGCAAAAATAAATTTATATGCATTTATAGGTGTATAGGTATACCTGTATATAAAATCATAATTTTTAGGTAAAAAAGATTTAAACCATATATTTATATTTAGCAAATAACTAGTAATTGTTTTAAAAAACAATTTTTGCAACTTTTTTTTCCACCAAAAGTAATATACTAATGATTTTTTGGAGACAATTGCCAAAATATAGATATATATATACAAAAAATTTAAATAATTTATTGATTAGTTTATATATTAGTTTATCAATTTTAGTTTATATTATAATAATCATTATATATATAATTAATATCTAAATATTTTTTTTTTATAAAAAAAAACTACTGTTTTAAAGATAATCTTATATAATATATATATTATATAAGATCTATATATATATAAGTTTATCATCACTTAATTATTTGGGCAATCAATTTGATAATCAATTGATAAGTTTCAAGATTTTAAATAATAATAATACTAATAATAATTTTTTTGAGGACAATGAATAAAATGGAAATATCATTATCACCCGAACCATCATTTGGTCCACAGATACCGCTAACTATTGTCCATCAATCGCCACCACCACCACCACCATCAGCCATCACTCCAGTATCATTGCAGCAAACAATTAACGCCAGTCATCATCATCATCAGCATCAGCACCATCACCAGCACCAACACATAAACCATTCATCATCATCGATGGTGGTATCGTTAGGCCAGACATCGACAACCATTGCAGCCCATACTGGCTTCACCACCAGCGACAGCGACAGCATTGAACACCGCGAGTGCTATAACTGTCGGACCACTTGTACGCCATTGTGGCGCCGATTCGGTGTCGACCAGTTTCTGTGCAACGCCTGCGGACTCTATCAGCGCGTTAACGGTGCCCATCGGCCACTGGTACGCAACGTCCGACGGCTGTCCAGTACGTCCCGACGGGTCGGGCTGACCTGTGCCAATTGCGGTACAAAGACGACGTCGATGTGGCGCCGAAACGCTGTCGGCGATTCCGTGTGCAACGCCTGCGGTCTCTACTATCGGCTGAACGGTGTCAATAGGCCGGCGGCTATGCGTAAAGAGTCGATACGGACACGTCGTCGTCGGACTATTAAACTGATGGCACCGATGATGATGACAACGACTGGAGCGGCGGCGGTCACCGGGTTTAGCCACCATCACCACCACTACAGTAGTCAATCGGCATCAAATGGCATTGCCGTTGGCCATCATCACCAGCTAATGATCGGCGACTCAATGGATGACCACACTGTTGTCGGCAACGGTGACCATTGCGGTGGTGGTAGTGGCGGTGGCGGCGGCGGTGCCCGAAGTGTTTCACCGAATCAACGATCACTTATCCCATATCAGTCTACTTATCCAACACTATCTGCCGGTATGTCAACCGATTTGTTTTGAGTTATAATTATAATTAGTTTTTATTTATTTTATTTTATTTTGTTTTTAATTATAATTTTAATTAGAAATAATTTATGTATTTATTTAATCTGATATTTAGATTTTTAGTTAATTAACTTTATTGTTAGTAATTTATAATTATTTTTTAGTATAACAATAGTTAGTAATAATAATAATAATAATGAGATTTAAAAAATATTTTTATATACTTATATAACATATATTCAATAATTGTAAAAAAATTTATTACATTTAAAATAATTATTTTCAAAAAAATAGTTTATTTATTAATCAATAATAATAATAATAACTTAATAAATATCAAAACAATTTATTTAATCATAAATATTTTACTGTAAATAATATGATTAAATAATTATGATATATATATATATATTTAGATTTTTTAAAAAATTAAATACCAATAAAAAAATACTAAACAGTATACTATTAATATAACTAAATATTAATATTACAGGATATAATGTATAATAAATAGAAACAAAACAAAAATTACAAATAAAATGTGGTTAAAAAATATTGAATATGATATTTCAACAAAACAAACAAAATCATAAAATCTATAAACTTATATATTTTTATAGGTATTATATATCTATAATATATAGAATCTATATATTATAGATTATAATTTAGTAGTTTTAAAGAAATAAATAAATTAATAATTTAATAAATTTGATTTTATAATTGTTATATTAATATATTATTATTTTGTTTTAATTAAAAGTTTTAATGATTAGATTTTGTAGAAAATTATTATTTATTATACAATAATCAATTAAATCATTATATTTATTTGTATATTATTATTATAATATTTTACAAAAAATTATTAATATTATTATATTTTAGATTATCCTAGAATAGGAAATTGAATATATTTTGAATATTTATTTTAAAAATAATATTTAAATGTAATAATATATATATATATAAACGTTTCAAACAAATCATTGTTTGTATAGTAGATCATAATATTGAATTATATCTCATATTTAAATTAATATATACTATACATTAATTTTTTTTCATTTAAATATTAATTGCTATTTGTTATATTTAAATATTAAATATACAATATATTATGTTTTATAACATGCATATATATTAAAAATTTATCTATAATATTAGTATAAACTTATTTAATTTTTGCTAATTATTGTTACTTTTAATCAATTATTTAGACAATTTTTTTTAGCTCAACTATAACTTATCAAACAATTATCATACATTTAATTTAAATTTACTTTACTAATATTGAATAACATTAGTTAGAAAAATATTAATTAATAATAATGTATTATGTATGTATGTATCTAAAATAACCCTGACGAAACTATTTAGTTTAAATAATTAATTAATCAAAAAAAAATTATGATATCAATATCAATATCTATCATCGATAAATTTTTATCTCAATGTAAATTAGTATGTTTTAAAATTATTACATTAAGTGTGATTACATTAATCATTATTATTTGATTAATAATAATAAATTTACTATAAAATGATAATAAAACTATACTATAAGTTATAATCATGTATTTGATATATTTAAATACAAGATTATGAATTAATTTATTTATACAATAATTATCATACAAATAACATATGATTAAAACTATTTATTAAAATAATAGTTTATTTCAAAATTTACTAAATTATTTTTTAAAACAATATAGTAATTAAGCATTTAATCTAAAAATATCAATTTTCATTGATATTTTTTTAAATATATATTTAATTAATATTTTCAATAATTTTTTGTTTGTTTGTGCAAAATCAACTAAATTTTATATTACACATATTTATTAACTAATATAACTTATTAAAATATTTATTATCAATTAAAAATAAAGATTAATTTTTTTTTGCTAAAAACTTACTTATTTTTTTGTCTATAACTAAAAATAATAATTTTTTAGACTATTTATGCATTGCACACAAAAAAAACTTATAATTCAATTGATAAACTATATTATTGAATTTATCAATGAATAATTAGTAATCAAATTAGTAATCAAATTAGTAATCAAATTATTATCAAATAATGTATTTTTTGCTAAAATTTAAAATAACTATAAAAAAAATAAATTATCACTAAATAACTAGTAGACAATTTTTTTTCAATTTGCTTATTTATTTATATGATATGTGTGAATTAGTTAGATTTTTTTTTAATGATAATCAATAAATTATTTGTCAATTTAGTTTTTGACATTTAGTTGATTTTGCACAAACAAACAAACAAAAAAATTATGAAAATATTAATTAAATATATTTATAAATATCAATGAAAATTGATATTTTTTAGATTAAATGCTTAATTAGTAAAATATTATGTTGTCTTAAAATAATTTTTAATTTTTAAATAAACTTAATTTAATAAATAGTTTTAATCATATGTTATTAATATGATAATTATTGTATAAATAATTGACAATCAATATATTTTACTACTAACTAATCAATATTATAGATAGATATAGATATATATATATAAGAAAAAACAGTTTACTTTTGCTCCTATAGTCTATAGCCTTGCCCTTTGAACGAACCGGATATTATGCCGGGTATGCTATGAAAAAAACATATACAGTATATACGGTATATACTGTATATATATATATATATAAAAACAAAATTTATTTTAATGATAAAATAAAATTTAATCATCATATTTAACTGTTAAACTATATATATTATTTTGATTAAAATTTTTTTGTTTCAAGTAATATGATAATAATAATAATAATAATAATAATAATAATAATAATTACAATTAATATTGTATTTATACTGCAATAATTCAATATTGATTTTCAACAGTATTGCTAATAATAATAATATTTATAAAGAAAATTATTATTAATAATATTATTATTATAAATTGATTTTTTTGAAAAATATGATATATTGAAATATTATCAATATTTGTAATTTTAATAAAAATTATTAAATTAATTATATCAATATATATATTTATATTGAAATATTATATTACTATTACTTATATTAAATATTATATACAAATACTGTATTATTCAACATATAATAATAATAGATTAAATTCAGATATATTACACTTTAATTATTTATTTTATTTTTTTTAAAAAATAATTTAATCCCAGAGTTTGCCGCCTATCGCCACCACCATCACCACCACCATCACAATCATCGGCGACCAGCGGTAGTATCGGCACCCGAACCGCAAGAATACGCCACCACCACCAGTCCGTACCCACAGTTAGTATCGCCGCATCAATATTTACCGCCGGAATACCCGTTCCAGTATTGGACACCCCAACAGGTAATCCCACACCCATCCACACACACACACCCCTCCCCACCCCCAAAAAACTTAATTAAACTTTTTTTTTAAAAAAAATAGCAACAACAGCTCTACCATCATCAACAACAACAACAACTACACGGCCAACATATGGGCCAACAATTGTCGGCAGCGGCAGCAGCAGCGGCGGCCGCGGCCACTGCCGCAGCCGCACAGTACGGACAACAGCCTACTAATCATTATCAACATATTAATCAATAGGTGTCTCTCTCTCTCTCTCTCTTACTTTCTCTCTCTCTCTCTCTCTCTCTCTTTATATAAAAAAATAAAATAATTATTAATAATTAAAAACTTATTTTTTATATATATATATATATATATMTATATATATACAGTAAAGTATATTTCTCATTGTACTGTACTGTAGTATACTGTATACAGTGTACAGTAATTATTATTATTATTATTTTATTGTTTTAATTAATTAATTGTAATAATAATAATAATCATCAATGTCATACGATCTAGCTCAATTACATTGCAATTTTATTTTAATATATATATATTGTCATTAATACTGTGTACTAAAGTATACGATAGGTATACAAAAAAAGTATATAAAAAACTACATAAAAAATGATTTGTTGTAAAAGTTTTTTTAATATTTAAAATAATAATAATTAATAATAACTTATTAATAAAAACAACAACAAACTATTTATATTGTAGAATATATATATATATATATCAATAATTTATGATAATTTTATGGTGATTTATAGACAACATTAATAATAATAATAATTTATTTTATTTTTTTTGGTAGATTAGAAAATTATTACGTATTATTAATCAATTATTTTTTATATATATATAACTGTATCAACAACAACATCAACAACAACAAAATTAACAGATAATTTTAACGTAATAGTTATTTTTTTTAATAAAAAAAATATTTTTTAAAAATCTACCCTTGAATATTTAATATTAAAAATATTATATATATTATATATATATAAGTTAAAATTTATTATTCAATTATATGATTGCGAAATTTATTTTTATAATAAAAAAACTTAACTATTTTTTAATAAATTTTATAAATTTTTTTTATTACACACACACACTTTATACTGAAAAATCATTAATAAAAATTATATTTGAATAAACAATTTTTATTTATTTTATTTTCAAAACAAAATATCAATAATAAAAAATCATGTGATTGTATACTAATTTATATATAATTAGATAATAATTAGATTTTAAATAACAAAATATTTTTTTTGTTGGTTATATTAATCGATTTACTGCTATATAATCACACAAAAAAACTAATTTATAATAAAATAATTGTTAATTAATTGTTTAAATAATTTATTATTATTATTTTTTTGTGTGTTTTATTGGCGCCGACTTAACCATTATAATAGACGTCAATTGAAGGGTTTAATTAAATTATTATTATTATTAATAATATATTGTATAATACCGTATGTTATATACCTTTACTTAACAATTATTATTATAATATAAATAATTGTATTATTTTAAAAAAATAAAATACTATACAGTAATAATATAGATATGTTTTTGTAATATATTTATAATATATATTCAATGACATCCTCATCACCTGAAAAATAATGTTTGTTTAGTCTACTACTACTACTGTACTACCAGTGCTTACCATTTAATATAGTTATATACTATACTATTATATAAATATTAATAGTTTAGGTCTTTCCCCGAAAACACACCATACATGTGACGATAATTTTAATTTAAAAAAAATAAATATAATATATATATATATAAATATAATAGACATCTAATTATTATTATTAGTAGTATTTAAATATTATTCAAGTATTTCTTAATACAATTAAAATAAATTTTTTTAAAAAAATTTAATACATCAGAAAACAGTAAACAATAATTAATTTTTTATTATAATTATATTTTAAATTACAATTTATATATGTTTTTGAAAAAAATGTTTACTTATTTTTTTTGGTGGATATATAGAAAACTTTTGTAAAATTTAAAAACAAATATATTTATTGAGTAATTTAATATTATTTTTTTAAAAAATATAATAATAATAATTATAGTATTAAATTAATTGATAAACAATAATAATAATAAGCAAGCTGCTAAATTTATAAAATAAAAATCAAATTTAATTATTTATTAATTTTAATTGTACACCCCTTCCCCGACCCCCGTCCACCCACCCCATCACCCGTACTAAAAATCAAATACATTGTAACGTTATATATGAATGGCGGGTGATTTTAAATTTTAAATTTTACTCTCAATTTTATTTTATTTTTTTTTTGGTTAAAAAAAATCAGATGACGTTTACATTTGTTTTTTAAGATATACTGTAGTATTAAACAGTATTAAGAAAGAGAGAGAGAGAGAGAGAGAGAGAAAGAGAGAGAGAGAGAGAGAGAGAGAGAGAGAGAGAGAGAGAGAGAGAGAGAGAGAGAGAGAGAGAGAGAGAGAGAGAGAGAGAGAGAGAGAGAGAAAGAGAGAGAGAAAGAGAGAGAGAAAGAGAGAGAGAAAGAGAGAGAGAAAGAGAGAGAGTAAACTACTGTACAGTATATGTTGTAAAAAAATGTGTGTATTTTTTCACATTACTAGTAGTGGGTATTACTAGTAAACAGTGTAATCGCTCTCTCTCTCTCTCTTTAAGATACCCTATGTTTGTGTGTGTGTGTGTAGTGCATTGCACAGGTAGCTAATAATTTATGGGGTGTTCCCAGTTCCTACCCCCTCTCCCTCCCTCCCTATCCAACTTGTATAGACTTTAATATAGTAGTGTACTATTAGATGTACGACTAGTGACTTAAAAGTGCAACAGTCATACATAAACACCGTTTGATTTGTATAGTTAGTGCTAACGTGTAGTTTAGTATATCTGTCTGTTTGGCAATACATGTAATGGTGTGACGTATGACTTACCAGATATATACTGTATATGTGGTGTGATTCTGGTTTTACTTATCTATTATTACTGTTTATATATATATATATCGTATGAGTTGTTTGTTTGTAATATGTATGCAATAATCTATAGTTAACAGATGTCCACTATTATCAATCATAGGACACACACATTATATATATATATGTATAACTTTTATTTTTCTATCAAAAATAATACATAAAATAATACATAAAACAAATGAAAAAATTATTGAATAAAATTAGAAAACTTTTTACTTTTATTAAAACAACACAACATTAATAAAAAAAAAAAAAGATTATTCCCTAAAAAAAACAATAATACATAAAACAAAACAAAAATCAAAAAAAAACTATTGCATAAAATTTTTACTATTATAATATATTTTTTTAAAAATATATATTTCTAAATTAGAATCATATTTTTTTTTTTAAAATTTTAACAACAAAATTATTCCTTTAAAAAAACAAAAAATTGTTTATTTAAAAATATCCTTCAAAAAAATCTTTATTTTTTTAAATCTGGCAACTCCTATATAGTATGAGTAATCAAACATGTTATATTTAAAAAAAAAAAATCGTACGCATGCGTACAAAATGGCCAAAAACTGCACATCGTACGATCAATTGAATGGACCAATCAAATAGCCTAACAAATATGCTATGATTTTTTTTTCAATGTTTTTAATACACAGTAGAAAAAAAAACTGTACACTCATACTATAAATTATTATTATTATTATTATTATTATTATTATTACTACATTATTGCTATACTCATACACACACATTGATAACTCATTTTTTTTATATATATAAAAATTTTTTTATTTTTTAATTTTAGTATTTTATACATATATTTATATTGATTATATGTATGTATAAGTGCCGCACACAGTTAACATCATATCAGCAATGATTTTAAATTGTTGTTTATTTATTTAATATATATATTTAGTGTGTGTTTGTTAACTATCATCTAATCGCAAGACACAAACATATGAACTTCAAATAGCGGCTAAAATTTTTAAAAAAATTTTTTTACATTTTTTTCGGGTGTCAAATTAATATTATTAATAATTAATTATTATTAGTGTGAATACAGTTTTGTATTGAATTGTTTTGGTGGTTATCCTAATTTTATTGTATAATCGATTAATATTCTATCGATTGATTTGGATTTACTATTATTACTACTACTGCTAATAGTGTGGCCAACAATGCGGTCCTAACCGGGAATTGAATTGCCATCAAAAAAAAAATGTTGTTAAGGACTTTTTTGATGTTAATAAATACACGTACATAAAAAATAATTTTTTTTTATTAACTATTATTAACTAAATTATTAATTGTTAATATACATATTTTATATTATATATATATATATTTGTATACATATTATAATAATTATTAGTAGTATATATATATCCTTATTATATAAAATATAATTACATTTTTTTTTCTGTACAATCATTTAGTTTATGGTGTGTTTGTCTATTGAATATATTAATAATAATAATATATATTTTTTATATATATATTTAAATATCATTTAAAACATTTTAGTATATAAAACAATTTTATATAAAAAATTTAATCATATATTTTTTTGATAATATAATAATTAGTGAAAATTTGTATTGTTTTTTTATATACATATTTAATATTACATATTGTTGATTATAATTTATAATCAAAAAAAAACACATTATTTATTAACTACATATATTTATAATACTTTAAAAAAGTTTTAATACAATTTACAATACATTTAAAAAACACAAAAATTTTGTTTTTAAAAAAAACTGTATTTATTGTGATATAACATACCATACACTCAGTATATATATATATATAACTTAAATATTAATTATTATTGTTGTTGTGTTTTATATAAAAAAAAAAACAATTTGTAATAATAATAGACAAACAAAACAACATCAAAAAAAAAAAGTTTACCGAAAAAAAAGTCCCCGAAAATCGGTTATCAAACAAAACAAATATTTTTTTATAAACAGTTAAAATTGAATTGCAATGCAATTGAAGTCAATTCAGTGTTTTCTAACATTAATAGTGTTTGCAATGAAACCGACCATCAGTTCATTGAATGGAAAAAAATTGCGAAAATGTTTGACAAACAAAAAGTTTATAACCGGCGCCGTCGGCCTAACACTACTCATACTGTCCATTGCCTTACATTTATCGTTCAGACCGCTACTCAAGACACTGATCCAGTCGAAGATGAATTTGCACGAGTCGTCGGAATTTTTCCGTTTTTGGGTCAACCCGTCGGTGCCGACCGAAGTCGGTATCTATTTTTTTCATATACTCAACCCCTACGATGTACAAAACGGTGGTAAGACCATCAAAGTCAAAGAAATGGGCAAATATATGTTCAAGTATGTAGTAGTCATGTTTTTTTTTTTTAGCTAACTGTCCTCTAAATTGTAAAAATTGTTTTATTAATTTGTTTGTTTGAAACTTTTTTTAGACAACATTACGAGCGTCAAGTAATCGGCTTCTCCGACAATTTGGAAACAGTTACGTTTTACGAGCGCCGGTACTATGTATTCGACGATGAATTGACTACCGGTTCACTCGACGATAATATTACTGTTGTTAACGCACCGTTTGCTGTAAGCTATACTACTATACCATCCCTTGAATGATTGATATACTAATTAGATTGTTTCCCTCCCCCCTAGGCTTTGGGCTCGATAGTACCGAAAGTGATCGACGGTCTACCCATACCTCCCATATTCTCGTCACTGCCATACCGGGCCGTCAACTCATTCCTCGACAGCCACCAACAAACATTGTTCATCAATACGACTGTCCGCGACCTATTGTTCGGCTATAAACTGGATATTCTGGACACTGCCGAAGGTTTTGCCAATACACTGTCCAGATTCGGTGTAAGCGACTTTATGCCCAAAGAGTTTTTCCCGAATAACTCGTTCGGTGTACTCAATGGCCGCAACGGTACACTTGACGGCCCGTTCGAGGTCTACACTGGTCTGTCGGATACCGAAGATATGTTCGGCTATTTCAAGTCATGGAAAAGTCAAACAAAACTCGACTATTGGAAAGCCGACAGTTGTAATCAAATCAATGGTACCGACGGTACTATTTGGCCGCCGTTTGTCGATAAGACTAAACGATTGTATTTCTATGTGCCCGATGTTTGCCGGTATGTATTAGTTATATCTATCTGTCTGTCTGTTACCCATAGCTACCGATTTTCGCTATCTATACGGTATAAGCTATAGTTGTAAATAACTTATTAAATTATTTATTATATATATCCCTAATTATTAGCTCACTTTACGTAACATTTCAAGAGGAGGCCATTCACAAGGGTATCAAAACGTACATATATTCGGCACCCGACGATGTGATGGCCGGTAAGGATACGAATCCGGAAAACGAGTGTTTCTGTATGAACGACAACAACGACTATCACTGTCGACTGGACGGCGTCTACGATATGAGCCAATGCCAGCACGATATACCCATTATTGTCAGTTTGCCGCACTTTATTGGCGGCGATCGACGAATTACTGACCGTATCGAAGGTCTGAAACCCGATCCTAAACTGCATCGGCCAGTCATACACGTGGAGCCGGTAAGTGTCTATCTAATCTAATCATTTGATCGGTTACTTTATATACCGGTAATCGCTTAGCAATAGATTAATTAGTTAATAAAAAATTTTATTGTTATTATTATTAATTGCTTTTATATTAATCTTATCTCTCTTTCTTTGAAATTATTTTTTGTTTTTCATAGACGTTGGGTGCCGTCATTCACGGCGATAGTAAACTACAAATGTCTATACGTGTGCCTAAAAATGATTATATTAGGTATTGAATTTGGACTTAAAAAAAAATTATTAATATATTATTATTATATATAATTAAGAAATTATTTATTTTTATTTTTTTAATTGTTATTAATAATAGGGGTTTTGAAAATCTCGCTGACGATCTCTATGTACCACTGTTTTGGGGTTATAAGGTATATGTCTATAATATGTTTTTATGTTTTTAATAATTATTTTTAATTATACCGTAATATTTTCGTAACACATATATGTCTATAATTTTTTTTATTAATTTTTTTATTTATTTATTTATTTATTTTATTGTTTGTTTGGCCAGAAATTGGGTATTTCAGATGACTTTGCATCAGAGCTCAAGTCAAGACTATTCACACCGATAATTGTTGTCAAATACATAATCATTATGGGAATGATAACCGGGTTTTCTATGCTATTCATCGCACTATTGTTGGCCTTTTTATGCCAAACTCAGGTATGTTTGTGTATTGCGACAAACAAAATGTGTGATTTTATTTTAGTAATTAGTATTTCATTCATAAATATTTTTATTTTTTTTAAATAATCTAAATATCTGTCTGTCTATGTGGGAGTGGGTTGACTGAGTTTAGTTAGTTAGTTAGTTAGTTTGGGTAAGCCTTGAATTTATTAATAAAGTTATGCATTTATTTTATGGGTAGGAGGACAGTACCCCCCCCCCTGACAGCTATGTTATGGTAGGGGTGGGTGGGTGGGGGGTCTAGTTATGAAATAGTATAGTCGTATCTATCTATCAATGTATGTATCAATTAGTGATGAACCAACCGATACATTGACCTACTATTCCGACACCTATTTATAGAGATAACACTGTTTTCAATAAGTTAATGATACGCCTATAATATATTATTATAGTTAAAAAGTTTTATAAACTTATAAGGGGGTGTACTGTACTTTTAAATAAAAAAATAAAAATTAAATCTAAATTAAAACTAACAATAAAATATAAAACAACAACAAAAATTGTTTGGTTTAATAATAAATTAAACGCTTGAAGGATATTGTCCTTAACTTTTTGTATGCGTGTGTGTGTGTGTATGTATATATATATATATGTATGTATGTATGTATGTATGTGTATGTATGTGTATGTATGTGTATGTATGTGTATGTATGTGTATGTATGTATGTATGTATGTGTGTGTGTGTGTGTGTGTGTGTGTATGTATGTATGTGTGTGTGCATGAAATACATTGTTTTATTATACTGTAGTTTAGTAAACGGGAAAACAATTTGATTAAATTAAAACAAAAACAAAAAGATTAAATGATATTTGCCTAACAATTATTAATAGGTATCTACTGTACAATAATTGAATTCAATGCTAATTTTTTTGTGTGTTTTATCTATAATTTTTTAGTAATTTTCCTTTTAATTTTAACTTTAATTGTTTTTTTATTTAACATTTTTTTGTCGCTCTCACCTCCCAATAGGTATTGTCTATATCGTTGATCGACGACGAGTTTAGTCGGGTGCCGACCGGCGACTATTCATCATCGGACGGCACCACTACCGACACCATCGACACGCATAAGCTGTGCTCCAATAGGTCTTCATATCAGGAGTTGGAACTACTGATGAAGACTAGTCCCGAAACTATAATTTAGTGATTATTTTAATTTAATTAAATTAATTTTGATTTTATGAAAATAGATATAATTAATTAGTCTGTTGTATATATTTATATATAAGAAATAATTTAATTGATTATTAATTTTTTTTTAGTTGTTATTTGTCTCTGAAAAAAACATAAGATTTAATTTTAATGTAATTATTATATCGCCAAATGTCTAGTTTTTTTTGAGACATACTTATATTTTATATATATATATACAGTATATATATATACCTTAGGTTTCAAATTGTTTTATAGTTTTTTTTATAAATATATAATTTAAGCTAATTATTCACTAATTGCTGTAATTAATATCATATAATATGTCTATTAGTTTTTATTATTATTATTATTATTTATCAATTGGTTTAGTTTTTTTCCCAATTGTTTCCCTAATTTATTGTAATATAGTCTCCAGAAAAAAAACAAACACTTATATAATATAACAGATTTTTTTTTTAGTGTAAATCCATTATAAATGGTCCATAAAATCATTAATTGATTGTTTGATTGATTGATTGATAGATTGAAAAGAAAAAGTCTATAAAAATGCTAATAATAGCTATAAAAATGTTTTTTATATTTGTTTTTCTATTTGCTATTTAAAAAAAACATTTGAGTTTATAATTGAAAAAACAAAACCAAACATGAAATCAAATGTTTAGTTTATTTTTATATATTTTTTCAATTGTTGTTTCAATTGTATATACAGTATATAACTTATATATATATTTTTATATTACTACTATATTTGTATGGCTTTTTTGTATCAATTTTTTTATTATATATATATATAATATCATCAATCAAAACAAAAATCATTAATTGTGTCAATCATTTATATATATATATACAGTATTATACATATATGTGTATACTATACCACATTGCATAACACATATACTGTAATACTTTATGTATAATAACTTATATATACACACAGTTTAAACACTTGGAGTTTAAATGTGAGGCCAAACACGTGTAATATGTATATTAAAAAACACATGTATTTCCACACATGTGTGGACAGTAAAGCCCAGGGAGGTGTCGGGTGTCTACCGATAACCACTGGACGCCTCCTCCCATGTGTTTAGAGATAGTTATATACATTTGAATCTCATTTTTATTATAATTTGTAGGAATATTGTATAAAAAATAGGTAATAATAATAATAAAGTTTTTTTTATAAATATTTATAAAAATATCTTTGAATGTCATTAATTATATGACAATTAAGTAAAAAAAATCACTTTTTTTAATATTAATATATTTTGTCAGTTGATTATAAAAATTATTATTAATTAATTAAAATATATTTTTTCAATTTTATTATTATTATTATTATTATAGTAATGTAATATTTAAGTAGTACTTTGTAATGTAAATAATTTCATACATAAAACTTTTCAAACAAATAAAATAATAATAAAAAATAATAAAAAATTGTTTAATGCAATGAAATTTTGTTGAATTTATTAGAATTTAAAAAAAATGTTAATCAATGGTATGTATTGTTTTAATTAAATAAAAATTAGACAAATTATGGTTAGTTTGGAAGGGGTAGGTTGGGTGGGGGTGTGGAGGGGGTAATGTTTTTCGGTGAATAGCCACCCAAACCAAACCAACCCAACCTAAACATGTATACAATCCTAAAGTATGTATGAATTTTTCGTGTCTCCAGAATAGCGGTAAAAATTATTATTAGTCAATAGTATTCCTCATCATCGGTGGTCACTAGACTCGGTGGTGGCGGCGACGGCAATGTCAAAGACAACGGATCGCTTCCAGACGAGACGTCTGCTTCGTAATCATCCTCTTTAGGGCTTTGCCGACGACTCGGCCGCTGTCCAGGACTCGGTTGCTGTCCAGGACTCGGTTGCTGTCCAGGACTCGGTTGCTGTCCAGGACTCGGTTGCTGTCCAGGACTCGGTTGCTGTCCAGGACTCGGTTGCTGTCCAGGACTCGGTTGCTGTCCAGGACTCGGTTGCTGTCCAGGACTCGGTTGCTGTCCAGGAAAGTGTCGGCCACACACTTGACGCTAACCTCAACAGTACGGCCATATAGTTTCAGCCCATCAGTTTGAGCACTGGTTAAAAAGCATCGATTGTTTCGGTAAGTGTCTGGAAACCGACAAATGCGGTAATCATTTGGTCACGAATTCTTAGCTCTAATCCGATAGTTTTGGCAAATTTTTTGACGGCCGAGCCTACAGTCGATTGTATGGAAAATATATTGTAGTCGTCGTCGGGTACTATGCCATCAATTTTCAATATATTACGCATATTTACCGATAAAACCTTATTTTTATATAAAAAAAACAAAAATAAAATATAGATAAATAATAAATTTTAATAAAAAATTAGTATTTATTTTCAATTTTGTTTCTTTTTATTAATTAAATTAATTACATAATTACTATTTGTATGGCTTTTATTCAGGACTTTTTTTAAGCAAATTGGTCGCAACTTTTTTCCTCCTCCGAGTCCTTGGAGATAACTGTTCAGACATTGTTATGATAATACTATTTATATATTATTAATCAACACGTGTTTGTGTTAGTCTATAATAATAACAACTAATGGTTGTCTTACTATTGTTATTAACAAGTTATAAATAGAGCATTTATTTCACATATAACTTATATTTTTAGTGATTAAAGATATTAACAAAATAATTAGATATATATACAATTGATTGAAAACTAATAATTATGGCAAAAGTTTTAGTCACATAAACACATATAACAACATATTTTGAAATGTAGTCACATATTATCAAATATAAGCACATATTTTGCATATAACTATAATATAATGGAAAATAATAGTTAAAATACATTTTTCTTATGTTTATTTAGTATATGTATTATTGTTTTCAATATTTTAAAATAAATAAGCATTTTATGTTTATGCGATGTATTATACATTATTACTATTTCATAATTTCAGACAAATACTGTATCATAATATTTATGTTTTATAAAATTCTACTAATTTCTAATGTCTACAAAAAGACAATAAGATTTAAAGATTTATTTGTATTGATTTTAATTTATACTAAGAGTTTAAAAGTTGTATAATTTTAATTTATGAGAATTTAAGTATTGATAAGAAAAAAAATATTAATTTATCATTAATTGTAACTCAATTTTTAAATTGTTATTAAATATAACCACATATTTTGACTATTTTAACAAAATATAATCACATATTTTCGTGCTTTTAAGCAAATATTTCATTCAATAAAACACTAATTTTAGTCACATATATCTAAAGTTACTAGTTATAAATAATCATTAACTATATATATATATATATAGGAATTTTTTGTTTAGTTAGTTAAAAATTTATTAAAAAAAAGTACCAAGATAAAACTAAATCACACATTATAGTCTAGTATAAAATTAAATAAATTGTTAAAATCTTAGTCATAGTTTAATATTTATTGTAATGTATTTTTTTAAAAACTATTAAACTAACAATAAAAATTATTATGTTATCTAATGAATAATTATTCATATATATATATATATAATAATTTTCAACATCAATAATGTTATAATATTTATCCCCATAAAAAAAAGTTATCATGATCAATTCATCAACTTATATTTAACTTGATAAGTTTAAGTAAATTAATAAAGTTAATACATTGTATTATAAATTGTTAATTACTGGCTAACTTTATAAACATTTATTTTTTAAAAAAAATAAATTATATAAAATTTAAACTACATTATTATCTAATATTAAAAATATAGCTAAATATATATATATATATAGATATATAGTTTATTAATAATTAAAAAAAATTGTCACTAGCTTTCACTTTTATCATTAATTTTTTTTATATATAAATAATTTTTATTTTAGACAATAGATAATAAAAAATAACAAAAACAAACAAATCAATTGATACAATTAAAATGAAAGTATCACTTATAGTTAGTTAACTATTTTACTATAAATATATTTTTTATATTTAATTTTTATTTTTATTTATAAATAACTTTTTAAAAAAAAAACAATTATGATATTTAATGGTTATAGACAATAATTTTTTTTTAATTTTTCAACTATAACAAAAAAAAACTATAAATATTAGGTTCAAAACTAAATTATTATTATTTTTTAAAGTTTATTTGATGGGATAGGTTTAGACATTTTTTTTGTTGTTGAGAGCACCTGTATGTGTGACCAAATGGTTTACTAGTGTTTTATTACAGTATATATATATATATATATAATACCCAGGAGTTAAAAAAAATATTATATTATCTATTTATTGTAAAATTATTTTTTTTTTTAAAATAAAAAAATAATTATTATTATGAAAAGTTTTTTGGCAATTGTGGTAACGGTATCCGTACTAACAGTGCTTACTGATGCCGGCGGCGGTGGACTATTAAAAAAAATGTTCAAGGTAATTAATAATATAATAATTATAATAGCAATAATAGTAGAAAAAAAAATCTGTTAATATTTTTTTAAATAATTTATTATTATTGTTTTTTAGTTATATATATATATGTATATATAACTATAAATATTAGCATTAATATTAGAAATTTAATAATAATAATAATAATAATTAAGTTATAATTATATATAAAACTAACTAACTTTATCTATTGCTATTAAAATTGAATTTTATCTAGGTTATTTTTGTCAAAAAAATATTATTGTTATATTTATATTTATTACTATAGCTATTTATATTAGTATATATTTTAGAAATTTAATAATAATATTAATAACAAAGTTATAATTATATATAAAACTAACTAACTTTATCTATTGCTATTGAATTTTATCTAGGTTATTTTTATCCAAAAAAATAAATAAATAATTTTTAGTTATCATAATCTTTTTATTTGTTTTTTTTTATTTTTGAACAAAATTATATTTAAATTATTTTTTTTAATTTCTATTTTCTTCTAAATTAATTAATTATGAATTATCCCAAAACTAATATTTATGTTAAAACTATGTTTAAAAAATTATTTAATTAAAAAAAAATTTGTGGTGCGTATAGAAAGGTGGTCTATTGATGTTAGGCCATCGGGTACTACCGATGCCGCTACCGTTCCCGTTGCCAATGCCTATGGTCCGTGATGAACATCATCACGTTCCCTGTCCAACAGCACCCCCACCACAACTGTAAGTAATAAACTATATATAATATTAGATATAATTATAATAATATAATTAAAATTAGGGGGAAAATAATATATATATATATATATTATAAATTATTAATTGATAATAAAATTATTACTAATCAACGTAATAAAGTTATTATATTAAAAGTTAAATAAATTATTTTTTTAATGTACATTTTATTACGTAGATTACTTAAGTTATAAAATTTTTTTATTAATTATTTTATTATTATTATTTTTACATTTTAACAGCACATATAGTCATAGTTTTGCTGACGGTTCACATGATAGTTGGCGGCGCCGATGATTATTATTCAACATTTAGTTTATTAATTATTATTATTAATTTTATTTAATTATATATATATATATATATATATATATATATATAATATTATATTTAGTTTATATAGATTATAAAAATTGTTTTAACTTATAATAATAATAATTTAATTTTAAAATTCTAGCTAGTTAATTGAAATATTTTTTGTAAAATTAAAATGTAATTGTCTATCATTGACACTATTTTATTTTTATTTTTTAAAATTTAGCTGATTAATTTTACTTATTGAAAATTTTAGATATTTTCTATAATAAATTTATCATTTATTATTTATATATATGTTTTTATATTTAAAATGTTTTCAACTTAAAATTAATATATAATTATTAGGCTAAAAAAATTATACAGTTTTTAATACTTAGCTATTTTTAAATAAAATAAAACAATATTAACTATCAATTTATAAAATAAAATTTACCAAAATATACAAATATTTAATACAATTAATAGATTATAATTAGAAATAAATAAACAATTTTTTTTTATAAATCTATAAAAACTATTTTTAATATTATTTTGTTTGTTTGTTTGTTTAATTGTATTATTCAATCAGTTAATTGTTTTTTTTTTAATTATTTTTTATGTGTGTATATATTATATAATTGATTTTGATTGATATGTTTGTAAAAAAAAAAAAAAAATTTTGTTTACAATAATTTAAAAAATCTCAACAAATTTATGGATACAATAATAAATTAATTATAATATTAATTTTCTAATTATTTAATTTGTATTTTTTTTAATTATATATTATAATAGTTATATAATAATAATAATAATAATAATAATTGTTAATATTAAATTAATTAAATAATCAATAATCAAGCTAACAGTAATAATAATAATTTAATGTAATATCATTTTTTTTATAATTAATTAATTGAAATAATTTGTTTTTATGTACTGTAATAAAAAATATAATTAATAATAATAATAATAAATTTACTAAAAATGTCACTAGTACAGTCAACTAATATATATATATATAAATAAATAAATTAATTATAACACGTTTTAATTATGGAATTTTTTATCAAGGTTATTATTTTGAATTTTTTTCTCAACATTGTTAAGTAATTGTACTAGGATATATGAATTACGATTTTTTTTTTTAAATAAGAAAAACGTACCAATGTACAATTGTATTATTTTTCAAAATATGATTTGTACGTCTATGATTGGCTAAATAATTCAGTATACAGTAAACACACATTATGCTGTACTAGTATAGTTTGGTACTTGTTTAAAATTTGGGTATTGCTAAAATGCTAAGGGATGATTCACATATTAAGTTCGCACTTGAAGGGGAAGGGGGGTCGGTCTAAGCGAATTTTTGCAAACGAGGGGTAAAGAAAGGGTAGAGATCTTAAGGACGTTTCCATTTAGATATTTTATTTTGTAGTGGTGGTGGACGGGGGGGGGGGTTAGCGGTTAGGGATATGTGAACGTAATTTTTTTTTAAAAAATGACTACATTCAAACATAGGAGGAGGGAAGGGATCTAGATTTCTTAAAATGTACGAACGTATTATGTGAACAACACCACCCCCTCCCCTAATGTATTAGTCATAGAGGCTATACTGTAATAATACACTGTATAGTATGACGCAGTGCTTATGCTCTCTCTCTTTAAATACAGTATAATATCAGTTGTGTAGTAATGTATGGCTCACTAGTAATATAAATCACTATTTAAAAAAAAAAAAAAATGTTTGCATCACTCGATAGTATTGGACTTGTATTATACTAACAGTAATTATATGGTAAACACTTTAGTATTACTGTATTTAAAAAAGCTATTGGCCTTCAAAATAAATGTTTGCCTAAAAACGTTTCAATCAGTTTATATGTATGTATTAATCAATTAGTGATTATTATTCAATATATAACTGTTATTATGATTATTAGCAGTGATTCATATAAAACACTAAACGTGTAAATAATTTTTTTTCCCAATAATTTAATGTTTTATTTTATTTTTATTTTTTAAATAAATAAAAGTAAATAACATTACAATCGATACATACGTTTAGTTGAAATATAATAATAATAATTATTTTTTAAAAATATTTAAATGTTGTTTACATTTATTGATTTGATTTGAAGTAATCGTTAGTTTTATTGACTGATTGGGTATTTTTGTTGTGATTTTTGTTGTTGTTTTGGCCACTAATTCAATGACTGACTTCGGCCGCCAATTGTTTGTCATTAGTAGTAATAATAATAATAATAATAATAATAATTGTTTCGGCGATGACTACAAAAAACAATTATTTGTGGTCAACGCATAACTTGCGGACACTATTAGTAGTACTATTGTTGGTTACCGTCGGTGTTGTTACCGATTGTCAACAACAACAATGGACATCGGCATCGGTGGACACCATCAGCAGCAACAACAACAATGTCAATGATAGCGGCGGTGATGGCCAACAACAACAGTCATCATCGACAGTAACAGCGGAAACATTACCGCCGATAGACTCGACAACGTCCAACACTGGCGGCGGCGGTGTCGATGACAACACAAACACGACCACTAACACCGATAACGATGGCAAAAGTGATGTTCAAAAATTAGCCGCCGATAATAATACCGCGGCGGCGTCGGCGACCAACGAGTCGACAATCAACCGAACATTATATGTGGAACCGTTGGTCATCATCCAGGACGACGATCTGCCGTCGGTGCCGACTCCGGCCACGCCAAACGAAATGCTGTCATTCGAGGAGTGGCGCAAAAAGATTGCCGAAAAGGCTGTCCAACAACAACAACAACAAAGTGGACAACAAATGAGTGGCCACCATCTGAATAACGGTGGCGGCAATGGCCGACAGCAGCCAATCGTTGGTGGACACCACCAATCGTCGGGCCCGCAATTGGCACCACAACAGCAGCAGCAGCCACAACAGCAACAACAACAAGCGGCACAGTTTGCCGATCCGGTGGTGGCCAATCAGAAGCCTACGACATTGTTGGCCAGAAAACGGACCCGAAATTTTGCGTCCAACGAATGCGGCGCCAAAATAGTGGACAGCAATCCCGAGTCCGAGTCGGTCATGAGGTTTGTACTTACGATTTGTTAATTTATTATTTTTTTAAATTAATTAATTAATTTTTTTAATTTACATACAATTTTCCCACATTTATTTCAATGAGTAATTAATTAATTATAATTATTAATAGATTGTTGTGTAATATACTGTATAATTGTTGATGTTTTTAAAAAAAAAGAAAATTTAGTTAATTATAGCTAATAATTATTATACAATTTATTATTAGATTTAATTAGAAAAGTTGGGAAAAAATAGTTATATAATTGTTATTTTAATTATTTGTTATTTTTTTTGCTTAATAATAATAATTAAATAATAATTACTGATATTTTTCATACAATAGTGTCGTCAATATGTCGCTAAATGTGTGATATATTTTTGTTAGATAATAATATCAATTAATTTTATTTTTAGCCTAAAATATATGTGTTATTGTTTTTTTTTGTGTTGCAAACAATTTTTCATATATTTATTTATTTTTATTTTTTAATTGTAGTGTTATTTTAACGGATCACTGACTTGTATTTAATTTTTTTTCAATTTTTTAGTTAAACTAAACAATCAATGGCATTGACTTTTTTGTTGGTTGCCTAACATTAAATATTAGTTTATGTTATCTGATAAATACATTTTAACCATAATTATGGTTTATTTTACATATATGTATATAATTGATATTAATATATATATATAATTTGAATCAATTAATTATATTATTATTATTAATGATAAGATATTTTCATACTTTTGATTTAGACTTTTAAACTTTGATTTTTGCTTTTTTCAACAAAAAAAATCCAATTTAACTAATCATTTTTGCTTATTATATATTTTTTTGCTTATATTTTAATTTTTTGAAATATAATATTTTTAAAAAATTAAAATTAATACAATAGATAATTAAGATTTATATATATAATTAATATGACAAGTAATTCATAATTTTTTTTTGTTGATTACTTTATATTTCCGTTTTAATGATAATTTAATGTTTAATGTATTGAATATTGTTTTACCCCAACATAACCATGAAATATGATTTTTAAAAAAAAATAATATTAAATTGATAATTAGATAATTAAGTTTAATGATTAAAAATGATAGTTAATATTAGTTAATTATAAATATTTTATTATATATAATTTACAATACATATTATAAAATTAAATATAAATATTTGAAACAATTATTTAAATTAAAATCTTTAATTATAATTTTGTTTTAATTTTTTGATTAATTAATTTAGGATTTTAAACGAACAAACAGATGAATATATGTTGAATCCATGCAAAGCCAAGATCTGGTTTGTGGTAGAGCTGTGCGAAACAATACAACCGAAACACATTGAATTAGCTAACTTTGAATTATACTCATCGGTTCCCAAAGAGTTTAACATACAGGCCAGCGATCACTATCCGACCCGCGACTGGTCATCATTAGGTAATTATTATATACCGGTAGTTGTTGTTGATGTTGTTGGATGTAATCGGAACCAAACCGTTTTGAGCTAAAAAAATAAATCCCGGTTTTAACGGTTTAACCGTTTAAATCCCGGTTTTAAAGGTTTAACCGAATAAATCCTAGTTTTAACGGTTTCACCGAATAAATCCCGGTTTTAACAGCTTAACCGAACAAATCCCGGTTTTAACAGTTTCACCGAACAAATCCTGGTTTTAACGGTTTAACCGAACTCTTAGTTTGAATTTCTTCGACAAAGTTTCTAATCTTATCGTTTGTTTGTTTGTTTTTTTTTTTCAATTTTCAGGCACTTTTCAAGCACTAGACGAACGATCAGTTCAACGTTTTTCCCTCCAGAATACGGGTTTCGTTAAGTTTATCAAAATTGAATTGTTGTCCCATTACGGTACCGAACATTTTTGTCCGCTAAGCGTTGTCCGTACGTTCGGTACATCACTGTTCGAAGAGGTCGAACGTATCGATACCATTGACGGAGCCGACGCCAATATACACGGTGTGGTCATCAATGAGGACGAATCAGAGTCGGCATTGGCCGAAGAGTTGGTCGGTGGCCAACAGGAAGATAGTACTAACTTGTTTGGCACAGCCAGAGACGCCGTATTCAATATTGTCCGAAAAGCGGCGCAAGTTATCAATGGTATTGTTGTTGTTGTAGTTTAAAGTGATTTTTAAAATTTAATTTTTTATTTAGGAAACACTGACGACAACATTGTTATCGATAGCAAAGCCGACGAGTCGTTAAACAATAATAGTCAACGAATGGCCACTGATTCGTCGTCGTCGTCGTCGGCAACGATGAAGACTAATTGCCAACAGTTTTCATCGGCCGCCTATCGTCTGTATCCGAAAGTCGATAGATATCTCGCTATGTGTTTAGCAATTGGTGGCAATTACTCAACTGGTTGTCTGTATTTGAAATCAATATTCGGCGATCATTTATTCGAGATTATGGTCGACCAGTATCGGTCGCTACACAATGTGATGCAATTGAGTGATAGCAACGGCGGCACTGGTAGTGGTCGACCGTTTGAGTGCAATACGAACAGTGATAAAGAAAAGTCTAGCCGTGCCTTCATTAACAACGAATCGATTAAAGTCGAGTCAAGTTTTTTACCGGAAAACATTGCCTACGCGTCGTCGATAGCGCCGACCAGACCATTGGATCAGATGACACCACAGGCCGCTGTCGAGTCAATGGGCGGCAGCAGTACTACCACTATCTCATTGGACAGTCGTAGTAGTATTGTTGGTATTATCGATACGGATAATACGTTTGCAAAGACAATGCCGTCGTCTACGTCGACAATTATGGTCACACATAGCAGCGACTCGATGTCGATAAACGACGACAAATCTCAGCCTATTGTCCAGCAAAATGACGACTCGCCTGCTGTTGTTTCAGTGAATAATGTTTCCAAAGATGATGTCGTCGGCAGCGGTGGTGATATCTCATCGGAAGTATTAACAAATACTAACAATAATAATAATAATGAAGAATTTCCGCCAACTCTACCGGTTGTTGATATTCAAAACGAATCAATTATTGCTACAAAACCTGAATTACCGCAACAACAACAACGGGTTCTTAATGTGACTCCCGCTGACGCAAATTTTGGCCACCAACAGCAGTACAATGGTTATCCAAATGGCCAGATTGTCGGCAATATTAATGGAGCAAACAATGGCCAATATATTGGCGGCGGACAATCGAAAGAGTCGGTAATCATTCGATTGTCGAATCGAATCAAATCACTGGAAGTGAATCTGTCGTTGAGTTCGCAATATTTGGAACAACTGTCGCAACGGTATCGCAAACAGATGGAAGAAATGCAGAAAGCATTCAACCATACTATCAGTAAACTCAACGACACTAACATTAGGGCTACTGAACGGGTATTTAATAAATATATTAAACCGATAATTAGTTTTTTCATAATTTTTTATACATTTAAAAATAAAGGATTTAAAACAACAAGAGATGATCGCAATGTTAGACATGAAACTGAATACCATTTCGACGGAGATGTCGGTACTGTTGAAGGAACGGGAAGATCTCAACTGGCATTACATTGAAATACATATCGCACTGATGATGATAGAGTTGATTGTAGTCATAATGTTTGTCATTATTTTGGGCCATCGGCTGTCCAAACGTAATGCCGGAGGGTTGGGATTAACACCATCACCACCACCACAACAGTTGGATGCAATGACATCAAATGATAGTAGTAATAGTATAATACCGGTGCTGCTTACGACACAGTCAACAACAACAACAAACAAGCGCTCGCATCCCAATCCTAATCCCAGTCCATCGACATCTCCAGTGCCACCGAAAGCACTCAAATTTGATGGTTTGTTAACAATATATGTCAAACAAAAATGTCGTATTTAAGAATGATATTCAATTAAGAAACGGTAGTTTAAAAATTTTGGTTTTAAATTATTGAACTAATTTAAACAATTGTTGACAATTTTGGATGTCATTGATGACATGTGATTGGATCCATAAGGATCGGGTCATAAGGATGTCATCAAATGACATCAAAAATGTCAACAATTGTTTAAATTAGTTAATAATTTAAAACCAAAATTTTTAAACTACTGTTTCTTTATTGAATATCATTCCTAAAACATGACATTTACTCTATACTTATATTTAACAAAATTATTATTATATTTTTATATAAATTAGTCGATAATAATGTCACCGAATTAGTATCAAATACTACTACGACTACTACTACTACTAAATTAGAGTCCAATCAGCAGCGGAAGGTATGTATTATTTTTTTTAAAAATATATATAATTTTAAATTTTTTCGATTTATTTATTGTTTTTATTGTTTGTTTAGATAAAGAAAAAGAAGAAAAAGTCGAAAGCATTGTCCGGTCAAAATCCGGTCGACTCAAAGTCGTTGCCGGTATTGTTTACCGCCGGCATCAGCACCGGTAGCTCTGTTGTTGCTGAACAACAACAACAACCGTTCAATTGTCAGCTCATACAAGATATTACTAATAATCTAATTGATAGCAAATTTGATGTTTTGAAATCTCACTCGACATCTGCACTGACAGATAATATCACTACTACTACTACTACTACTACTACTATGTCTAGTCATAAACCTAATGACCAGTTATTATCGGAAAATAGTAGTAATCTATTACTGAACGGAAAGTCTAGTTCCTGTCGATCGTCGACAACGTCGGGTGTGTCGTCTAATTCGTCGACAAATCAAGCGATGAAAGCAAATACCGATTATTATTCTAATAATAATGAGATTACTATTAAAAGTCATTTTCTAAACCGAAACAGTAGTACCAATGGTAGCAAAAAGTCTATATTATCTCGAAGTAAGAGCTCATCAGATACTAGTAGTAGTAGTAGTAATAAATCGTTGACTTCGAGTATAAAAAAATTACTTAAATTTGATCGAAAGTTAACCACTAATACTACTACTAATAGTAATAATAATAATACTAAAGATACTAATAATTAGGAGCTTTTTTTATATTTTGTTTTAATTAATTATCACTAATTTTTTTTAAGGACCACTGTTTTTAATGTTTATTTTATTTTTTAAACCCCCCCCCCTAAATATCGAATTATTTTTTATTTATTTATTTATTATCATTATATGTATATTATAAGATCTAAACTATTATTATTATTATTATTATTATTTAAATCAAAATGTTTTACTATTGATTAAAAACAAATAAATAAATGTGATTTTTAAAAAGTGATCGATTGAATTGATTTTTTTCATTTAATACTAAATATTTTTTAAAAAACTAAAAATATAACAATTGTTATTACAATTGAGTTTTATATATTATATATATATATATAGCAAATTATATGGCAAATTGCAAGCATCATATTTATTATTATTATTATTACAAAATTCAACACAAAAAATAAATTAATTGCATTTTGATTGGCATATATGATATACAGTATAATATATGCATTTAAATACAATAATAATTAATAATAATTATTATATAAAAACTAATAAAATATTTTAAATCAAAATTTATCATTTTTTTAACACTAAAAAACAACTATTCATTTTAAAACAATTATCTCTCTCTCTCTCTTTCAATAATTAATTTTCAATTTATACAAATTGTTTAATAATAATATTATTATTAAAAAGTAATATTATATTTTAACAAATACCGGTGCCGGTGGTGTCAATCAATCAAATCGGGAAACTAACCAATTGTTAACCAATTTGTGGTTAGCGTTGTGGTCATAAGTTCGGCCACTAATTGTTGATAACTGATGACACTATTACTGGTCGCCGTCGCCGCCGCTGCTGCGGCCGTCGCCGATTGCGGTACTAAACCTAAAATAAATGCTAATTTCACATTAATATCGGTTGATGACCTTTTTGTCGGATCAGTTGGCTCACGATTATCATCGGGCATTATCTATAATAATAATAATGGTATAATAATAATAATATTAATAAAAATTTCAATTTTAAATATTATTTTTATATGAATTTATAATTATTTTTTTTTATATAATTACTTTTTCGATAATATGTTTATCAATTTTACCGTCGCTGCCGACATGAAATATGGAGAAGCCATCCGTCCATCTGTACAACAAACAAACAGTTGGGATCAGATTAAGTGATAATAATATAATAACAATTGATTTTATACGGTATATAAATCACATGAAAACACATAGATCTCTGTATTAATCATTACTAAACTATATAAGCAGCACTTGAATCATCATGATAAATTTTTATATAAACTATTATTCAAGATCAATTTTATAAAATATACTGTACTTTAATCATGCACACTTTATTAAACTTTTAGTAATCAATTATTATTACTATTTTATTTGAACCTCGTATTTGAAATTAAATCAATTAAAAATCAAATCAAAAAAAAATAATTTCTAGTTTTTGTAAATTAAAATTTACTAATAATTACTATAACGTAATTAAAGAGGATTTTTTTTAAAAAAAACAAACAAAAAACTATTAATTTTATCTATATCTAATTCCCAACACTCACCCTCTCAGGGCAGTGGTGGGGGAGGGGGGTATGGGCAGGAATTTTCATGAAAACATAGAAAACATTTTTTTAGGGAATTATGAACTAAAAAAATGCGGGAAATTTTTGTCAAAGAGTTTTGTAATATACGGTAATAATAATAATAATAATACTAACATTAGATGAAAGAAAAACTAGACAATCAATTAGTAAATCAAATCAAATCAATCACTTACTCGGATCTATCTTTTGCTGTACTCTTCTTCACATTGAAACTGTAGCGCCAAAACATAAAAATAATGCCCAAACCGGGTGTACCGACTACTCGCCACCGGACTCTGACTGTCTGATCTTCGGGATGTTCGGTAATCTTGAGTACGTCCAGCCGTTTATGCGAATACTTTAGATGAGCTAATAGTTTAACCATCGATAGCTGTTTGATATAGTTAGTCAAACCCAGGGTTTTTATATTTCGTAGATTATCTTCGAAGATCAAGTTCGGCGAATACAGATGATAGCAATGTGTACTGACAAAGAAGTTTGGCAACTGATTTGCGGTGACAAAACAATTGATTGTTACAATAGTTATAATCACTTAAAACAAAAACAAATTACGGTAATTACCGATTCAGACAATTGTTGGTAAATTTGACGCAAGTGTTGCCGATTTTGCTAAACAATTATAAATAAGAGGTTTTAGTGAAATAAAAAAAACTTTCGATGACTGTGTGTATGTGTGTCCGTCCTCTCCCTATCGTGACATACCTGTCCATCACTGTTGGTATCGGTAGTCTTGTTGCTGTTGTCGGCAATGGTTTTGTCGATACTGTTGGGCAACTAATAGATAGATAGAAAATAAATCAATTGATTTCATTACAATAGTTATAATCACATCATAACAACAACAAAAATAATTACCGATTGAGACAATTGTTGGTAAATTTGACGCAAGTGTTGCCGATTTTGCTAAACAATTAGTAATAATTATAAAATAAGAGGTTTTTAGTGAAATAAAAAAAAACTTTCGATGACTGTGTGTCCGTCCTCTCCCTATCGTGACATACCTGTCCATCACTGTTGGTATCGGTAGTCTTGTTGCCGGCAACGGTGCTGTCGATATTGTTGGGCAACTAATAGATAGATAGATACAAAATAAATCAATTGATTTTATTACAATAGTTATAATCACATATCAGATCATAACAACAATAAAAAAATAATTACCGATTGAGACAATTGTTGGTAAACTTGTCCAGTGTTTTGCTATTATATAAAAAAAAACATTGTGTTTAATGACATGACTGACTGTCCCTTCAAAATCACATACCTGTCCATCAATGCTAATGGTGTCGGCGTTGCTATTGTTATCGATGACCGCGTGTTGTTGTGTTTGTAGTAATCGTTTTGCTGAACACGTGTTGTTTGTGGCCAACGATTGCCAAATAAATTGTTTGCCAAATAATAGCCGTTTAGTTATTATTGTTGTTGTTTTAGTTATTGTTGTTTGCATTGAATAATATCTAGTTTTTAAAACAATTAGCGATACAAATGTTTTTGTGGCAAACATTTTATAAAACAATTATTCAATTTTAGTAATCAATCAATAAGTTTTAAAACAATTAAACGATTAAAACATTTTTTTTATTGAAGAAAATCAACAAATTATTTAATGTTTTATTATTTTTTTCTCTCTATTTATTTATTGATATAATATTATTAGTGTTTTATTATTATTATTAAACCAAAAATTTTTTTAAAATGCAATTCATGTAATTTATTACACTATTTGTTAGTTTTTTGTTTTGTTTGTTTTATTTAATTAATAATTTTTTTTTTATTCAATTGAAAAATGTTTTTAATTTGTGTTTACATTTGAAAATATTTTTGATTGACTAGAGGTCTCTGTGTTTAGAAAGTATTTAATACATGTTAAAAAAACTCTAGAGTAGAGTTGTTTACGTTATCAATAATAGAGAATATTCTGTAATAAATAATAATAATAATTAAACTAAAACTTTAAAACTAAAAAAATTAATTAAAAATTAGTATTTGTTTTGTTAATAACTAAATAATAATAATAATAATAATAATTAAACTAAAACTTTAAAACTAAAAAAATTAATTAAAAAATTAGTATTTGTTTTATTAATAACTAAATAATAATAATTATTATTATATTTAAAATTATTTATTTAGTTTATAACTAAAGTAATACACAACAACAAAAAATTATTTTATATCAATATTTATTTATTTTTTATTAACAATGAATTATAAGTAATTTTTTTTAATTATTATTATTATTAAATTTTACAAAATTGTTAAATTTTTTAAACTAATATTTTTTTAAATAACAAAGAATAACATTAGTAAATTATTATTATTATTAATAATTTAATTTAATTAATTATTTAAAAAGGTTTCAAGGTAGTTTTGTTGTTGTTGTTGTTGTAATAGAAAATAATTATATAATTCTATACAGGGTAATTTATTTATTTTTTATATATATATAAAAACAATTATTAGATTAATTAAAACATTAATATAAATTTTAATTGTTTAATAATAATATACTTTTTTATATAATATACTTATAATATAACTTATTTACATATATTTATATATATATATATATAATATAAATAAATTATATATCAATACATTTACTGTATAAAGAACTGATTATATATATATATAATATAATATTTTAATAATTAATTATTTAATAAAATTATTTAATATAAAATTTATGTGTAAGTGTATCCAACAAATATAAAGAGTTTATTTATTTATTTATTTTATAATAATAATAATGATATTATTATTTAATAATAATAATAATAATGTGATATTAAAATTATGATAATAAATATTTTTTAAATCACTATTTGATTGTATTTATCAACAAAAACATAATAATAATAATAATAACGGGATTGAAACCAATTGTATTGTATTGTAATTATGTTATTAATAAATATATTCTATATATTATGTTATCAATTAAATAACAACAAAAAAAATTAAAAATTTAATTAAATTGTTTATAAATAGATATAAATATATCGGGGGTTAACACCAATCGGTGTCGTCTTCGTCATCGGTATCGATACGCTGGACATCGGTCAGCGTGTCGGCCGTCATACTGGAGTTAGGTCTGTGCTGCGATGGATGGGCCGGATGTCGTTCGCGTCCGCCGCCGGAAGCGCTCTGACACCTGACGCGGTCAACATTGGCCAACAGCGGACTGTCTGTTGTGTGTTTGACCGCCGATCGCAAGTGTTTGAATGCATTGGTCATCGATGGCAATGCACGGCCACCGCTAGTATTCGGTGCAATAATGGCCAGTACGGGAGCGTTGGGTACCGCCTCGAAACTGTGCGGCGCCTCCTCTCGCCACGTATGCAGCGACGTGGGAGCGGCGGCCATAGCGGCTACGGCTGCCGCCGTAACCCCAGTACCGGCTATACCACTATTATTATTATTATTATTATAAGGCATTGTAAGGTTCGGTGGCATAACAACTACAGGCAGCTGAGGTAGTTCACGAAAACCGGCGACTCCTCCTCCACCTCCTGCTGTTCCTCCACCTCCCCGTTGTTTGTTGTCGAAAACGTTGGCCAAACAGCTGCTACTATTGGCCCGACCGATGGCCCTTAACGGTGCTAATAGTGTCGACAATCCATTACCGGCTGCTGTTGTCCAGCTTTGGTGTTGTTGTTGTTGCTGCTGCTGCTGATGGTGTTGTTGTTTGTTGTTGTGATGGGTGGGCGATGCGTTCAATTTGGGAAAATTGATATTACCGGGCGATCTGTTCGGTATAGTAGGCGAGTGCGACACTAATGGAAAGTTAATATTTTCAACCGATTGTATCGGCAATCGTAGTAGTGATGGCTTTTGTGGCGTATTCGGTAGCAAACGGCGTTTCCCTTTCCTACCGAACCCCTTACCGGTGGTGGTCGGTCTCTGGTGTTGGTGGTGCTGCTGATGCTGTACAGGCAACGAATGAGCTGAACAGGGACTCGGACTGCGCGACCTCTGTTCCAGTTTAGTCGTCCCGTAGTAGTCGGTATTCTGGCCGTTCAGCACCGGCGGATACGGCGACGGACTGCGCGACCTAATCGCCAGACAGGCACTTCGAAAATCAGGAGAAGCGCTACGACTGCGCTCCTGGTGTTGGCCGCCGGCGCCGGCGCCACCACTTCCCCGCGATGACGAATCGCCGCCGCCGCCGCCGCCTGGCCATAGCTTTCGGTGATGATTATTATGATGTTTTTTGCCGCTACCGCCGCGACTGGGACTACGGGCACCCCATTCATCGCCTCTTAGTTTGGCTAAAAAAATTTTTGTATGTATGGAAATGGAAATTGGACGGACACGAAAAAAAACATAGTCGAACCAAACAACGACAACAACAAAAAAAACTATATATATATATAAAAAACAAACCGTGCGATCGGTTGACAAAATACATACCCCGTGCCCGTCCCTTGCGTGACGTTTCGTATTTGACAAAATCCACGACATCGTGAACTGTTTCGGCAAACCCGAGCTCCGGACGTTGCGGTGAACCAGATCCTCCTCCACCTCCACCTCCTGCTCCTCGTTCACCTGACCTGCCAATAGGTGTCGGCGATCTGGCCCGTGCACCGCCGCCGCCGCCGCCGCCACCACCGCTAGTTGTTCCGCCCGATGTCGTACCGCCATTTGTACCGCTATTATTATGGCCACTTTTTTCGTTGGCATCGTATCTACCGCCTCCTCCACCGCCTCCGCCGGTTGATATCATCGACGGTCGCCTTTCCATCGACTCCCTGATCAGGGCTACCGACGGTGACCGGCTTCTTGATCGCGATCGGCGCCTAAACGATCCGCCCCGTGTATGAACATCGGGATGTAAATGTGTGGACAGGTGTGCCAATGCACTCACAACCGGTTGATCCTAAATTTTTTTGTTGATTGATTGATTGATTTTTTGATAGATATAAATAAGATATAAATTAATAATTAAATAATTTAAAAAAAAAATCTAATTAACTATTTTTTTAAAATTTAAAAATCTATTATATCTAATATTACAAAATAATAATAATATCTTAACTAAAAAAGTGATTTAAATAATATATGATATATAGGTAATAAATATATGATTAAAAAAAATATATAAATATTATAGCATTACAATTTTCAACACTACATTTTTGATAGCAGTGTATGTGTGTGTGCGTATGTATGGTTGCGCGTGTAGTGCATAACACGTGTTTGTTTTTTTATAAAGTTTATATAACATGAGTTGCATTTAGTGACTATTTAATACTATATATAAAAAAAATTATGTTGCAATTAGCCATTTTTGTAGCAATGCATTCATACATACATTGAAGGGGGCACAGGTAGGATGGTGGGGTGGGTAGGTGGGTGACGGTAAAACATATAAATATATACTGTATATATATATAAATTTTGTTTAGACATACATATACAACTATACATACAGTTTTTATACAACTAAATGATATACACCCCCAACTACTACAGGGTTATATTATCATAACATATGATTTAACATTTGTTTTTTTTTTAACTAAATTTAGTTAAAAAAAATTAGTTTAACAATAGGTTGATGAGAGAAACGGTAGATGCAAATACACTACTACAACAACAACAACACCGGTAGTTTGTGGACATAAACAACAACATCATCATATCCCGACACACAGACTGGCGGGTCAGTTAGTTTTTTTTTTATAGTTAGTTATGACAACTTATTTAATAGTTTTGAATACATTTGGATTGATTGGTGTGTTGTATGTTTTTTTTGATTATTTTTTTTTGATTATATAAATAATTACATCCATTATATATATATATAACACTCACATCATTGCTTCTAATAGCATGTTTAACAACACTTGACTGAGCACTAGTAGCCTGAGCTCTAGTATGGACTGGTCTTCTAGTAAGTGCCACTAATTCATAATCCTTTAACAAATTATATAAATTGAAATTATATGTCAAATTAAACTAAAAAAAAATAAACTAAAACAAACAAACAAATAAAAATACATTAAACAATACTCTAATGTTATGGATAACAATCATCAATAATATTAATGTACAATCAATTAATACTCTATTGTATACTACATTATATAAGTTATTATATTTACAGTATATATCATATATATTCAATGAATACATATATAAATGTTTTTGGTATAACTTAGATATAACTGTTTTTTAAATAACAATTACATTTAGTTAGATATTTTAAAATAATAAATTTAAAAAAAACATGTATAACAATTTAATAATAATAATTATAATCTATAATAATTACATCTAAATTAAGTCTCTATTAGCTAAATCAGTCAAAAATAGTCTATATATCTATGAAATTTGTATTGTATTTATAAAAAATAAATAAATAAATGTTATTGTATTATTAAAATGTGCAAAAATATATAAATATATTTATATATTTATATATAGTTATATAATTCACAATTTAACAGTATATTTATCACTAACTAACTAACTAACTATAACTATAACACTATACATTCAATTAAAAATATTTTTAAGAGACTATTTAGACATTTTAGACACACTATTATCTATTTATATTATTACAAACTATTATTACAGTAATAATAATCACAATATATTTTTTTTTGTTTACTAATAATAGAAAAATAGCAATTAAATTGTTTCGAGACACTGACTCTGGACGGACCACTACTTTACTTATGTTTTTTTTTATTAATTATTTTACTGGACATGCATTTCAATATTATTGAAAAAACAACACACAACTGATGGTGGTGTCTACTTTCAAAAAAAAAACAGGTACAGTACAGGTATACAGTACTACACGACACAATTAGTTTTTTTTTAAAAAACAAAAAAATTGGACAGCATTTTAGTGTCAGACCTGAGAGGTCCGCCGGTCAGCGGTAGTGGTGGTGCCGGTGGTCGTGTTGTTGCCGGTGGCCGACGATCGGCTAAATATTGATTGTCTACGTCGGCGCCGTCGACTGCTTCCGCGTCTCATAAAACTCATACTCCGATCCCGGAGCCGCTCCCTGTCCGAGTCGCTGTCATAACACAATGAAAATAAGAAAATAAAATAAATAAGTAATTAACTAAAAAAATTATTATTAATTATTAATCCAATATTTTGTTGTTTTCATATTTAAAAACACAACTTTATGGGCAAAATAAACTATAGATAAAACCTTCCAGACTATATCCCATTCCCACCTAACTAACCCTACCCACCCCCCATAAAATCTAGCTATTGTTAAACTACTTAAACAAACTTTTTATTTATTTATTTGTGGACGCCCTATCAGGATGTAGGATCTATTTAAATAGTTATGGAAGTTATGTGATTTTAAAAAATAAAATAAATAAGTAATTAACTAAAAAAATATTAATTATTAATCAATATTTTTTCCTATTTAAAAACACAACTTTATGGGCAAAATAAACCATAGATAAAACCGTCCAAACTATCTCACATTCCCACCCAACTACCCCTACCTACCCCCCCATAAAATCTAGCTATTTTTTAAGCTACTTAAACAAACTTTCTTATTTTTTTTGTGGACGCCCTATCAGGATGTAGCTATGGAAATTATGTGATTTAATTTTGATTACCTATTTATTGAATTGTTGAGCGACTCTTTGCGTGCAGCGGTCGCCAAAACGCTGGCCATATCGGCAAAATTTTGCTCATCGGCCGGCTTATTGGGATTTCTAACGGCGCCCATTAGTCGGGCCAATAGTGATGGTTGCTATTTCATATAATGTCAGTGTCAATAGTGGAGTACAATTGCATTTATAGATATATATTAGTTATTTATATATTATATATTTTTTTACTTTTTATTATTATTATTATTATTATTAGTAGTAGTAGTAGTAGTAGTAGTATTAGTGTATAACTTAGCAAAAAAATATTATACTCCACATTATCATCGACACAACTATCATCTACAAGTGATATATATATTTTTAATATATATATATATATATTAATTATCTCTATCTATATTGCATTTTTTAACACTACAAATGCAAACAAACAAAAAATTAACTTGGTTAATTTTGTACACAATTTTTTTAGAGTATTGTTTAAAAAAAATTTTCAAACTTAAGTGTTATAATAAATTTTTAAACAAATTTTTAAGAGTGTATTTATTTGTGGAGTAAATACTGTTTATATATATTTATATATTTATATATATATATTAATTAAAGTTAATAATAATTATCTAATCTAAACAATATAATTATTAATATAAACTAAAACTACTAATTTAATTATATAATAGACTACTATAAATTACTAATATAGACAAAATTATAAATTTAAACAAATATATTAAATATTATATACTGGTATAAATATATTTATCAATATAAAATTATTTATATATATATATATAGTAAATTTGCCTAGATAAATAAGCTACTACTAAATTATCAACTACTACGATACTAAATAAATAAAAATAATAAAATATATTAATTTAGCCAGATCAATTTTTCTAATGGACAAATTTACGCCACAACTAATACACAAATAATACAGCAATTATATATTTTTTAGTGTAATATTTTACAATAATAATAATAATTACAAATACATAGTTAAATACAATATATTACAATATATATATATATATAAGTGTGTTTATAATTTAAAAAAAAACTAATATTTACAATTTTTCAAAAAATTGTTAATTATACAATTAATACAACATGCAATTTACATTGAAATTTTCACTAATTTGAAATATTGAAATGCAAAACATTAACAATTATAATAATTACTAAATTATTAAAAAATTGTTAATTAATTTTTTTTATAACTAACACATAAATTGGCACTTTTTAAAATATAAATTATACAATATTTTTTTACTCATATATATATATGGATAATAATGCTGGTTTTTTATGTAATGGACATAATTACGTAATAGTCAATACACTACTATTTACACTATAATTTCAAATTATTATATACATTCAAATCTATTGTATTTTAATACTAATTTTTTTTAAAAAATACATATTTTGTGTGTGTTTTAGTTCAAATTTATACACAGTGTATGTACAGTATTACACACAGGTATTATTATTAGACACAACACAATTACAAATATAAGCATAAACATAATCATCAGGTATTATATAACACATATCACTAAAATATAAAAGCATAATTAGCTACTAAATGTTTATACAGTATAACATACGGTTTAATAAATTTACCCAAAAAATTATTTACACATTTATCAGTAGTGGTTTACAACAAATTCATACATATTATAACAATATAGCTATGTGTGTAAAAAAACATTTATATATAGATATTTTCAATACAATACATATAGCATGCATATCCATCATCATTACACAAGCATTTATCAAACACATAGATATATCGACACAATTAAATAAAAGCACAATTATGTGGTATACAAATCATTATCAACTATTAAAAAATTAATTAATAATTAATTTTATGTATAATAATAAATATATAATATATATATAGGATTAAAATTAAATATAAAATTAATTAGAGAGAAAAAAAATACCCAATACCAATAATAATAAAAAAAATTATATTAAAATTTTTTTTTCAAAAATAAATGTAGCATGTAAATTTTTCAAACACACGTGTATTCAATAAAATTGATGGATTCATATAAATATATTTGCAAAAAAAATTTGCTGGATCATTTTTTTTGTTTGTTTGGTGGGAGATTGGAAAATTGTGTTCAATTGTTTAATTTTTTTGGTGCAATTTTAGTTTCCAAATAATATATTTTTAAAATATTTTTAAAGGAATAATTTTGATTTTTTTTAGGTAAAAATTAAATCATCATTTTTCACACACATATATATATAATAAATTTCATTTATAATTTAAATTGATTGAATTAGTTTCAATGATAATTTTAAATTAATTAATTATAAAAAACACTTGCAGTCCAAGGGTATGGTTTCAATTGCTTGTGTGTGTGTATGTGAGGGATAATAATAATAATATATTAGTAACAATTTAGAAATAAAATTTATCATTATCATTTGGTGATTAATTATTGTTTTTTTAAATAGGTTAAAAGTGCATTTAAATTTATAATTTAATTATAAAAAAATAATGGGGAAAATTTTAGCAAAACTTTTTTGATTGATTGAAGGTTAGGTTTATGGTTTAAATTTAGCAAAACTTTTTTTTTTTTTTTTTGATTTAGGGAAATGGTTTTGAAATTGATTATTATTATAATAATTATGATAATATTAGATTTAGTTATTTATATATATATATATAATTTTTATATATGTATATCTATACACTACCGCTTGATTATTAGGCAGAATTTTGATATGATTTTCCTGTAAAAATAAACATTGAATACATATAAAAATTTAAGACAACAATTTTTGTTTTGTTTTTTTTAAAAAAATGACACAATTTTTATGATTCACACAAACGATTGATTATTATTAGCATTTTTTTGTGAGATGTTTTTAAGGAGAAGATTTTTAGTGAAAAAAATAGAGAAAATTGTTATTATTATTATTATTATTATATATAAAAATAACTATAATAATTATTATTAAAATCTATAATTATTGATATAATTTAATAATTATATTTATAAATAAATAAATACATTAACTATATAAATATATAAATCTATTTTAGGTTATATTTATTTATCAAATATATAAATATAAATAAATAAAATTAAATTGCTTAATTAAATTGTTTAGTTTAGCTAATAATTTTGCAAAAATAATAAATAATATTATATATATATATATAAAAATAATATACGTATAGCTCCAAAATAGTTATTAATTTTTTAAATATAGGATTTAAAATAAATAAATAAATAAATAAATATATATTAATATTATAATTATAATAATAATAATAAAAACTAAATAGATTAATTTTATTATAAGACTATCATAAATAACAAATACTAAATAAATAAATAATTAATTAATTGTTATGATTGTAATTACTATTATTATGTAATTATATATATAAGATATATAAGATATGTATAGCTATTGTATAAATATTGATTATAAAATAAGGTATATATAAGTTATATAATTTTAGTTTTTTTGTTGCCAACAATGCATTTGTTTGTTTGTTTTTTTTTTGTTGTTTGATTGGCATATATTTTTTTTAATAACAAACTTACAGATAGGCCGACCCCTTGAATTTGGCCAAATCGGGTGGTCTTCCAGTTTTCCAATACTAAAAATCCGGCATATATTTTGCCCACCGTCAATTTACCATTACGTAACTCTAATATAGGTTAATGAGGGAGGCGTGAGGACATTGGGGGGCATGGGAGGGCACACAATTATTTATTAGAGTAACTAAATTATTTATATATATATATATTTATCAGAGATATTTAAATTTACTTTATATGCAAGTTATTGACTATTAATATATATATATATATATGTGATTAATATATGATTAATTTATAATGAAATTATTGAACAAATTATATTATAATAGATTAAGTAAAATATTGTTTTTAAATAAAACAATTATAGAAAAAAATTTAATTAAATTCAAAAAGTTTCAATTTCAAATATCAATCTATATTATATCTATATATATTAATATATTTATCATTATTAGTCTATTTTTAAAAAATTAGCTTAATTTTAATTAAAATGTTAAATAGTTTCTTAATTATAATATATATAATGAATTATATGAACAAATTATAACAGATTATATAAAATATTGTTTTTAAATAAAACAATATAGAAAAAAAATTTAATTAAATTCAAAAAGTTAATTTCTAATGTCATATCTATATTATATTTATATATATATATATCATTATTAGTATATTTAAAAAAAATTAGCTTAATTTTAATTAAAATGTTAAATAGTATCATAATTATAATATATATATATATAATGAATTATATGAACAAATTATAACAGATTATATAAAATATTGTTTTTAAATAAAACAATATAGAAAAAAATTTAATTAAATTCAAAAAGTTAATTTCAAATATCATATATACTGTATCATTATTAGCCTATTAAAAAAATTATCTTAAATATTAAAATTTAAAAAAATCAAAATGTTAAATACTATCTTAATTATAATATAAAATTTATATATTAAAAAAATATTAACTATCATATATATACACATATTTTTGTGGATAACATACCGTCATGGGTTGGTATTAGTTTATCGATAATCTTTTTTGCCTGCAATGGCCACAGTTTGTTCAGGGTATGTCTGAGCTCCCTGTCCGCTTGATCCATTTCCTCGGCCGGTCGCATTTTAATACTCAAATTTTCCCTGATCAATGCAAACAATGTGGTCGTAAAGTTGACCTTACCCTCATCGGTAATCGGCATATTCATGCGAATCAATTTCTATAAAATATATATATATATATATATATGCTAAACACTGGTGGTTGGGGTAGGGTGGATGAACCGGGAGTTTTTTTTTAAATACCTTATAGGCCAACCTATACGGACACTTATTACCGAAACCCAGCGGCGGATCCATATTCCTCAACATGTCGTACATTTCCGAATAGTGTATATAACCGGTAGCATTGGGATCATATTCGGCCCAAACACGTATATACTCGTCCAAGTGATGGGCGCCCAGTATAGACGAGTCGCGGGTCAGATAGTCAAAGTTGTCCATAATTACGGCCACAAACAAATTTAACATCTATTATTATTATTATTATTATTAGTATGAAAACAAATGAGAGAAACAAAATTTTTTGATATTATTAATTTTTTTTTGGATATAACATATTGTATATAAATATATAATATAATTGAAGAAAAAAATCAATTGAATGTCATATTTTTTTTATATCAATTTAAAAAAATAATGTCACTAAAAAATTTTAGCTATCAAACAAAACTTATTATACTTAAACACCCCGCCCCCCCTCCCGTATTTTTTTATTTGTTTTAAATAGATGACATTTAAAACTTTAATTTATATATTTATTTTTGTATCAATTAAAAAAAAATAGATAAAATTAATGTCATTAAAAACTTAGCTAGCAAACAAAACTTATTATACCTAAACACCCCCGCCCACCCCCCGTATTTTTTTTATTTGTTTCAAATGGATGACATTTAAAACTTTTAAAAATTTATATATTTATTATATTATTTTGCTTTTTAGAAAAAAATCAATCTAAACATTCAATTGATTTTTTTTAAATAAAAACTGTTTATATTTAATATCTATTATATTTATATTTAAAAAGAAAAATATGGTGTAATCCATAAAATACAGACCAAAAATGAGCAAAAAAATATGAACGTCACAAAGTAACTGTAGGCCAGATCCGAACCGCACGTATACTTTTCTTCCTCCATTTTGTTGGTCTTCGGGTCGCAAGCTTTGCCCGAAACGCACGACAACATTATCGACTGCCAGGCCTCGCCAGTAGCACATCTATACCATATATATGGTAACATACAGGTGCCCGATGTTGTTGAAGTAGTAGTTGGTATGTATGAGATATGGGATAATGGATAGGATAAGTCATACATTATATAGAGAGAGGGGAAAAATATACAAAATTAGTTATTTTTTTGGATAAAAATAATTAATTAATTAAAAATTATATATTTTTTTCTTCCAATTATATTAATATATAGTCAATATCGTAGAGATATGTGATTTGATTTTTTTTTTTTTTTGAAATAATAATAAGTATACACATATTTAAATGCATTTTGTGTTATATAATCGGACAATTGATTAGTGAGTTGCACTTAGCGTGTGTGGGTGTATGTGTGCCTTAAAATTTTTTTTGTTGATACATATATATAGTTTGCCACAAAAAAAACAAAATTATAAATTAAATTAAAATAAAAATTTGGTTTTTTTCCAGAAAAAGTATTAATTAAATATACTTTTTTATATACAGTATATAAATATATTAAAATTTGTTTCCAAGCTCTGAGACAATTGACAACATTTACACCACATTTGATAAATAATTTTTTTTTTTTGATTTACCGATAAATATAAAAACTAAATCTATTACATGTTGACATTAAAATTTAAAATTAAAAAAAACAAATACATATCACTAAATTCAAATAATAATAATAATTAAGAAATGCATTCAACTAAAATATATTAATTTGGCTTTTTTTTGTTTATTAACTGGGTGAAATTGGTTATTTTTATTATTAATGGTGAGATTATATTATTATTATTTATCATTAACTAATATAATGCATTTTTAAAAAAAAGGTATACACACAGGTTTACATATGGAGGTTCAGATATTTATAAAATAAATGGTGACTATAGTGTAGGGGGGTGGTGGGATGGGTGGTTTGAGGTGGGGGTGGGGGTAAACAGTAGCATATTATTATCTATAGTATTCTAGTACAACTAGTAATACTGTACTTTCCTAAATAAATGTCAATTTAATATGATGTCTATAATCAATATTTATTGTATTATATATACATGTATATATATATAGAAAACATATCCTGATAATAAATATTAATATTATATACACCCTAATTAAATTGACAGTTTATTTTCAACAACAACAAAAATAATAAAATTTACAGTAATTTATAGGGGGGGGAGGGGAGGGGTCTAAAAAAATTGCATTAGCACACAAAGATATGCGGAGGTATCATGATGATGGTGTGATCGGATCGGGTGGGGTTGGACATTGATGGGTGGATTGTCGGGTGGATTGATGGGCACATGGAGGTGGTGGTGGTGGGTAGGGTGGGGTTGGGTAGGGGTAGGGGACTGCCAGTAATGATGCTCTACTTGCCTGAACAGTAGCATTAATCCTTGTATGAATGTTCTAAAATTGTTATGTCGGTCGAGGGAGGTACTGATTTCGGGATTAATTGATATATTGCCAAACACCTACAGATACAGATATATAGACAAGCAATACCAAACATTACTACTACTACTACTACTACTACCACTACCTACTACTACTACTAATAATTACTACTATTTCACTACTACTACTACCAGTACTAGTAGTAATACACTATTACTAAATTTTAAAAAATAATTTCTAATAAATACTAAATACTATAATATAGTAACTAAACATTTAATAATAAATTAAAGCGCATTATCAAATTCACCATGATCATATTATGTAATACACAATAACAATTGTATCATAGCCAGCAATGGCACAAATAATATTGTATGTGTAATATATATAAATATTTTCACACCATTATAGCTATTAATATAAATTTTATACATCATAATCATCATTATCATACAGTTTATATATAAATTTATATATATATTTAAAAAGCAAATTAGACCACCACAAAAAATACATTAGTTAATACACATTGAATATACACAATATTTAACGATCATATATAAATATACGGTACAATACATTGTTTACACCTAATACACGTATAAATAGCAATATTAGACAAACAATAGTTATATAATAGTTATTATAATAATTATATAAAGTTTTTTTGTTGTCTACAAACGCAAGCTTATAATAATGAAAATAATTAAACAGCACATAATTTTTGTTGTTGTAATATACATATATGTATATATATATATATATATATATATATATGGGATAAAAAAATAACATAGATGCATTTTTGTTGATATCATATCATATATCAAAACAACAATAAAAAAATATTTCAATAATTTTTGTTTTAAAAGTCATATATATATAATTAAATTCAAATAGTTGGCTACTCTAGTATATATAAATTTGTGGGCTATACTAACTTATTGGGGGGACTAACTACTAGTTTTTTTTTGGTTTGTTTTATTTGTATGACTCACCGAAACAATAGTATTAATGATTGCATGAATGTACGAAAGTTTACGTGTCGGGTGACCTCCGATTCGGGCGTAAACTCCATATCACCGAAAACCTGATAATAATTATCCGTTTTGATTGATTGATTGATTGATTGATTTGATTGATTTGATTGATTTGATTTGATTTTGACGGTACATAATAATCGAAAGGAGTTGTCATATATTAATTTTAAGAGATATGCCATCAAATATATATATAAATCAATTGTTTGTTTTGTAAGAAGGGGGTGGTCTAAATACCTCCCCCCATAGAAACTATTATATAAGGAAGGTTATTTTTTTTTAAAAAAAAGTCTAATGCCTACTACCGTACATGAACCACATTGATAAACAGCCAGCAACTTATTGTTGTACAGTATAGACACAATCAACTAAATATTGATGGATAATATTTCAAAGCCACCTAAATTATCATCATCTATGGGTGCCAACAATAACAACAACATTAACAACAACAACAACAAAAAATCTAGGATATCATCTATAATAACAACACATAAGTGCAATGATTGGTGAAAAACAATTTTTTTAGAAAAAAGTACCAGGATACTAATTTTTTAAATTGATAATAATAATTTTTTTTTATTATTTTTATTATTACCATTACTATTGCTAATACAGTATTAGACTACTACTACCAAATGTAAATCACTTTAAGCAATCATTAATTATTATTATAATAATAATAATTTTTTTTCAGTGATTTTTACTCAAAATTTTTTTGTTTGATTGATTAAGTGCAATTGGAAATAATGATAACAATATACAATACTAATTTACTATAATATAACCACTAATAAACAGTATACTACTAATAGGATGACTACTTAGTTAAAAATAAAACTATTATTAATTACAATATAGATTACACACTATTAATCTACTGTATAATTAAATAAATTTTACTAAAACAAACAATTACCAAAATTTTACTAAATATTTATATGAATTAGATTTGAAATTATATATTAGATATATAGGTAAAAATAAACAAATTTAAAATTTAGTATTATAATATATATATAAATAAATATAAATCTAATAATTAAACTATTGATTTAACTTTAATAAACTACTATATGAGGTCCCTTAATTAATAGATGTGCATATTTGATTAAATAATAATATTAATCAATATAATTACTAAATAAATATTAGCAATTATATTTGTCCCAAATAAATAATATGCTTGCTTAATTAAGTAAATAATTGATCAATAATAATGCACACCTAATAATTAATATATAGACATCATAATCAGTAACACTATCATTGATAATAATAATAATAATACTACTACTACTAAATAATAATAAACTATTAAATCTAAATTAATTTAAATTAAAAAAAAAATATTTATACACTAAAATCATGAAATTTGGACCACTTTTTTATGATCACAAAAAAATAAATTACTAAAATATTTATACATAAAACTAATATATATATATATATATTAGCAAACAAAACTAATTAATTAATTAAACTAATTTTAATAATTAATAATAATAAATATAATTATAATAAACAATTACCTGCATTCCTATGATGGCATATATAAAGAAAAGCATTGCAATCAACAAACATACGTATGGCAGAGCCTATCATCAAATAAATAATTTTTGTTATTATTAATAATAATATTGTTTTTTTTTAAAATAAATGAAAAAATATGATAATATATATAATAAAATCTCACTTTAAACGACTGTATGAATGTCCACAATAGTATACGTATAGTATATCCCTGGCGTAACAGTTTGATGAGTCGGGCGGCTCTGAACAGCCGTAAAAAGCCGACTGATATAAAATTAAACTCCTATTTTGTATATATATATATAGATGAAAATAATAATAATAATTATTATTTGTGTTTTTTTTTGTTGTTTCAAAATTGTTATCAATAAGCAAAAAAAAAATAAAATTATTACTAAACATGCATAATATATATCTATTAATTAATTAATTATAATATCAATAAATATCAATATCAATAACTAATAACTAATAAGATTTTATGATTCAAAATAAAAAAAATAATACTAAATAAGAAAAATTCCTAAAAAACACATTATATATTTAAATAAGTTTTTATGTTTTAAATTAAAATTTAAATAATTATTATATTTGTTTGTTTGTTATCAATAAAAAAAATAATAATGATTACTAAACATGAATAATAAATATCAATTAATTAATAATTATATTCTTTCAAATCAATAACAAATAACAAATAAGATTTTATGATTCAAAATAAAAAAATAATACTAAATAAAAAAAATTCCTAAAAAACACATTATATATTTAAATAAGTTTTTATGTTTTAAATTAAAATTTAAATAATTGTATATTTGTTTGTTTGTTATCAATAAAAAAAAATAATAATGATTACTAAACATGAATAATAAATATCAATTAATTAATTAATTATATTCTTAAATAAATATCAATATTAATACCTAATAAGATTTTTTTGATTAAAAAAATAATACTAAATAAAACAAAAATTTTCTAAAAAACACATTATATATTTACATAAGTTTTTATGTTTTAATAAAAATTTAAATAATTATTATATTAGTTTGTTTGTTACCAATAAAAAAATAATGATTACTAAACATGAATAATAAATATCAATTAATTAATTAATTATATTCTTAAATAAATATCAATATTAATACCTAATAAGATTTTTTTGATTAAAAAAATAATACTAAATAAAACAAAAATTTTCTAAAAAACACATTATATATTTACATAAGTTTTTATGTTTTAATAAAAATTTAAATAATTATTATATTAGTTTGTTTGTTACCAATAAAAAAATAATGATTACTAAACATAAATAATAAATATCAATAACAAATAGCTAATAAGATTTTATGTTTCAAAAAATAAAAATAAATAATACTAAATAAATACTAAATAAATACTAAATAAAAAAATTCCTAAAAAACACATTATATATTTAAATAAGTTTTTATGTTTTAAATTAAAATTTAAATAATTATTATATTTGTTTAATTGTTATCAAAAAAAATATTAATGATTACTAAACATCAATAATAAATATCAATAACAAATAACTAATAAGATTTTATGTTTCAAAATTTCAAAATGAAAACAGAAAAAATTTCCTAAAATTTCCTAAAAACATAATATATTTAATAAAATTTATTTTTAATCAAAAATTTAAATAATTATTTATATATAAAAAAAAATAATTTGTATTTTTCACATACTTTACTACTGAGTGTTATTTCCATAACCAGAGCGTCGATAACACTCCCGACAACTGTTATAAAGTCAAACGTATTCCACGAGTCTTTGAAAAAATTCTTTATATATTTTTTTTTTTGATTTTTTTTTTAGTTTGTTTTGTTTGTTTGTTTCGATCCAACAACAAATTTATAATACATATAATCATAAAATATAATAATAATATTAATAATTAATATTAACAATTAATATAGAGAAAGAAAGAGAGAGAGAGAGAGAAAGAGAGAAAGAGAGAGAGAAAGAGAGAGAGAGAGAGAGAGAAATAATTGAAAGCTAATAGTGAAGAGAAACAATCTTTAAGATTATTAGCTAATAATTACTAATTTTTTTGTTGTTGTTGAATATACTGACTATAAGTATTGTATTATTGATATTATAATAATAATAATAATATATTTCTATTGAATAATAAATAAAAATTATGAGATTTTTAAAAAAATTTGCTGCATATGCTGTATGTATGTGTAAAAAGCTATATTTATTTATTTATTTTTTAAAAAATAATCATTAATTGTTAATATTATTAGTAGTAATAATAATAATTACTAATTAAAAATTTTGTTAAAAAAATAAAATGAATTACATTGTAATTCAATTTAATTAAAACTTTTTTTTGAAGTTTATAAAAATTTAATTTTAATCTTATTTATTTTTTTATAAAATTCATTGATAATTATGGTTTAGTTGTATTGCAAAAAAAATTGTAATGTTTATAAAATTGAAAAAAATTTAATCATAAATGATTGTATCTAGATAGATTTATGTATTTAATGCTATAGTATAGTGATAGACAATAATAATAAGTTAGTGATGATAATGATGATGATGATGAAACTAGATATACATTAGTTAGTTATTACATTAGACATGGAAATATAGATTATATAAATATATATATATATACAGTATATACTTTAGTCTATCCGATCCTATTTACCCCAAAAAAAATAATAATAATGATAATTATTTATACAAATTACACTATAGATAGAAAATTAAATAATCAAAAAAAATTATTATCATACAATACAGATATCTATCAAATATAGTCAAAATTAATTATTAATTTTAAAAAATTAAATATTAAAAAATATTAATATATCATATATTAAATTTGTAAATTTCATTCAAACAAAAATAAATAAATAAAATTCCTATTTAAAATAAAAATCATTATATATATATATATATATATATAGAATTAATATGATTTGTAATTTTAAATAGGAATTTTATTTATTTATTTTTGTTTGAATGAAATTTACAGATTTAATATATGATATATTTAAAAAAAATTATTTAAAATTAATTTTAGACAATATTTGATAGATATATCTGTATTGTATGATATATATATATATGTGTGGATAATTATATATATATATTTATCCAATCCTAGTTTCCATGTCTAGTGCAGCTGCACTAATGTGTGTGTGTGTATGTATGTGTGTGTTTTAGTGTGTTAATAATATAATAGTGATTATGATGATGATGATGATTTAGTGTATTATTATTATTATTATTATTTAAAAATTATATATATTATATATATATATATCGGTTCGGGTACCTTGCATCCTAAAGCGGTCAGTTTGAGTATACACTCTAATAGGAATAGCGCTGTAAACAGTTCATTCATGTAGGATAACACGTCTAAATAAACGATATCTGCATCGTAGTACTAGTAGTAGTAGTAGTAGTTTTTTTTAATTAATTTATCATGGTTATTTTTGTTTGATTGATTTTTTTTGTGTATATAAATTGATGGACACACACAGTGGGCGTGGTGGCATTCACAAAAATAAATCACACATGTAAAAAAATTAATTAAATTTTAATTAATTGTGTATCGGTAATTTTTAAATTTTTTTTTTTTTAATTATGTTAGTCCATGTTTTAATCCAATTTACGTAATTATATAAAAAAATAATTATTATTATTATAATTATAAAAATTATGTTAATTAGTTATATATTATTATTGTTATTTTATTTATTTATTATTATTTTGCTAAATATAAATATTTAATTGGAATAATGCAACAAGTTGCAACAAGTATTATGTATTATGTACTAGGTTATTAATATAATTATTATTATTATCTAGCTTATCTAGATGCATTAAACCTATACTAATTGTAATAAATTTTATCTAATAACTATTAATCTATATTAATAAAAAATAGTTTTAAAAATTTTTTTTTAAATGCATTATAAATATTTTTAGTATATTAATAATTTTTTTTTTAAAAAAATCCCTTTAGTTTTTATATCTAAAATTAATTACATATTAATATTTTTTGTTTGTATTTATAATTAAACAAATATAACAAAATATACAAATTATTATATAAGGTGATTATTAAATGATAATAATAAAATTAAAAAAATAAATAAAATTGCAGGTGCAATTTAATAATAATAAAAATTTAATCGTTCCAATTAAATATTTTTATTTTTTTTAATCATATAAAAAATTAAAAATTATTAATGCATTATTAATATATATATATAATATTACTATACTAATATATATATATATTACAAATCAAATCAAATAATTAGTGAAATAAATAAATCAAATAATAATTGGGTTAATAACAATAAAATAAAAAACAAACAAAAAAAATAAAATATACTAATAACTAAAAACAGTTAACTATAAATATATATATATATATTACAAATCTACTATAATACTATTTATGTTTGTTAATAAATTTTGAATAATAAATTTAAATAAGCAATCACAAATAGCATAACATTATTAGATAAATATTATTTTAATTAAATTATTAAAATGCAGCCAAATTTTTTTTCTCTCAAAAAATACACATTCAATCAATCAATCAGTCAATTATTATAAATATATTTGTATGTTATTTTTTTAACAAAAAATAATCATATATTATATTTTTCAATCATTGTTATTTAAAAATTATAAATCATGCTATGCAAACTTTATAATTATATTATAATTACAAGCAATATATTTTGATTTTTTTAAATAAAAATTTAGTAATGCACTGTTTCCCATACAATGTATATATATAATCACAAAATTCAATTACCAATCAATCAATCAATCAATTTGAACAACAAATATCAATTAATTTAAAAGGGGTTTTCATTAATCTCCGGCACGCGGTTTTTGCTATAATTCTTAAACGGAGTGAGATATATTAATTTTGTAAAAAGTGTTTTAAAAAGTGATTTACGCGTGATAATATAAAATTAAAAATTTTTAATTTTGATCATGTGATCATATTTATTCTTGGATGTTTGCAAACCACTATGTCAGAATCTAACCTATAAATGTTAGAATAAATTTTCAATAGCATATTTGTAAAGCTTAAATTGAAAATTTATGGGAAGAAAAAATTTTTGAAATTGGTCGGAAAATAAATTTTTTATGGCTTTTCAAACATGTGGAAAAACACATTATAAGAAAAAGTAAAAAATAATATGACGTTATTTATGGACAGTAGACTCTTATTAGATAAAGATTTTAATACTATAACTTATTCTAAAAACAAAATTTTTTTATGTCGAATATTTTTTTAGATAATCAAATTTAATTAAAAATTATATTATCGAATTACAATGTTGTGTTTTTTATTTTAATTTGATTATCTAAAAAAATATTTGACATAAAAAAATTTTTTTATTAGAATAAGTAATAGTATTAAAATCTTTATCTAATAAGTGTCTACTGTCCATAAATAACGTCATATTATTTTTTACTTTTTCTTATAATGTGTTTTTCCACATGTTTGAAAAGCCATAAAAAATTTATTTTCCGACCAATTTCAAAAATTTTTTCTTCCCATAAATTTTCAATTTAAGCTTTACAAATATGCTATTGAAAATTTATTCTAACATTTATAGGTTAGATTCTGACATAGTGGTTTGCAAACATCCAAGAATAAATATGATCACATGATCAAAATTAAAAATTTTTAATTTTATATTATCACGCGTAAATCACTTTTTAAAACACTTTTTACAAAATTAATATATCTCACTCCGTTTAAGAATTATAGCAAAAACCGCGTGCCGGAGATTAATGAAAACCCCTTTTATATAAGCAAACATTTATGTAGCAAACAATGTGTTGTTAGTTTTTTTTTAAAAAAATAGATAACATTATGCAACATTGGTTTAAATAGTAAACAATAATTAATATCAATATATTATCATATATTTTCATTTATTAAAAAAAATTGTCTAATTTATCTTAATTAATTAGTTTATTTTATCTAACATTATATATATTAAAAAATATTATTTTAATAAAATCTAACTAACAATTTTTAAGATAGTATTGAAATATCATTGTTTTATTATTATTATTATTATTATTATTATTAATTAAATAATTGTTTTAATTTTTAATAATTAATTTATTACATTAATATGTATATACAATCCTATAAATAATTTGTTTGGTAACACATGCAGCAAATTTGATGACACAAATAATTGACATTTATTTTTTATTTGCTAATTATCTCAATAATAATAATAATAATTCTAACCTCATTAGCTATCATCTACTATGAAATAATAAAGTTAAATATAATACTAATATTTTTTTTATACATAAAAATGTATAAAATTATTATTTTTTTTTTTGATTCCTTCCCTTCAGTTATTTGCTTACATTTAAGGGGGATATATATAGACATAAATATATATATAGAAAGAGAGAGAGAGAGAGAGAGAGAGAGAGAGAGAGCAATTTTAGCTTATTTTCAAAATATTAATACCAATAATATATTGATATAAATTATTTTTAAATTATACAGTATTTTACTTTTTAAAAAAAAAGTTTTTTAAATTTCATAAAATTAAAAAAAAATATTATTAAATTTAAGGACTATATTATTAATTAATAAATATATTTTTTTATAATAGTATAACTTAGTAATAAATATATACTATAACTATATCTATCAATTAAATAAAAAAATTAATAATTTATTTTTATCAACAACAAAAAATAAATATTTTAACTAGCACGTTTTTTTTAATTATTTAAAAAAAAATCTCAATTTCTAAGTTGCTCTCTATCTCCCTCTCATCGGGGGCGGGAGCGGGCGGGTAATGGGGTAAGTTATAAACAGTTGGTTTGTTTGGGGTAGGGGRGGGGACAGGTATATAGATGTTTTTTTTGGGGGGGGGTGGTTAGGTGGTTTGTTAGTATAGTAGGCCTTACCCGGCATCCGAAAGCGGTAATCTTGAGCAAACATTCAAGAGTAAACAGTGCAGTAAAGGTTGCATTTGTATATTGAAGAGTCATTTTGTAATCATCGCTCTGCTGGTAGTACTATATATGTACGGTATATATATATATATTGATATATATGTATAGTATACACACAAATATATAGATATAGATATATGTATATAAAATTATATAATAATAATTAACAGATATTTTAATTTAAAAAAAAATATAATTAGATTTTTTTTTATAAAAAAAAATATTTTGAATATCCCATTTATATTTTATTTTTTATTTAGAATATATTTAATTTAGACTAAAAATCATGAAATTAATTATTATTTTTTTTTATAGAAATTTTCTATTTGATTATCTATTTGTTTGGTAATAATTGTTTCATAGATTTTGTTTTTATACAGATTAGTTAGTAATCTTAAATCATTTTATTTTCATTATATTTTTATATTATATTTAAAAAAAAATTAATAGATTGTACTTTTAAATAAATTAGATTAAATTAGCTTGTTTATTATAAAAATTTCTATGTAAACAATTATTTTGTTTATTTTTCAATAAATTCAAACATTATAATATTATATATATCCCAGATAAATATTCACCATATGAATAATATTTGTATTATTATTATTATTAAAATTACTAGTCTAAAATAAATAATTAATTAATTAAAAATATTATGATAAAAATTATCAAAAAAAAAATAATTTAAAAACCTTGTTTATAATTTTATAGAAAAAATAATAATTAGATGATGATATAATCAATTAATTATAAACTGATATATTTACTAATATATAGATAAATAGTTATTTAATAAGATAATTCATCATTGTGCTTTTTTAAATGTTAAATATTATATCATATATATACTTTTATCATAAAACAATTTGCACAAAATTTCATTTAATAATTATTATGTATTCAATATTTTATACGATAATTCATGCAATACTATATATATATATATTGGTATTTTATTGGTAATTAATTATATTTAATAAAAATATTATGTTAAATGTCATTAAATTACTTATTATATTTTATTTTTTTAAATATTATTTTTTTGAAAATATTTGTTTTTTTTTCAATTGCATGCAATCCAATAAGCACAATGAGCACCAAATGCAACAAAATTACCCTAGATATATTATCTTTTAATTATATATATATATACTGTAATTTATAGGTTTATATATATATATATATATATGTATTTAATTATAATAAAAATTAATTTTAGTTTTAATAAATTAATAATAAATATTAATGTAAAGATAACTGTATTAAAAAAAATGTTTAAAATAACAAAAAAATTAAGGGGGATAAAATTATAAAAAATAAAAACTCAAAAAAAATTAAATATAAATAAATATTAATTATAATTATCTATTTATTATTTGTTACTAATTTATGTTATTTTATTATTAATTAGTATTTAAATTTTATAATTAATATAAATAAATTAAAACATATATCTCTTACTTTCATCATCAGTAGTATAGTGTTTAGTACAATCAAAACCATTATAAAGTACTCGAAAGCCGTAGAGACGACAACCCTCCAGATCTTATACTTCATACTGTCCTTATCTTTAGGCATATATCGTTGCAATGGTCGGGCTTGGATGGCAAAGTCGATACAGGATTTCTGATTTTTATCCAACTCTCCTTCCTCCAGTTCCTTTTCGCCCTGTTCCTGGAAAGTGATGATAATCAGGGCGACGAAAATGTTGACAAAAAAGAAGGGAAAGACGATGAAAAAGATGACATAGAATAAGGACATTTCGATCCGAAACCGTGGAAGCGGTCCGTGATCTTCAAATACAGAGTCCATCGAGTTTTGCAGTACTCTAGTGTTGTTGATGGTGATGATGGTAGATAGGGGTAGAAGTAATAGTTAGTTAGTTATCTTTAATTTGTGTGTGTGTGTGTGTGTGTGTGTGTGTGTGTGTGTGTGTTAGGTATGGGTGGGATGGTTGGTTTGGTAGGTGATGATAGTGATAGGGTGGTAGGGTAGATAGGGGTAGAAGTAATAGTTAGTTAGTTATTATCTTTAATTTGTGTGTGTGTGTGTGTGATAGGTATGGGTGGGATGGTTGGTTTGGTAGGTGATGATAGTGATAGGGTGGTAGGGTAGATAGGGGTACAAATAATAGTTAGTTAGTTATTATCTTTAATTTATGTGTGTGTGTGTGTGTGTGTGTGTGTGTATGTGATAGGTATGGTTGGGATGGTTGGTTTGGTAGGTGATGATAGTGATAGGGTGGTAGGGTAGATAGAGGTAGAAGTAATAGTTAGTTAGTATCTTTAATTAGATTTCTGTGTGTGTGTGTATGTGGTAGGTATGGGTGGGATGGTTGGTTTGGTAGGTGATGATAGTGATAGGGTGGTAGGGTAGATAAGAGTACAAGTAATAGTAACCAATTAAATATTAGTTTTAATTATTATAATAATTAATTAGATAGTTTGATAAGTATGGGGTAAGTGGTATTAATTGATGGGAAATGTAATGTACAGTAATTATTAGATGATAGATATTGGATGGATGTGTAGGTATTATGTGATGGCAGTACATACTGTGGCCAACCCTCGCTGGTCTGTACGGTAAACAGTGTCAGTATAGCTGCAATAACATTGTCGTAATGAAACGGATGTCTTTCCCAACTCCTTTTCTTGACCACTGGCGGTGCGTGTAGTTGTTTGAACTCAAAATATTCGCCACTAAACAAAATAATTAAATTTTTTTTTTAAATAATTAGGATTATATACTAATATTATATAATTAATTTGGTGGGGACAGGTATTCATTTAACGTACGCGCACTCCTCCTGAAACAGTTTCGACTCATCCGTACAGTAGTTAAACCGTCCATTGAATAACTGTACGGCGATTACGGCAAATATAAATTGAAATAACATATAGACTATCAATATGTTGAACACGTTTTTCAATGATGTCACCACACAATCAAATACAGCCTAATAATTATATTTAAAAAATATAAATTTAGTAAATATTTAACATTATAATCAATTAAATGTTGATACTATAAATATAACTTAGGTGATAATTGTTTGATAAATTAATAATAAAAAATATATATTGTTTATTATTAATTTATAATTTTAACATTTCTATTTAAACAAATTAAAATTATCTATTGTTTAAATTATTTTATTTTTTTTAAAATTTGATAGTAATATACCTTTAATTTAGGCACACGTTTAATGGTTTTCAATGGTCGTAATACACGCAAAACTCTAACATATTTTTATACGTTAAAAAATTAATTATTAATTAATTATTAAATTATTTTTTTTAATTAAGATTATATAGTTTACATACCTAAGCGACTTAATGACGCTTAGACTAGAGGCGGCGCCCTTTGTACCGGGACTGGAGTCACCACTGGTGTAATAATTTTAATTAAATAAAAAAAAATAGTTAAACAATTTAGTAGATTTTAACATTTAATTGGAGAGAGAGAGAGAGAGAGAGAGAGAGAGAGAGAGAGAGTTAGGGCAATGTCTTAAAAGTATCTGTAATTTAACTGCAAATTAGATTCACATTGTTTTTTAATTGTATGAATATTTCAAACTAAAAAACTTAACATTTTAAAAATGTAACAAATTTTAAATTTAATACTAATAATACTAAATATTAATGACTCTCAAAAATTAATACAGTTATAGATTATCGGGGACATTTAAATATACCCAATGGGCTATTGGCTAAATCGATACCCATGATATTTAATAATATATGCCCTTATCCTACCCAACACCCCCCTCCAACCATCCCATCCCAACCTCCCGGAGCTATAGACAGTATATACTGTATATTGAATACATACAAAATGGAGAAAGCGATGGCACAGAGGGCACAGATGACAACAATGGCGTCCAATATGTTCCATAAGTCTCGACAATAGGAACCGGGATGCAAAAAGACACCTTGGTCGATTACTTTGAGTAGCATTTCGATGGTAAAGACGCCGGTAAAGGCATAATCAAAATAAATGAGTATACTATTGATGTCGGAGCTCTCGTCTACTGGATCTTCGGCAGCCAAGGCAATAGAGCTCAGGGTTATTATAATCATAATGAAAGCGTCAAAGTAGCGCATATTGGTTATGAAATGTGCGCCCCGACGGACGGGATTGCTAGAGGACAGTACAAACATCGACGAATAGGGCAACATTGGTTTCGGACCACTGGGTTCTTCATCATCGCCTCCATCGTCATCGGCTGGCGGTTCGGCGCGACCACCGCCGCCGCCGCCACCTGAGCGGGCAGTTGGCGTCTGTTTGGATTTCGGTATCTTAACCAACTCGAACTCAATTTTACTGATTTCGGGTATATCTGTTGCGCCGCCAGCGCTACCCGATCGGGTCTTTGCGTTGCCCAACGGCGACGGCGGCATAATATTGATATCAATCGGAAACAAATCCAGATCGTCGTCGTCGGTCATATCCAACAGTTTCATATCGGCTGCTGCGGCCGCCGCCGCCGCCGCACCTTTAGTTCCCTGATGTGGTACACCGTCCAACTCTTTCCGCATTTCTTCCTTATTCCGCTCTCTGTCGACTTCGGCTTCTTCTTCTTCGGCAGCCGTCAACTCTTGAGCATTGGCCAGATTGTCGACAGCAATGGCCAAGAATACGTTCAGCAGGGTATAGTTACCGAACAGGACAAGTATGATAAAGTAGACACTGTAGATCATACCGCCCTCGTGTATACCGCCCTGCGATTTGATGGCCCTATACATCACTTCGTTCCAGTCTTCGCCGGTTAGTATCTGAAATACTGTCAACAATGCGATGGCAAATGAATTGAAATTAGCCGGCGGTGTTTCCTCTTCAAAGTTGAACCTACCCGGGGGGGATCAGTTTGGTGATCACATTGTTAATAATAATAATAATAATAATAGTTAGCATATATATAGAAAAATATATTAACTAAATTAATTTTTTTATCATTAATTATCATTACAGTAGTTAATAGTGTTTACTCTAACCAATAAATTTCAATTATGTATATAAAAACAATTTTAGTGATTTTTTTGTTGACTACTATTATTTTCTCTATTTATTTGTTTTCAATTTGTTTTTTTTAAACACTATTGAACTACTAATTGAATTTAGTTAATATATATATATATATTATATACTGTATATATAATTGTTTTGTATGGATAATACATACGCTCCTCCAAACAATTGCATTCCCAATAAGGCAAATATTAGTATAAACAAAAATAATAGGAATAATAGACTAATAATCGATCGCATGGAAGCCAATAGTGATATAACTAAATTTCTAAGTGATGACCAATATCTAAATATTAAAAAAATTAATTTAAAAAATATATATTAATTATTTAATTAATTAATTATGTTTAAGTTAGTATTATTGGATATTTTTAATTGCTTAATATAGTTAGCATAAAAAACAAACATTTAAATATATATATATACAGAAATTTTGTTTGTATAATAAAAATAAGGGGTGTAAAAAACTAAAGTATATTTAAATTTTTGTTGTTATTGATAATAATAATTAAAAAAAAACCGTACTTGGTCACTTTGAATATCCTTAACAATCGTAACGCCCGGAGCACCGAAAAGCCAAATGAGCCGCCCTTTACTTCAGACCAGATTACCTCAAAAATGCTCCCAAATATAACCTTTTATTTTATTTTTTTTTTTGGTGAAAATAAAAATAAATTTGTTTATTTAGGAAAATATTGTTTGTGATATATTAGTAGCAAAAAATTTTTGTTAAACATATATATGAAAAAATTGTTTTAATAATAATACTTACCATACAATCAAATCTATTGAATGCCGACTCGAAATAGCATTTGATACCCAATGCATACAATTTGATACACATTTCGCATATAAATAGACCCAAAAAGACAAATTCGGCGATATCTGCGAATATATAATAATAATAATAATTATTATTATTATTTTAATTAATTAATTAATAAAATAGTTTTAAAAAAATATATTTTACACTATAATATACTAATAATACTAATAAATAATTATTTAGATTAATTAATTAATAATATAGTTTTTAAAAAAATATATTTTACACTATAATAATAATAAATAATAATTATTTAGATTAATTAATTAATAAAATAATTCCTTTTAAAAATATATTTTACAATATACTAATAATAATAATAAATAAATATTTAGATTAATTAATTAATAATATAGTTTTTAAAAAATATATATTTTACGCTATACTACTACTAATAATAAATAATTATTTTAATTAATTAATTAATAAAATATTTTTAAAATATATTTTACAATATATTAATAATAATAAATAATACATAAATATTTAGATTAATTAATTAATAATATAATTTTTTTAAAAATAAATATATTTTACACAATAATAATAATTATAATAATTAATAATTACATAAAAAATTTGTGAGCCATTGTTCCTGTCCTTTATGCTCGACAGCTACACAGGCCGTATTGAGGAAGACCAACAAAATGACAAACCAGTAAAAGGCTTGGGTTTTGATGGCGTGTCGGACACTGATTCTGTATATATATATATATATATATGGATAATATACATATATATATATACGGTATATACGGGGTAAGGTATCATCCGTATGAATTTGGTAGGGGACCACACCCCATAGATAGGATATCCAATTGTAATCAATGATAGGGAATAGGGATCAGGTGCAGGTGCAGGGTGGTTAGTTGAAAATAAATTTTTAATTTAAAAAAATTGTTTTAATTATTTTTTTTCAATTAGAATTTTATATTTTATTATATAAAATAGTATAGTAAAGTAGTATTTTACGTTTTTTTAAATTTTTTAATAAATTTTTTTATCTAGCTCATGTAGCTTTTTCAAAAATAAATAGATATACATGCCTAAAACGTTTTTCAGCTTTCCAAAACGCTTTGCATGCTCCTTTATTTTTAATTTTTGAATGTATATACGATGCTCTAGCAAATCCTAGATAGTTATTTTTTGTTTATTTATTTGTCCATGGTAATTTTTTCCATAATAATTGTTGATGATGATTATTAAAATAAAGTAAACAAAAAAAACAAATATTACTATATACAATATATGAAAATAAATAATTATTATTTATTTTAAAAATTAAATAATAAATATTTAAAATTTATAATTATTAATAAATATAGTTAATTTTTACCAATTGTTTTTAATTTTAATTTGGTTTCGATAAACAAGCAATAATGACCATGCTTAGTTTTATTTTTGCATATATATACATGCTAGTTGTTTGTTTGGTTTGTTATGTTTTTTGTTGTTTTGCAGGATAATTTAGCAATAAATCTACAGTTTATTTTTTATTTTTGCTTTACATTTCAACATTCAATAGAAATTATATGCAATTAAAACTATAAATGTAATAAACAATATAATAATTGTTTTTTGTTAGTAATTTATAAAACTTATAAATAATATATTTTATAATTAGTGGATTGAATTGAATATATATATATATATATATATATATATATATATAAAACAATCAATAGGTTGATTAATGCAATATTTTCAAAATAATACTAATTTACTAATAGAGTTGATAAAAAATAATTATAAGTTATGTTAAAAAAGTTTTTTTTTATAAATTATATTATTATAATATACAAAATGCCTTACAATTATTGTAATCTAATTTAGATAATGGATTTTTTTAAAAAAATAATAGTTAAGCAAATGAGATAATAATAATAATAATGCTAGGTCATATTAGATTAATTTAGTTTGTTTTTTTTGGTGTATGTATAATATATAAGTGCATCTAAATATAATTGTAGGAAATTTTCAACAAAAAATATAAATAAGTTTTAATCTAATAATACCAAACAAACAAAAATAAAAAATTAACACTAACTTAATAATAATAATAATTGTATTAAAGCATTTCGGCTAAATTATCTATATCATCAACTAATCTATTGCTATTAATAATTTTCAAAAAAACCAATAATAGTATATCAATATTTTAAATATTATTATTTTTTAAAAATTTAAGTTAATTATATTTAATATAATAAAAATTTATATTATATATTAAAATAATTATATTAATCTATTTAAAAATAAACTATATCAACTACTGTACTAATAGTTACACTAGATTGGGAAGCTAATAATAATAATTAATTTTTTTTATCTAGATGCTTTAACTAATTAACTATACACAAACAATTCTAGTATTTATATATATAGAAGCACTACTTAACTAAGATACTAATAATTAAAATAAATAACTAACTATTAGCAAGCTCATCTATTAAAAAAAATCATCTAATAATTTCAATTGAATTGATTAACATTAAGATTATAATAATAATTATTATTATATTTTTTGATTTTTTGTAAATACCTTTTAAAACTTTTCGTGAAGTTTCTATTTCATTCCAATCAATATTAATATTAATTTTTTCAGCAATTAATTAATTGTGAAAAATTATTATTAATGTTTTGTTTTTAATTTGTGAGAGATTTATTGCATCGATTATATTTCAAATATAATAATTGTGAATAAACAACGTGTGTGTGTGAATAAATAAATAAAAAAATAAATAAATATATATAAAAAACATGATAATAATAATATTATTAATAATATTATCGAAAAAAAATAATTCTAATAGAAATACAAATTATTAATTAAATTTATTATTTAATAATAATAATTATATGATAATTAAGTGACAAACAAGTGCACAATTTGGTGGTTATAAAGTTGATAGTGAATAATATTATTATTATTGTTTTAAAAAGTGATTTTTTGATATTTTATAATATCATTCAAAAAAAAAAAAGAAAACACATATAGTATTTGATGATCAGGTTAGGTATCACACGTGTAATAAAATTTATAATAATAATAATATTTATCATTCAATTTATAATATTAAATATTATAAGCACACAAACAAACACACAAACATCTATATAAATATTATAATTATATATCTAATAATAAATTATACTATATTATCACTCTATTATTATTATTATTATTATTATTATTATTATCAAAATCTAATATGCAATTATTATTATAATTTATTTTTATGACTTTTTTTGTTACTATAAATTTGTCATAAATAATAAGTGATTCAATAAATTTTATAATTTATTAATAGCAAATAAAACTAATAAAACTATTAAAGTAATATTATAATGTTTTGTAATATATATCTATAATTAATATATTGATAATACTGTATTATATTCATTGAATTTATTGGATAATTTTTAAATTAAATTTTTTAAAAATATAAATCTGTAATTATTTGTTAATCTATATTATTATTATTATCATAAATAAGTTATACAAAAAAATATCTATTAAAAAATAAATTAAACTACTATATATTTAGTTATATTTTATATAAACTAATTAGACTAAATAGTTTTTAAAATAATAATATCTATTAATAATCTATTAATAAATATTTTTTAAAAAATTAATATATTTTTTCTGCTAATCAAAACACACACACACACACATACATACATACAGTATATACTGTTTGTATATGTGTCACATACACACATACATAATTTTACATAGACACACACACACAGACACACACACATACATACACACATACACATACACATACACATACACATACACATACACATACACATACACATACACATACACATACACATACACATACACATACATACATACATACATACAGTATATACTGTTTGTATATGTGTCACATACACACATACATACATAGACACACACACACACATACACACACACACACATACATACATACACACATACATACACATACACACACACACACACAAACATACATACATACAGTATATACTGTTTGTATATGTGTTACACACACACACACACCTTAAGTTGTGCACCTGTAATGAGGATTCAACTGAATATACAGTTTATATATATATATATATATATATATATATATATATATATATATCAAATGTAAAAAATTTTGATTCAAAAACAAAACTGTTTGATACCTTCGTCTTCCTCTTCTTCTTCTTCGTCGTCCTCATCGGTACTCTTCGAGTGCATAGTCTTCAGTTTTTTTCGTTTGGCTGCGGCTCTCTTGCGAGCTATTGATTAGCCATTTGATTAAAATTATTATTATTTTTAAATCAATTAATTTTTTGTTTATTAAAGACTCAGATTTTTAAAAAACAAAAAAAAACAAACAAACCTTCGATGATATGCATCTTTTCTTCCTCAGTGGTCCTTTCCTCGGCTAATATCACTTCCTCGGCCTTACAGATCCACTCGACATAGCCGTTGAGCTCCCTTTCCAGCTGTTGCTGTCGTCTAAGCTTCAGAAAGGCCTGTCTGTTCTCAACTCTTTCTCTTTCTTTAGCAAATTCACTATAGATTTGTTTAAAAAAAATTAGTTTTCTTGTTGTATATGGAAATGGATGCTCTATATATGGACTTACCCGCTGAGTACACCCAACACTAGGTTGAGCATAAAAAATGAGCCCAATATTATTAATGGCACAAAATATATCCAATTATATGAACTGCCCATCGCATCGTTAGTCTAAAGTAAATTATCATTTAATAATAATACTAATAATATTAATAATAAATATATTAATTAATTAATTTAATTTAATAATATAATAATTTTTAATTTGCTAATATACAGTAAAGCTGATAATATACAACACTAGCAATAATCTTGATAAACTCAATTGATCCAGATAGTCTAATAAATATTATCTAATATATACAGTTTATTTTGTTATCTAATTTTTAGAAAAAAATAATTTAATAAAATAAAAATCTTCAAAATTATATATATATAAATAAATATGAATTTTTTAAAAAATATCATATGAAACAGTGACAGTGTTTATAGTTGCAATTTTTAGACCCCCCTATCAACTAACTCCTATTACCTAATCATTTACACACCCACCCACTTACTTACCCAGTATAATATGGCAGTCCATCCCTCCATAGTAATGCACTGAAATACGGTTAACATAGCAAAGAAAATATTATCGAAACTAGTGATGCCATAGTTGGGTCCTTCCCATCCCTCGTCACATACGGTACCGTTTGGACACATATAGGCACCTTTGGGTGCTTTATCGCCCTTAGCTAACGTACAGGGAGTTTCCATTGCATCGCCCTCTCTATATATTTCAGCTATAAAATAATAATAATAAATTAAATTATATAAGTTTTTTTTTAAAAAAATAAAACAATTTAATTAATTGTTTTCTAGTTAGTTAAAAAAATTTTGTTTATTAATTAATTAATCTAATATTTGTTTTTTATATTTCTAGATTCAACAACATAGCAACTAATTAATTACCAAAAAAAAAATAATTTTAATATTACTAAAAAAATTATTAATAAAATCAAAATACATACTCCTATATGGTAATGTAAAAAATTTAATTTTAATATTACTAAAAAAATAGATGATTTTTTTAATTAATAAAATAAAATTTAAAAAATACATACTCCTATCTGGTAATGTAAAACATGTTTTATGAAGTGCTCCCTCATAGAAGTCTAGGCCAATGATGGCAAATATAACAATTGCAAACAACACTAATAAACCGATTTGAAGTAACGGTGCCATTGCTTTGATGATAGACTTCAATACAACTTGAAGACCTATAGTTGATAGTAGTAGTAGTGGTGATAATGGGTTATCAAAAAAACAAACATAAATATTAATCAATGGGTTAGTCAATCATCAATTGGTTTTTTTTTTGAATTCAAATTTTAGAAAAAATTGAATAACAAAAATGTTTTTATTTTTATTTTTGTTGGTTTTGTGATATTGATTTCATGATATAAATTAACAAAATAATAATAAACATGTAATCACTTTATTTAGTATTTTAGTTAATTAACTAAATGATCTGTCCCTATATTATTTATAATATTATGATGGCATTTATATAATTGCTATGATTTAATATACAGCAAAATGATTCAATAATAATAAACATAATTTACATTAAACAATTGACCTAGAGTTTAAAAAATTAGACAATTTTTTTGGGTTGAATCAACAGTGTCACTTTTGTTTAGCAATATAATTATTTTTTAATATTATATAAGTTGAAATTAATTTTTAATTAGTAATAATTAGCAATAGTTTATATATTTTAAACTATCTATTATTGTTTAACAAGCATACCAACAACAACAACAATCAAAACTATCAATATTTTTTATATAGATAATTAATGCATTTTTTCTATATAATATTATATATTTCTATACATGATAACAAACAAACTAGTTTAATTAATTAGTATCTAATTAACTAATATTTATATATATACTTTATATCTAAACTAGATCAATTTGATAAACTCTATTACATATAACTGTATAAATTATAATAATAATGATAATGATAGCATACAAACAAGCAACAAATAATAAATGAGTTATGTTATTATTATTATTAATAATAGTAATGATGATGATAAAAATAATAATAATAATATTTTTTTGTTTGAAAAAATTATAAAAAAATAAAATATTTTTTTTTTGTAATTTTTTAATTATCACTTACTTGGAACACCTGAGACCAACTTCAATGGTCTTAACACTCTAATGGCTCGTAATGTTTTTAAATCTACCCCACCTAACATTTGTTTTTCACTGGGAGCTAATAAGGTTATAAACCTGCATATAAAACAGGGGGGGTTAGGGTGTGGGGTGTATGATGATGGTGGTGGTGGATAGGGAGGAGGAGGAGGTAAACAAATTTTTACAAACAAATTGTCAAAAATCTAATATAATATGACTAATATATTTAAATTAAAAAATTAAATACAATATGCAATCAAAAAAAAATATATTATTTATACTAAAATGCAATTACATATATATAATTAATTATGTAATTTATATAATAATTATTTTATACTATTACTAATAAATTTTATTTATATATATAATAAACATGCAACATAGGTAATATATTTTTATTTAAAATTTTAAACTAAATATAAAATTAATATTTATTATTGTAAATTATCTTTATTAATAGATTAGCTAGATTACTTATAGGAAAATTGTTAAGTTATCGCTGTTTAATAAAACTAAAAATTTACTTTTTTTTAATTATATATATATATATAAAAAAAATTATTATAAAATTATATTAACGATTAAAATTTATATTATTTAATAAAACAATAATTCTAATAATTTAATTATTTTATATAATATTTGTAATTTTTAAATAAATAATTTTATATAATATAATAATAATTCTTTTGCTGTAGTTTTTAAACCCATTAATTCAAAAATTTTTGTTATATTATACAAAAATAATAATAATGATGAATATATATATAATCCTATATATATGATCATTATATTTGCTAATAATTATTTTTGAAATTTTTTCAAAAAGCAATATACTGTATATGTATTTATTATGTGACTATCCTATCAAATAAAATAACTATATTTTTGTTAATATCAAAGTTTATTTAAACAAAAATATATATTTGTTTTTCTAAAAAAAAACACTTTTATATACAAAAGAAAATCCTTTTTATTTGTTGTAGTATTTATTTAGACGACTATTTAATTTGATTTAATTTTTATTATTATTATTATAATAATACTGGTATATACCGTATATATAATGTGTTGCAATAAATAAATAAATACTGTATTATTAAATAATATAATCGTGTTTTTGAAATAGTTATTATTACTGTATTATTATAATATGATAATAAAGATTGATCAACAACAAAAAATAATAATAATATTATAGTTTATACAATATATTTATAATTATATTATGTTTTATGGTTGTGATGACATTTAGATATATTTATTTATTAAGTAGTAGTTTTATTTAAGTACAGTATTAGTACAGTAGTAGATAGTAGTAGTAGTAGTAGTAGTAGTAGTAGTAGTAGTAGTGGTTGACACTTACTTGGCGTACGGGACACAAGTTTTAGTGGCCGTAAAACCCGAAACGACCGGAGCATACGGAAGTCTACATTTTTAAATGAGGACTGACTGCCCTCGATGGCTGTGTTGGCCAGACTATTATAATTGTTTTTATTTTAATTTTTAAAAAATTATTATTTTTAAAAAATTGTTTTAGCTTATAGTTTAGATTATTAGATATGATAACTAAGCTAACTTGATATTTCTATCTAATACAACAAAAAAAAAAAGATAGCTAAAAAAATTCTAGTTTTTACTAAAAAATTTTAATCTAGTTTTTACTAAAAAATTTTTATTATTTTAGTATCTAAATTAATTATTTTTTAAAAATTTAGTAACAACTATGCTAATTGAAAATAATGCTCTAGCTAAAATAAAACAATCTAACTATCACTAAAGCAGTCAAATTATAATTTTATTTATTTATATTTATTTATTTTTTTTTTGGTTACGTCTAGTAGGAGGCCCACACATAGATGAAAATTATTATTTAGATACACACACATACTGTATATATATGATATACATATTGATTAAAACAATGTTAATTGAAAAATAATTGAAATAATATTTTTTTTTTAGTAAAGTTATCTATTATATTTTCTATAATTTTATTAAAAATGCAAACTATTATTTTTTTTTAAAAATGCATAAATCTATTAAATATTTAGTAGTATATATACTAAAATTAATAGTTACTAAAAAAATAATTAATTAATTTTACAAAACAATTGCATTACTATAAATTAATTATCATTATTTTTATTATTTAGAAACACCAAAAACTATATATATTTTTTCAAAAAATCTAAACCTATAATGTATACGACATTATATATATATACATATAATAGTATACTACTTGTGATGAGATAGTGGTTAGAAAAAAAAGGTTAGCGTTTGTATTCAAATAACAACATTACACACACACACAACAAAAATTATTTGAACGACTATAACCTTTGACCTCTATTCAACACTAAGCATATACTGTATATATATATATATATATAAATAACAATTCAATTAAACTACAGCATCAGAATCTATTAATCTAAAAATAATACATTACTAAATCTAATAACTACTGTATATTATAAATTAGCATTTAAATTTTAAATTAAAACTATATAGGTTATTTATAGGCTAAAAATAAAAAAAACTAAATTAAATCTATTTATAAATAACTATATTATACTATAATTAGATTAAAATACTACTAATATAATTCTAGTAAATTAAAAATAAATAAATATATCGTATATATAATTATTTAAATACTAATTTAAATTTTCTAATAATAATAATAATAGCAAAAACAAAACTAAAAAATTAGAAATGTTGTTTAAATTAAAAAATAATAATCATAATCATAACATATCATATATTAAAACTAAATAAATAATAATTAATTAAAAAATCAATTGCAATTAAACTTACCCTGTTAAGACAACAATAAAATCAAGCATATTCCAAACATTACGTAGATATGATCCCTTATGTAATATAAATCCTAGTGCTAAAATTTTAAGTGTGGCTTCAAAACAAAATATTCCTAAAAAATAAGGCTCAGAGGTTTCCTAGTGGGGGTGGGGTTAGGATGGGGGTGAGTAAGTGTGGATTACAAATACAAATAAAAAATAAGTTATAAATTTTATTTTTTTAAAAATAGATAATTATTTAATTGAATATATAATTACCAATTGTAGTGACAATGGTGTCCTATCCTTTTTTGGCAGGTGTTCCTCCAGTGCTAAGACAACACAGTTGGCAATAATGGTTAATAGGACTGCATATTCAAACACAGTGTTATCGCCAATCAATCAGTCAATCAATCAATCAATCAATCAAATAATTATAATAAGTTAAGGAAAATATATGTTTGTTTTTTTTGCATCATATTTTTTTATACAAGAAAAATAAATATTTTTAAGCAAATTATCAATTTTTTGTGTTTGTAATTATATTATTATTATTATGTAAATAAAAAAATTATATAAAATCTTTCTTTTTTTATATAAATAAATTTGTTTAAATAAATAAAATTATAATAAATTATATTGAAGAATTATAAGATAAATATAAAAATGATATATACTGTATATATACTGTATATACACAGTATATAATGATTTTTAATACATATTATATAATCTATTATATAATATTTTTGAAAAAAAATTAAAACCTATGATACAGAATAAATAAATACTAAATAAATAAATAATAATAATAGTTGTATATAATAATAATAATGGTAAATATATATATATATATTACATAATAAAATTGCATTTAATATATGTATTTATATACTGCATATATATATATCTTGTAAATGTCAACACCTAATAAACAGTTAGATTATATTCACTGCATTACATAACTATGCTAATGGATAGTATAATTTACAGAGATAATTAAATACTAAAAAAACAAATATATATTCTGGTATACTATTTAAAGATAAAATATTCAAAAAAATTAATTAAAATTAGTAAAAATTATCAAAAATTATCAAGGTATATTATTTAAAAAAAGGATATGGCCATTCGATGATGAATCGGGTGTGCCGTCGTATAAAATTGTCATCGCTAAATATAAACAATGACGATGGACCTTTAGGCGGGGCCCCGGCACCCATACTGGCCGACTTCGGGTCCAGTAGTTTGGACATAGCTGCTGATGGTGGTGGTGGTGGTGGTGGTGCACACCTATCCTACTATACTGAGTCGTCGACTTTTTAATTGAAATATAAATTACTTATTTATTAATTATTATTTTTGTTGTAATTTTCAAGCCATAATCACTTAATAATCACATATATATCGACGACATTAGTCACATCCATCAGTAGCAGCGGTCACTCATATATTATTATTTTAGTTAAATAGTTTTGCATTAATTTGTTTCAGTTCAAAACGGGTATATATATATAAAAAAAAAACCTATTGACCGCTGTTAAGATGGCTCACACATATACTAACTAACTGACACACATATACTGTATATATACACATACAGTGTATGTATAATATTATTTTTACTCAATATTATTATTATTATTACGGTACTACTACTATCAGTTGTACTACTGATTGTTATTATTTTTATAATAAAATACAATCCAAACGAGAAATAAAATTAATAATATATTGTTTAGATATTAACAAAGATGTCGCTAAAAAAAGGTGTGATTACAGAATATTCTGTAATATATTTTTTTGTAGTTTACAAGAATATTCTGCGAAATATATATAACTGCTATTTACGCAAACACTTACTTCACTCTCACTCTCTCTCTCTCTCTCTCTCTCTCTCTCTCACATAGTATCGATCGATCCATCGATTGCTTAAAACGTTTGACATCCTCTATATATATATATATATATATATATACTGACTGTACATAAATAATAGCTAACAAAAAATTATATTAACGGTAAATATATTATGTAATATAATATATATATGTAAAAAGTATAGCAAAATTCTAGGAAATAATAAGTATAGATAAAAAAAATTTTTTTAAAAAACATCATTTAATTTATTATTATAATTAAATTATTATATAAAGGTAAATTATTAAATGAATTAATTAAATTAAAATATATTTATATATATATATATATATTTTGTTTAAATAAAATGATTTCATTTTGAAAACTTTGTTGTCTCTCATGTAAAAAGTGCCAAAAAACAAACTAATGATGAGTATAAATATTATTATTATAATTTTTTTTGTTTCGTCAATAAAATTGCAGAAAATAATATAATGATTGAATAATAATAATAATAATTATTGGTTATGATTATGATTATTATTATTAGTAGTAGTATTATTATTATTAAAACGGCTTTCCGTAAGCACGGGTACCGTAGCATTGGTAGTGGTCACCACTGCCGCTGACATCGACAGCTGTTCCTCGCGAAGTCGTTTATAATAGTTTTCAATAGTCGTATGAATGGTATCCTTATTATACTTGCAGTCGGTTTCGCCGCAACCGCACGTAAACGCCTTATACTTAATGACCCAAAATTTTTCTCCGTAATCAAAGCTATTATAAAATATATACAAAAATAAATTATTATAATTTAATTGAAAAGTTATGTTAAAGGGAGAGGAGAGGAGAGGGGAGGGGCTATACATACCTTAGCTCTTCGTAAGCCTTAATATCTCGTGAACTAAATAATGCGATTCTCGGAAACGACAGATCCTGATGGTCGACAAACACCTTAACCGGAGTCAGATTTGAATTACACGAATGATTAATAAAGCGACAGATATTGCCGTAGAAGCGGGCGTCCAGACAGTAGGTCTCCCCGTCCTTACAATTGATATAATTTATTCAAAAAAAAAACAATTAGTATTTTGCAAACAAAAAAATTGTTAGACAATTGTTAGTATAATTTACTTTGTTATCCAAATCAAACAAATACGAGTCATCTTCACGCCGGTCGGCCTCCGAGTCGCTAATAATTTCGCCGACATATTCGCAAACAAACGTTCCTTTAGGTATATCCCTGAGAGCCCGGACACCCCATCCCTTACTTTTAGTACGAAATACTTGCAATCGACAACTAAAAGAGTTAAAGAAAAAAAAGTTAAATAATGAACAAAAAAAATTAATTAACAATTTTTTAAGGGAATGGCATACCGGACACCATATTGGACGACCCTATTGTTGCAGGTTTTCCAGCAACTGCACGCACGGTTGCACTCGAATATCATGGGTGCGTCCATCAGATTAAACTCTGGCAATAGTTTGCCCTCTTTGTCGTACCAGCACTTGAAACTGATGGCACCGCACACACACTTTTGTGACGTACAGTCATCCTCGCACTGACAGCTCTACGAATGTGTGGAAAAAAAATTAGTTTAAAAAACTGTTTTTTTAAAAATATTTATAACCAAATGATTAGTTACGGGTATACCTGAAGTGAGGTAATGGTGCGATCGATGTTAATATGAGAAGCCTCACAATTTTCCGTAACATACATAAAATCAATCGGATAGGGCTCGTTGTCGACACCATTAACCACTTGTATCTGATAATACTCTTTGCCTTTTGACAGATCTCTGTGCAACAGTTTTTCGCTGTTCATCTGACGCCTGACGGAGAAGCGTTTCAATTCTTGATTAACTTTTAGGGCCATCTCTGACTCGCTATTATTAGGTGCGCACTGATTGATTGATGGATGGGATGGGGTGTGCAAAAATAAAAATATGATAAGCGATTAAATATATTTCAGTAATATTAAAAATTATAAGTAATAATTACTTGAAGAGGAGATTCAGTGTTTTTATTCATAATCGTGATGTCGGCCCCTCTTGACAGTAGAAGTCTATAATAATATATAAAATTACCGTAAATTATATTATTTTCGGTTAAATATTAAGGGGGGTAATAAATCTGGTAACTTACACAACGCATTCATAATTGTCACGGCGGGCAGCAATATGCAAGGGTGTGTCGCCGTGAATGTTGGTCTGATTGATAACATGGGCGCCCATATCGAGAAACAGTAGCGCTATATTGGTTTCGCCGGAAAAGGCGGCCCAATGTAGGCCAACATTTTCCTCGTCGTCTTCAATGTTAGGATCGGCTCCTTTATTGACCAACAGTTTGACAATATTGTAGTACTTGTGTTCAGTGGCCCAGACTATCAATTGGAGGACATATATAGAGATGAAGAAAGTGTATTAGATTTTAATAGCCGATATCCCCCACCACACCGGATATGATGATCATTACCTAACGGTGACCAACCGCCGTCGTCCTGCAAATTCACGTTCATCTTTCCCGAATCCAGTATATAGTGTACGGCTTCGATGTTACCGCATTTGGCCGAAATATGCAACGATGTCATACCGTCTTCGCCGCGAATGTCCAACGATGCGCCCGAATTGATCAGATATTTGATAACAACGTTGTGTTTGTGTTCAATCGATTGCATCAACGGTGTAATCATATTTTTGTTGAGTACGTTCGGGTTGGCGCCCGACTGTATCAACAGGTGGACAATTAGCAGGTGTCCGCATTTGGCCGCCGCGTGTAACGGTGTCTCGTTGTCGTTGTCTTCGAATGCAAAGTTCGGATCAAATCCTTGAGCTTTTTTTTAAAGATAAAATGTTAGGACAGTTGGTTATCAATCACATATATGTGGGGAACACATTGATATACTGTATATCTTATACCTAATATGCTGAGCACTTTGTCCACTTCGCCGCTTTTGGCGACGGCGTAAAAGTTTTTATTGTGCTGTATTGTCAACCGTATAGACTGTTTGTCGCCCGACAGGGCCGACAATAGCTCTTCCAGTTGTTTACGTTGCGGACCAAATGGCAGTCCAGCTAAATGATCCAAAAATATTTGTATCAAAAAAAACAAAACAAAATTATAACAATAACTTAAATTATAATCAAAAAAAATTTTTTTTATTATATACCTAAAGATAGTATTTTATTAGTGGCCGGAATTGTGTACTCAATACCGGCTTCAAGTAGTTTGTCATCGGATAACGGCTGAGCCTTATGACGGCCTTTCCTTTTAGTTACACCTATACGGGCCTTAGGTCTGCGAAAGATATTTTTTGAGTAAAATAATTGTCTAATCAATTGATAGTCGATTTAAAAAAAAAAAATTAGGAACTCATACGTCTTCAGTATAGATGTCTGCTGAAGATAATAGGTATTATTAGTTAGCGGTCCGTTCATCTCGAGCCGTACGGTCCGGGTTTGGGACAACATATCGCAGTGCAAACAGTGTTGGCTTTTCGGATCCTGGGGCCGATCGATCTGACATTTGCTGTGAAACAAGTGGATCTGTTTCTTAATACTGAAACATTCGTTGAACTCGCCCTGAGTGCAGAACAGTCCACAGCCGGGACAACAGTGATGGCGTCTGAGTCGTGCCAAATGAACTTCGCAGAAGATCCTATAGGGAACCCGTTTCGATGACCGAAATAGTGATGTCAGCCGAACCTGATTACAGCAGCCGATTAACTGATCCACACACAGAAGTGATAGAAAAAATGTTAAAAAAACCAATTGTTTAGTTAGGGTTTTGTCTTAGTATATGATGGGATGGTATGGTATTTGATTGCCTGACAAACCTTTTCATCAAAACAGTCGATCGCCTGACAAAACAGTGGCTTTCCTTTCGATATATCCTTTTGTGAACTGTCTATCAATGGTTTGGCCGAACACATACACACCGATGTCTGAGCCATGGATTTGTCACTCTATATATATGATAATAATTAAAGACATTAGTTAACAATATTAATAATAAAATACATATAACTTTTTTATTTGTAATTTTTTATACATTGGATCTCATCATTTGAATTACTGATTTCAAAAAAAAAAACTAATTATTAATTAAACACAAATTTCATTTCAAATCAGTTTCTCAATACACACACACACACACAAATTAGACACTAATTTTGAAAAAGCATTCATTAAGTTTTTAAAAAAAGTAAAAATACAGGAAAGCAATGACATTACAAAATTAGTTATTTTTGTTTTTTAGTAAACTTTATACAGTTTTTTTTTGGAGAGTATAATAGTTTTACGAGGGATTGATAGACTAATAAACCTATTTTCTAATCAATCACAGTAACAGAGAGAGAGAGAGAGAGAGAGAGAGAGAGAGAGAGAGAGAGAGAGAGAGAGAGAGAGAGAGAGAGAGAGAGATAATTGAAAGGTAATAGTTAAGAGAAACAATCTTTAAGATTATTAGCTAATAATTACTGTATTTAAATACTGACTATTAGTATTGTATTATTGATATTATAATAATATTTTTATATTGAATCTTATTATAAAATCTATTTTTTTAAATGTTTTAAATTTAATGTGAGAGCAAACGGTAAATTTATTAATTAATTAAACGCTTAAATACTGACCACAATCACAAACTTTGACTGTTCGGCGCCCATCTGTGTTCCGCCGCCGCCGCCTCCGCCGTTGGCAGTGATAGTATCGTTGGACACTACAGTACCGGTTGTCGATATCTTCAGCAAAGTCTTTCGTGTGTTACTCTGAACGACAGTGGGATTGACATTATTGCTAACCAATTGAAACACTTGTTTGTCGCCATTATTATTATTATTAGTATTAATCGGATCGCCATTAGATGGACCGCCACCGGTCTCAGGGATGGTTGTCTTATCGTTAGTCAAACCATTTTTATTAGGCGACTGCACCGCATTGGCGACCACATTGGCGGCGGCGGCCATTATCTTCGGGCGTCGTCCTCTACGTTTGGGGCCTTCCGTGACAACAATGGGAGCGGTAGTGGTGATGGCAACAGTGGTTGTGGCGATGGGAACGGTGTTCAGCGTCGGTGGTGTCTTGTTGTGGACATCTGCTGTGTCTACTTTATGTTGCTGTTGATGATGTTCGTCGAGATGCGACACATCCGATGACTGGCCATCGAGTTCGCCGTCCGATTCGGAATTAACGGCAAACGATTGCGAACTTTCTTCTCCGTCAGCATTCATCAGATTCATCGACTTCTGCGAAGTTGTGTCGCTCTTGTCGGTCGTCGACTTTTTTGTCGCCGCCGCTGCCGCCGACTGTTCCTTCAGTTTTCGTCTCTTCTTCGACAAATACAGTCCATACGTACCGCCCTTATAGTGACGCCGTCGGCGTTTGTTTGGCGTTCCCGGTGTTGTTGTTGTGGCCGTCGAATGAGTAGATGATTCGTCTTGAGAAACAAACGGTTAGTTTTTTTTGTTTGTTTTGTTTTTAATGGTTGGTTAGCATCGGTAGGCGAAAAAAATAGTTCATTCAAAACATACCTCCTGTTCTATCACCTATTGATTCATTTAGGGTCGACCTCTTTGACGACTGTCCGCCTGTCGTTGCCGATCCTCCTCCTCCACCTCTAGTCAGTGAACTATTAGACGGTGTTAAAGACGTACCGCCGCCGCCGCCAGCACCGCGTGTATTGGCCCGAACTGTATTCAAAAACGATCGCTGCTTTTCGTGCTGTTCGCTGACCGCCGGCGACGCTCCGACCGTTGCCCGCGTAAACGTTTTTCGGGCACTAACTTTAGCCGACCTTTCCTTTAATAATAATAATAACAAAAATTAATTTCAACGGTAAAGAAAACGGTGAAAAAGTTTAGCACAAAAAAAAAGTTCAAAACAAACATTCGTGCTATCGTTGGCCGAAGTTTCGGCAATTGTCTCGCCGCCGGCCGTAATGACCTCAATGTCACTACTATTAGCGGTCAATGATCTTCTCGATGCCTCGCCATTGGACGACAGGCGCCGTTCGGATGTCCTCTTTGTCGGCGACGATCGCAACGACGACGATTGGCTGCCCGACGTCCGTCGGGTCTCAATCGAATGCGGTACTACTATAGAGCCGCCGCCGTCCGATTGGCTGTCAACCACCGTTGTATTACTGGCCACTCGTGTGCCGCTGCCTTTGGTCGACGACATCAGTGCAATCCTCCTATAACTATGGTATGGCTTAGAGTATGGAGACTCCTCTTGTTGTGATGTCCTCCGGACGGCTACCGTTGCCGCCGTCGATGTATTTGTAAAGTACTGTCGAAAATGACGACTATTACTACCGCCGCCGCCGCCGCCTCCTCCGTTGCGGTTAGTATTGTTGGTCACTAGTAATGGCCGTACACTTGAATGCCTTTGCCTAATGATGCCGTCGGTTAATATATCATATAATAATACAGTAATTCATTGTTTAAATATAACATATCATATATCCTATGATAATGACTACTAATAACAGCAAACTTTTTTTGGACCAAAAAAAATAAATGATTTAATCAATTGATTGATACTTTATTTTTTTCTATCTGTAAATAATTTTGTCAAAAAAAATAAATAATTGAAATGTAATAATAATAATAAATAAATAAAATGTAAATTTTTAGTTAAATAATAATAATAATAAGTATTGTGATGCAAATAATAATAATAAAGTTAGCATGTTAATACAGTATTGTATTATAAATAAATAAATATGTGCTAATTATTAATAATTTTAATAATATATGCATGTGTATTAAATAAGCTAGGTTAATTACCATAATATTATTTAAAAATTTTAATCCCCTGAGGGGTCAATCACATGTAGTGTGTCAAGTCAAAATTTTTATTGACTACTTAATAAAGTGATAATAAACAGGGTGACCAAAATAATAATAATATCATAATATCAATGATAATAAAAATAAACTAAATAGGGAGGAGCAAAATTGGTTAAGCATAAATGTACATTGTATGTACTACAAGTGTGTACACTGTATACACACAATGTACAATGATAGATTTACGATATAGATAAAGTGTACATGTTAATTTTTTTTGTTGTTGTTGAAAGAGTCACTTACATTGATGATGATGATGATGGTTGAATGATTAAATTGACATTGATGACACACAATATATAATGACAACTAGATGATTTTAATATGGACAATAATAGTCTAGGTCAATTTTGACGATAAATTTAGTATGGTAGTTTTATATTATTATGATTTTTATTAGGAACTGTTATGGTTCTAATACAGTACAGTAACAATACATAGACACACACACAAAATGTATATATATATTTAGCTGCAGTTACTATACTGTACTGTATGTGTGTATGCACTTATTGTTTAGCTGGTATGGTATGGCATACTGTGTGTGTGTGTGTGTGTGTGTGTGTGTGTGTGTGTGTGTGTGTGTGTGTGTGTGTGTGTGTGTGTGTGTGTACAGCCATAGCACTGTATTAATACACTCAATGCCACACAAATCGATGTCCAAAATGGCTGAATATCCTCTCCAGCAGCACTAGTAGTTATAGTTAGTTATACATTGCATTCAATGCACACAGTTGTCTATACAGTGTGTGTGTGTACTGTATGTGTTGTTGTAGTAGTAGTAGTAGTAGAGTGACTGAACCCTCTCCCTCCATCCCCCCATTAGCCAATGTAATGGTGACATAAATCAAACATGCACATTCAACAAACAAAATTTATTTTTGAATATATTAGCATCAGGATAATTAAAAATAATTAAAATATTTTTAAAAAAAATTTAACAGGTTATTTATTTTTAGCAAGTTCAAAACAATTTTGTTGTTGTCAAATTAACTATCCTAGTTATTAATAGTTAGTTAGCCACATAACTAGTTGGCCGGTTAGTTGTTACGGTTAGTTAGCTAGTTGTCATTTTTTTTTAATTCAAGTCACGTATAATGGGATCCCATTTTTTTAATGGATAGTCGGTTATGTTTAAAAAATATGTTTTTTTTAATGTACCGTAAGTTTAGACTTAACAACAAATTTTAATTTATTTTAATGAAAACTAATTAAATTATAATTTTTTTTAACTATAAGTTTGGTTTAGTTTTTGAAAAAACTAAAAAAAATGAATTAAATAATGATATTTATATATTCACCGCTTTATTCACATAAATAAATATTTGTTAAAAATTTTGTTTAAAAATTGTTTGTGTGAAAAAAATGTGTATAAAATTTAAAAAATTAAATAATTATACAGGTAATATTATTAATATATAGGTAATTTTTAAAAAAAATTGAAAAATTTATTACAAATATTTAAGATAAATAATGACTTTTATTATTTATTTTTTTTGTGCCAACTTTTATCTAATATTATTAATACATTATTTAAATTTTTTTTTAATATGTAATAATTATTATAAATATATTAAATTTTACAATTTAAATACATTATACATTAAAAGCTTACAAATAATAATAATAATGTAAAACAATTTATAACTATAAATAATAATATTAAATAATTAAAATATTTTATTATTTATATATCATCTAATATAATGATAAAATGAGATTTTTTAAAAAACAATAATATTAAACTAGATTATTTAATAAACATTTGATCTCTGGGTAATAATAATAATAATAATATAAATGATATCAAAAAACATAAATTAACTAAAAAAAAACAATAATAATAAAAATTATTTGATAAATAAAAAAAGTTTTGTTGCATTTGTTGTTGTGATTGTTGTTGTTGTTGTTGTATATAATTATTTGGTCTCACGATTTGAGTCTACCAAGTGATCCCTGACTTGACGATTGATTATTCAATGGATGAAAATAACTGTATATTTCAAAATGCATAGAAGAGTAGTAGTACAGTAGGTTTCACACACATGTATGTTATTTATATGAGACAATTATATAAGCAAATTATTAGTTATTAATTTTTAATAATAAAGATCTGATAATTTTGTTTGTTTGTAATTTAATCGACATATTATTTGTATTTATGTATATATATAGACAAAGTGCTCCTACTTTGAGGCAACCGGTTTGCCGATCAATAGTGATGCCGGTGTCTACATATATATGTTAGAAAGGAAAAAAATAGAGAGAAAAATATATGTTAGTCAACAGTTTTTTTAAAAAAGACATTTAGTTAATAAAAAAATTTTTAAATATTAAAATTAAACTAAATTTATAGTTAAAACATTCAATCTATATATAATTACGGGTAATATATTACTATATATACCCTAAACAATATATTCAACATTAATTGGTAATATACAGTAAACTATACGGTAAGTAATGATAATCAAGAAAATTAAAATTAAAATTTTTTTTACGGTAAATAACATATATTTATAATTATCATACATTAGCCACGGGAGGTGTGCCGCCAGTTAACTGCGAGACAGTCAGATGGACTTTGGTAATGATGTCGAGCACCTCACCGGTCAGTTTGCTGGCACCGACTTCGCTGTTACCGTTGCTAATCATAACCACACGATTACACTGGGCTAATGGTGCGGCTATTTCGGCAGCAATCTATATGTATGTAAAAAATATATACGAATAGTGTCCACAAAGTATAACATTATTTTTTGTTTTTTTCTTAATAAAACAATTTCTTTCAGCAAACCTTTGGCAACATATCCAAAACCATATCGACTTTGGCAGCCATTTCGTACTCTTTGAATGCATTAGCCTTTTTGGCCATTTGTTCGGCTTCGGCCTTTGCCTTGGCCTCGATGGCAAACGCTTCGGCTTCGCCCCTCAGACGCATAGCTTCGGCCTCACCGTCAGCTTCCATAATGACTTTGTTACGATGAGCTTCGGCCAACTTTTCCAGTTTATACTTTTCGGCTTCGGCCGGCTTTCGGACAGTGGCCTCCAGTTCCTTCTCTTTGCGTACAATTTCCTGTTCCTGTACTTGAATTTCTTGGGTTCGTTCAATTACTTTGACCTATTCAATAGATAGAGAGAGAGAGAGAGAGAGAGAGAGAGAGAGAGAGAGAGAGAGAGAGAGAGAGAGAGGTGTCAACATGAGAACCGATAGGTGTATATAACCCAATGAATTACAAATAATACCTGCATCTGTTCGTCTTTAATACGTTGTCTTGTCTTAGCGGCCGATAAATTATAGGACAGATCCGATTCGGCTTTCTTGGTAAACACTTCGACATCGTAGGCCGCCTTCTTCAGCTCAAAATCTCGCTGAGCTTTGGCTATCTCGGCATCGTTGACATACCGGGCAGCCATCCTCTCCTCTTCGGCCAACGCCTCCTTAATCAGTGCATCCCGTTTGGCCTCTGCTTCGCCAATACGGGCATCGCGTTTGACTTCGGCAGTACGGGCCAAACCCAATGCCTTGAGATAGCCTTCCTCATCACTGATATCTTTGATCGTATACGAGACAACCGTAAAACCCATATCAACCAAATCACTTGAGGCCACTTCGAAAACCTTTTTCGAAAATTTCTTCCTATTCTTATAGATCTCTTCGACGGTCATCGATGCCATTATTGCCCGCTGATGACCTTCGAGTGTCTCTCTGGCCACTGACATAATTTCTTGTTCACTTTTGCCGAGAAACTGTTCGCAGGCCGCCCGCAACATATCGAGATTCTGGCCCTGTATCTTGACCTGGGCTATACCAGTTACCGATATCGGTACACCTTGTTGTGTGTAGACCCGCGGCGACTCGATGGTCAGTGTCATCGTATTCAATGTTATCCTATAGTATAGTGAATAAGTGGTGATACAATTAGTCATTATGTTGTTGTTAAACGATTTTGTCGGATCAGATGACCACTGAAGTGAATATCATATACGATACTAACCTCTGAACCTTTTGGACAACTGGCCAAACGAACACTCGACCGCCGGGAACCATAAGTGGCCGCCGATGACAGCATCCTATATATCATATATGATATCAAACAAACAGAGAGATGGGTTGGGATGTGATTAATAAATAACAGGACTTCCCGTCAAATGTTTAAACAGACAATACCTGAGACTACGAGAGCTTCGTTGGGACCGCAGGTCACGAAACCCGACATTTTTTATTTGTAATTTACCGACCGATCGATGATATTAATTGATATTTTATTTTAATCGCTTGATTTAATTCAATGAATGAATCAATTATTTTAGTAAACAATTTAATTGTTTGTTATTATTATTAGTTAATGCAATAAAACAGTTATTATTTTTTTTACTATAATATTATATGTATTGTTAAGTTTGCTTCACTGTTAAACTCATCGATGATTTATATATATTTATACAGACAGTGTATAACACAAGTGGGTGTGACTACCGATACTTATAGTATTGTATAGACAATAGACTAGTTTGTCAAACATTAACATTACAAGTAAACCAAACCGAAATAATATACACAAATCAAAAATAAAACTTTATAATAAATATAAAACCTAATCGTTTGTAAGTCTATTTGTAATTTGTATTTTTTAATAATTATTTTTTGACTTTGTTAAATATATATATATGGCTTAAACCCCTCCCCCCCCGTTTTCCCCGATGTTTGTTGAGTATTATCAATTTCTACCAATACCCGGAACCAAACCGGTTCAATTACAGTTAAGTACTGGGCCTATCACTCTCTATTGTAGTCTATTTTTACTGTTAAGCACAGGTATGTAAGCAAATGACGTCAATATATATATACAATATAATGTCACTAATGTATTGTTTATAAGTGAAAAAAAGTTTAAATTTACATAAACTACTATTGCATGTATTGCTAGATAATCATGCAATACATACGTACATAACATAGTATAAGTGGGTTATATATATATATATATATGTAACGGTTGATTCTGCTACGGGTGTCACCAACTGGCACACCCTCAGCTGTAGCAGTGCGGTTGCAATTCACGGGTTGCGGGGCTTAGCTATGAGACCCGTGAATTATGCTCTCCCGTTAAATAGGTAGGCTTATAGCTGCAGACGAGCTACCACTTATAGGCAATGCGGTAAAGGTGTGGCCTATACAATGACCAGCTTTGGACCCGAGCTTAGAGACAATTGTTGCGGCGGCTTAGCTATCATACACTATTGTTGCAACAACTATAATCACCCATAAGCTAAACGATTACTGTAGGCACAACACAGTGTATAATATAATACTTAAAATACAGTTTAATAATAATTAATTAATAAAGAGTTACATATAATTAAAGTAATATAATTGTAGGCATTATTGTCCGGTATCTCCGGATTAGCTAAACTTAGGACAACTGTCCTATTCCAGCGATGGTAAAGCTTAACAAAACTGAGACAACTGTCCCATACAAGTGCTACTATAGTTCTGCCTGTAAACCATGTGTTTTAGGCAGCCATTACTATACTGGCGCATATAGTTGCGCACCGATAGCTAAATAATTGATTAAACATTAATATCGATAATACAAAAATAATTCAAATACAAAAAATAACTAAAGCTTAGTAATAGAAAATGATTATATAATTATAGCTTATAAATGCATATCAAAATTGTGATTATATAAAATGTAATAATATTTAGTAACAAAATAATAAGCGTAGAAATGTATTCATTTCATTCCCCACTACTTGGGTGGCCGTCCTCGCGCCTACTGTTCCTCTTCATTGATGATGATATTCGTCGGCTGTTTCGGTGGTATTTCGGCTCATTATCGGCGATGTTATTGAGTCGACTATATGGCGATGTATTGCTTTTCTCCAATCCTTTAGAAGTGGTAATAATAGCTGCGTCTCCATATCGGTAATAGTTTCCTCCGACACTACGGTCATCATTAGCTATACCGACATTTTCAACACTTCGGTGAGTTCTTGGTTTGCAGTCTTCATGTCCTCATATTGTTTTTGCTTAAGCTTTTCGTCTTCCAATTGTCGATCCAATAGTTGGTTCTTCACTTTGAGGACATTGATGTCAGCTTTTAGTTGATTCTCATTGTTTTTAGCGATTATTGTTAAGTTATTCATATCTAACTCATGTCTTAGTATTAGCTCATCCATATTGATCTGTAGTATTCTCAGCTTTGAGTTGGCTCTGTCCGCACGAGCATCGGCTCTTCGGGCGTCATTACGGGCGGCTTCCATCTGTCCCGTTCTAGTGCCGGCTCTTTCCTGATAATTCATACGTTCCCACTCTTTGTTGTCCAACTCTAGGCCTTTGCGGATCAGCTTTGCCTCCTGCTCTTCAATTATCTGAGTTTTAACGGCCAGTTGTTCGTCTTTGTATGTCATCTGAGCGTCAAATCTAAGCGACAAGTCTTGAATTACGGCGTAAATAGCGGTGACGTCGGTTGTCGGCTGTTTGGTGTCGGCTCTGATCACCCGTTTCTTCGGCTTGACGTCGGCTTCATTTGGCATAGCGTTGGTAATAATGTTAAGCTCATCTTCGGCTTCATGATGTGCGTCCACACCATTACCGTTGAGTAGTTTAACAACATTATCTATCAAAGTGTCCACTGTCTGTGATACTGACACTAATAGCTGATCCCTAGCTCTGGGATTCACTTCAATGTCGATCATCGGTTCTAATCCGTTGGTTTCGGCCAAACTGGTCGATGTGATAACCGGTAATCCTTCTGACATTGTATTAGGCTTTCAATACTTCTAGCGATGACTTCTTAAGCTTGATTTGATGACACTTAACGCTGTAGTTCTTGACAAAGACTGACGGCTTTTGACACAAACTTTTTCTCACAAAACAATAGAAAACATTAAACAATGACTCAATGTTTTAGCGCTTAAATTATGCGATTATTATGAGTGTAATAATAGGCTGCACTCTATCGGCTTTAACGTAATATAACTGCAAATTTCCGATACTTGACCACTATTTTCGGCTATTTTCGGTAAATATCATCGACGCGAGGTTACGGCTAAGCTTTTAATGGCGTGATCTCTTTGAGGTTCCGCTAATTGTCGGTTGATCCTCAACTTCAATATTGGCGGTCGGCTGAGCGTTCTCTGGGTTTGGTTGTGTTAGCTGTTGTGTCGGTACGACAACTGTACCAACTCTAGGCTGTCGTTCCTCCAATACATCGTCTGTTACATTCCTGTATCCATAAGATCTGAATTCCCCATTCAGATGAGTGCGACAGCGATCACACCTCCCGACATGTGCTGGTACTTCCGCTCTGTCCCTCACTAAACCGCATCTCAATCTGAATCTATGAGCTGAAAGTGGTTGCGCAACCAAATCCCATATTCTTATCACATATTCTTCGGATCTGTGGCTTCTCATAGACTCTCTGGACGGCTCAGTGATTAATACTTGACTCAAATTAATCGGTGGATCCGCGGTATCGTCGTTCAAATCTAAAGCTCCTGAGAATGTCGTCCCAGCATTTAGTGGTATTGGTTGGGCGTTAATTTCCCACAACGAGACGGTATATAATTGACAAACTAGACATTCCCAATAATGATGAGCTATCTTAACAGGAGTATCCCAAGCACCACAAGGAGCTCCGATACGTGTTATCATATTCACGGCCATAGCTTTTAATTTTCGGTAATATTTTGAGTATAGCTTTTAACTGATTTTGATAGCAATCACAATGTGAATGACTTCACTTTAGGTAAGCGTTTGGCATTTATACCAAAAGTCAAAACTTTTTCAAACTATTATAAGCTATATAACAGTTCCCGTTTTAACGGCAATTAAAATATACAAAAAATAACAAAAAATATCAAATATCACAAAATTTTCGTCAGCTTTAAGTTAATAATATTCCCCCACTTCTTCGCTTTTTCCATCCCCTGATGAAAAATAACGGATAAAATAGCTTTTGTGGGCAATTAAAAAACAGCAATAAAAATTGCAACCCTAGCACCTGCAGTACTGCCCTGTACTATAGGCCTATCCAACACATAACAAAAAATTTTACTGAACATAATCTTTAAGATACTCAGGTCTACGCTTAACACGTGTTGACCTTCGCACCCTTTGACCTTCGTATAGCTGTTGATCGCTCTCCTCTTCTACGTTATTGCTCTCTAACAGCTCGATGTCATCGATTATGTGGTTTATCGGCTCTGTTGCCAATAAATTGTCGTACGGTTCTCCTAACAACTCTCTCTCTAGCTCTGCGACCTCTTCATCGCTATTTATGACATTATTTTCTAGAGTTAGGGGTAAATCTTCAGCTGTGAACTCTTCCCTGATGTGATATGGCTTAAGCTTATTGACATGAACTATGTTGAACTTTGGCATTCCCGGCGATGTTTGCACAATCATGTAGTTAAGTGGACCTACTTTTCTCAGTATACGATAAGGTCCTACATATCTGGGCAACAGTTTGCTGTGGGCCTGGATTTCCAAATGTGGTCTTCGGACTAAAACCAGGTCTCCGATTGCAAACTCATAGTCCATACGGTTAGCGTCTACTCTGTCTTTGTTTCTCAGTTGGCTTTCTGTGAGAGCTTTTTTTGCCAACTCTAGAGTTTCTCTCCATTTCTTAATAGCTTCTTCTCGAGTAACTTCTGTTGCGCTAAGCTTTTCTCTACCTATCTTCAGGTCAAGAATGTCTACCCCTTCGCGTCCAAAACAAAGGTAAAATGGCGTCCGTTGTGTTGATTCGTGTACAGCTGTATTGTAAGCGTAGATAACATGCGGTACGAACTGATCCCAATCACCTTTCAAACCGCTGAGGATAGCTAAGGCCACCCCCACTACTTTGTTGTAACACTCGGTTTGACCGTTTGCTTGCGGGTTATAGCTTGTTGTGCGGATATGTCTTATCCCGTATTTGTGGTAAAATTTAGTAATATTTTTGCTTAAAAAACATTGGCCTCTATCTGTAATCAGCTCTTTAGGTACGCTAAAAATACTGAATACATAAGTCGCTAAAATTTTCATTATTTCCTTATCTCTGGCTCTCCTGAGCGGAAAAGCTAAGGCAAACTTCGTTAAGCGGTCATTGATTGTCAAAATATAGTTGAATCCACTCTTAGATTTCAGAAGCGGACCCACGATATCCATCGACAGCGACTCAAACGGCTCTCTCGCTATATGCATAGGTAATGACAAACCTCTTTGAGCTGTTGTTTCATATTTTCTTAGTTGGCATTCATGGCATGTCTTGACGTGAGTGATGATATCCCTCGTCATTGATGGCCAATAATAGCGTTCTTTGATTCGCTTTAATGTCTTCGAGCGGCCTAAATGTATAGCGCCTTCATGTGATGCGGTCATCACTGTCTTAATGAGCGAATCCGGT